AACGAATAATAATAATATAAATTTATTAAGAGTAAGAGAAGGATTAGAGAAACCGCTAAATTTATTTATTAAGAAGAATATAAAACTAGTAATATTAAATAAAGGATTTAGCTTAAGTAAGAGCATAAAGGATGTTTAGAAAAGTCTAAAGCTGCTTAGTAGCTTAGACAAAAATGTCTAAAAGAATCTAAAACTGTCTAACGATTTAGAGACTACTAATAAACCTTTATTATCTAACGCCTCCTAAGCTTTTAAGGCATCTTTATAACCAGGTTTACGCTTTAATACTAAGGCAGCAAGAGAATCAGACTTAGTAGGAGCTAACAACCCTTTTAAAGACAAATTACCTAATGTAGTAAGTAAATTTAGCTATATATATATAGCTAAATTATTACCTAAAGCAAAAACCTCCCTAAGAATTATTGTTAAGATTCCTCCTACTAGACTAAGGATCTCACAAATTAAGGAATCTTTTCTTGCTATTACTTCTGCCCTAAAGGCATCTAAACATTATGCTAAAGATAATATTAGTCTTAAGGATAACAAGAAAGCCTAGTTATCTCTAAAGGAAGCTAAAGCTAATATAAAGAATATTGTTCCTAAAATTAATATAATTATAACAAAAATAGCCTTTTGAATAAGAATAATTAAAGCTAATTAACTCTACAGAGTCAAGAATTGAGTCCTATGTGTAGTTTAGGGTCTAGTCCTGTCTAAGTCTGTTATAGTTTCTTTATAGAGTGCTAGGTAGCTTTGTAGTGCCTGTTAGTGCTTAGCGTATTCACGTGCTGTAATAGTAGGTCTTATTATTAAGTATAATATTAATAATAATATTAAATATTATAAGGCTAGACTTATTATTTATAGATTTAGTTAAATCTATAATTAAGATTTCAAAGAGATATTCGCCTTAATAATACGCATTAATTTATTAAGAATGCTTATAGCTATTATAGTAATAAAAGATATAGAAGCTAAACAGATAAATATTAATAATGCCTTAAAAATAAAACTATTTAAATAAGTAATATAAAAGAGATATAAGACAAAATCAACAGTAACTCCCTGAAATCAAATATTAAAAAATCCAAAACAAACTCATATTAAAGCACGGAATTTTCTATATTTAAAAACATTTTTGACAGAATTTTAGAAAGAACTCAAGCAGAAAAACTCCAAAAAGTAAAGCAAAATCAAATAGAGAGAAGGTTAAATCATTTATAACTCCACTAAATAAGTTCGGAAAAGCCTCAGACTAAAATTATTTGAAAGCCCAAAATTTGTACAATATGATAGTGCTTTTTTCAGAATTAAAAACAGAACAACTAAAATAAAAAGCATCAAAAAAGCCAAAAAGAAAAATAGAAACTTATTTATAACTGTATTAGAATCCTGCTATAGCTAGCAACATACCCCCCCTACAACAAAGGCTTGTAAGACACCCCACACAAGCCCCCTATTCACCTTTTTCAACTATAAAAGGCAAGAGGGATACCTAGAAGCCCCCTTTCAAATAGTACTAGTAACTGCAATTCCGCGCTCTTTTAATGCTATAGCAGACTTCTAACAAATAAACAGATTATCCAAAAATAGCTGAAATAAGTGCCTTTTCTAAATATAAATATCAAGACATTTAACTAGACGAATAATCACAGATTAAGTTAGATTTAAATAAGTAGAAACATTAGAATTTAGAACAGAAACAGAAATTCGCTTTTTTAGATCCTTTAACTCTTCTGCTAGGCCAGGTCAAGTGCATTCTCAGTTATAAATATAACCAGAATCTCCTAAAGCAAAGACTTTGAATCCTGTAAGAATAGGTTTGCCAGGAATAGTGATTTTTTAAGTAGTTCTTCCTTTAAATTTTAATATAACTTTATTAACAGTTAGATTAGAAAAAGGAAACTAATAGAAAGAGCATTTATAACGCAAAATAGAATATATAGGGTCTAATTTATCTTACTAATTGCCCTGAACAGGATTTAAACCACAGTCTTTAAAGTAGAAATTATGTAAAATAGAGAACTTGAGCTAAAATACTGTTATTTTTAAAGCAGAAGGTTCTAATTAGGTGTTTAAATAAAGCTAGCTTTAATAAACATCCCAAAGAAGTAATAGAGCTCTTGAATTTCAAGAGTTTTCTAAGGATTTTAAGCTGAATTCGTTCGAAAAGCGTAAGAATTCGTTGCTTTAACAATAATCAACATGGTTTCCTAGTTGAAAAACAGCTTGAATAGGCGTAATGGGTGCTAGTGCTTCTTGTTATCAAGGTTCTGAGGGCGCCCAGAATGAGTATGGATCGGAATTAGCTCAAAATGAGGCAAAGGGCGTAATAAATTATTAATTTGGCAGTCTTTAAATGATTCTTCAGCTTCCTTAGAGCTAAATAAGAGGTCATTTAGCTTAGAATCAGCTGTAGAATTATCTGGAATAGAAGGAGCTATTAATATTAGCAAGATATAGCAAGATATCATATATATATCATATATATATAGCAAAATACTTACTTGTATAGTTGTTTGGTTGATTTTAGATCCATTTTTCAGGCATTTGAGGAGATCTTTAAGTGCCATTGACTGCTATTGATAATAGAGGCCAGACGCTCTCTAGAGCTATTTTGGGCAGCTGCTAAGGGGGGGGGTAGAGTGAAATTCCGGCTAAAAAGGAATATTCACAGAGATATGTGGCCATATCTGGTGTGTCTGGCGTTCAATCAGGCTCGGAGTAGGTTCGTTCTGACCGGACGGGTTTTCTCTATTTTCTGACGAAAATTCGTTCTCAAAAACGCGAAATTGAGGGAGCTGTGACGCTTTTCGTGCTCTTTTATGAGGAGAATTGGTATTTCTAGCCGCGAAATCGGCGCTTAGAGCGCTTGAAGAGAGGGTATCTGCTCGGGCGCGCTTATTTGAGTGCCTCTGAGCACTCTCTTCGGATCGAATAATAGAAGCCATTGAATGCAGAGCCGAATTAGAGCAATTTTAGTCAAATTTGGAGGATTTTAAGAGAAAATAGATGGAAATAGCTCAAAAAACGCGGTTTTTTTTACGTTTGAACGCGTAAATAGCAAAATCAGAGTGCTTAGAAGGGCTGAGAGCAATTATACACAAATTTGAGCTGTTTTAGTGCAGAATTAATGAAGTTTGAAGTTAAATAATAGAGAAGTTGTATCTAAGATTTTGATATTCCTTATACTAAGCTTTGATAGCACTACTACTACTTTAATTGATTTAAGGTTATAGCTACACTAAACCCTTAAAAGAGAAGTCCCAGATTCAGGGACACAAGGGATAACTTTTATAATCTGTTTTAAAAGAAATAGCTAAATAGTTAAAAAAGAAGAAATGCTAGTTTTATTATACTTTTATAATTACTTTAGCAGATCTTGCTAACTAGATACAATATAAGGAAATAGCTCTATTATCTAAGGTCTCTTTCCTTCTAATAAAATAAGCTTAATAAAGAAGCTTCTTAAGCCTTCTTTAGACATTCTAGGTCTCTCTCTTATAAACAGGGTTAATTAGCTTATATAATAGTCAGTAAACAGAGCAGAGCACAAATAAAGTTTAGCTTAAACAGAATAAGTGCAACAGAGAACACTAAAGGAAGGATGTAATAGTTTAGCAGCCTGGCGTACTTGTTTAATTAAAGGAAGGATAGGATAAGCTGGGTAAGAGCCTATCTGACCTATTCAAGAGAAGTAAAGCTTGCCAGAGCTGCCTCCTTGCTTACCTATTTAGTAATCACGAAGCCGGGCTCATAACCTGTTGAAGTTCTTACTTTGTTGTGTTGTACATACTCCTATTTAGAAATTCTAGTAGCTACCTAAATAGGATTTCGGATTTGGCTGTACATGTACAGCCAAATCCTCTTGGCAGTTACAGCAGCTCGCGCTGCCCTGCGAGGAGGTTGTTAGCCATACGGCCGTACCAGCGTTAAGCTGTGTTGCTCGACACTTCTTTCTATAGATATCCTTCTTTCTATAAATATCCTCCTCCTTATAGATATTTGATTTATAACAAGTCATAAGGCTATTTCACAATATATAATTTACTTGCTATAAACTTAACACTAAGAGCTAGCTATTAGAATAAAACAATATATAAATGTCAGCAAGGTCTATAAGCAATTTCAAGCAATTTCTACGCGTTTTTCGTACGTAGGGAGCTATTCCTATATCTGACCGCAATTCTGCCCCGCGGCACCAGCAATTCGAGGGTAGCTCTAAGGATTTGCAAGAGTTTCGCAACACACAATAAATGACTATGCTCTTAACCTGACTTATCTAGAACATAATACCTATCATATTAGGTGCACTCTAGTCTCTTGGTCTTTATGTTTTATTTATATTGTTAGCTCTTTTTTGCCTTCTCCAAAGAGATATTGACCTGTTCTATATGTAACACAGGATCTTTACTCACTCTTAAAGCGCAAGATTACTTATTAGCTTCTTAAAATCGCCCTCTGCTCTAGCTGAACAAAGTCATGTTGCTTTCCTTAAAGTGTTTCAAAAACTGAGCGATAATTTGCATGATAGGGTAGGTGAATGTATGGCTGTGAAGCTGCAGAATCTGCCATGCTTCAACGCTCGGCCAGACCATACTAGGACCTTGGCCGAACAGAGGACAGGGTACATATAGATGCAGTGTAGTCAGATCAAGACGTGGTCAGCCCTGAAGCAAGACCTCTCCCAGAATCCTGATCCCAAGGTGCCAATGCACAAGGTTACTGCCTTACAAAGATGCTAAATGCTGCAATATAGGGTCGCAGTCGATGATTAGAAGGGGAAAAAATAGAATGAGATTTCAAGAGTTGATGCTGATATGAGCTATGAAGTAAAATGAATGATACTTAAATAAACTCTCTAAGAGAACAGTGTCTTAAATCCACAGCACCTTCATATTCCATGCATCAGAAGCGTTTTCTTCTCAACCTAAAGACTATGTCTCCCAGATATCCTTGCACAAGCCAACTGTTCCGAAAGGCCTTCGACGGTGAGGACTCTAGCAGGTCGTGACAGCCTTCAAGGTGCCGCCAGCGATGGTTATGATGTTAGCCGCCGGCAGAGTGAACCAGGAGCCGTTAGCTACCAGATTGATACCAGCTGTGATGGCTCCATAGTCACAGATGTTACCGTTAAAGATGTTGGTCGCGCCCAGGGTGGTCGCGGCATTGATTGAAGAAGTGCCGACAACCCAGTAGACATTGCATGCTTTGGCACCGTTGATCAGCTTGATTTCAACGTTTGCTCCCGTGGTGAAACTGCCGGAAATCTGAAAGATCCATTGACCGTTGGGGTTGCTGGCACCATCTAAGGTGACGAAGGTATTAGCGGCAGCTGAGGCCGCACCCGTAATGCGGTAGGTCCCTGGAGCAAAGGTGACGCCCCCCAACACTCCTGACGTGGTAACAGCTGGAGATTTGGAGAGCGCACAAGCGCATCTATTGGCAGCTACTGCGGCGGCGGCTGATGCGACCGCGTTGTTGGCATGAATGGTTCCAGTAACCTGCGCAGCAGTGATGCCCGTAATAGTGCCAGCCGGGGTGACACCGATGTCTCCCGTAATGCTTAGAGGAACGCCAGAATTGGTGATTCCGCCCTTCGCAAGCAGCGTGAAACCCTTTGCAGTTCCGAGTGAGAGGGGGTAAGCACATGCCTGCCTTTCGAAGATGTTGTTCAACGCCACGTCGGCAAGAGGAGCGGCAAGCACAGTGGAAGCGAACTGTGCTGCGATAATCGCAAGGAGGGTAGCCTCGCTAGTGGTAAACATGTTGCACTTCATGATTGGAACGTAGAGTGCTGATATGTCTTGAAGTACTTGGATGAGGTTTAGAGGGGTAATGGACGCGATTGATCTGATGAAGTGATAGTCTGGTGTAGTTGCTAGGGCGAGGATGTGGTGTGAACTGTTCGATGTTTTATCATATTGTTGGGGATGTGGCCCTTTATATACAAAGGGTCAGCGGTGCAGAGCAGAACGCTCCGGCATCATATTGCTCCTTCACTTTGCAATATTGTGTCGTGGGAGACCAGTTGACCCTGATACTTCGCCCTCGTTCATTTCGTCGAGACTTAGTGACGATTGCCACATGAAAGAAGGAGCTTGGGAGACAAGTCTGCAGTTCAGTTGCCATCTAGGGCTTGATTTCACTGGTTCTCGCAGAACTAGTGATTTCCCAACTCCAAGATACAGGAAGATGTAGAGTACAATGGCTTATGAGGCCTAGATTCCATTTTCCAGGGCGAATCAAGGGGGATCATGTGTGTAGTACTTCATTGCTTGTTCGCTTGAAAGCTTGACTGAGTGACTGATGAGTAAGTGCAACGGAAAACATAAGAACAAATAGGGATTGTTCAGAGCTCGGGACTCACGACCCAACCAACCAGAGGCCTCCCATAGCCTCAACAGAAGGATCGAAGCGACCAGTAGACAAGCCTGGTGATTGAGGATAAATCGCAGATCGTGGGAACAGAATTGAACCGGGGTCAGTTGGCTTGTCAAAAATTTCTGTCTGTTAGCGCTCCCAAGGAATGACATCAAACGATTCCCCCACCGGTAGCGTGAACTGGAATAAACAATATCTCAGTTTTGTCTTGATGAGGCTGGCGCTTCATCATGTATGGCTACTTTGCTCTGACCAGGGAATCTGCGGAGCATCACGATGCGCAGCAGTTTAATATGCTGATGGGTATTCTTTTTGCAGTCTTTCTGGAAAGACCTAACACAAACCACAGAGTCCTTACCGTTATTGTGTATCATCAGATCTATCCGCTTCAAAGGAATGGGCGAAGTCCAATAGCTGTGCTGTTCAAAAAGTAGGGGTGTTGAGAGAAAGGGAAGGCGAAGAGCAGAAGTGCCACGATCCTAAGGTGGAAAATTGGGTCATGCATGAAATGTGCTCCGTAGGCTTGACGCTTTGCTTTTTAAAGTACCAGGGCTAGGCATTAGCATGTCAGAGCCTCATCCCAAACTGGCTGCGTAAATTTGACGTGGACGCTATAACACCGCCTGATCTTGTGACACCCCTGCTAATTGATAAAGCACTATCTAGAATTCGGCTAGCACGCTTGACAGCGGGTATTGAATGATGGAAGCGGCTCGACCCGTATTTTGGCAGTTACCTAGATGTGTAACATTGGAGGTTAAATCTTGCAAGGGTCCAGTTCTGGTGATAGCTAGCTGCATTATGGTAGCAAGAGCTCACGTTCTATCAAGTTCTAAAGCCGGACTTTCGCATGATTCGCTCCGGAATGAAAATCCATCGTGGCATCATCAACTAGTATTGTAAGTATTCTGTACGCTTCTATGTTTCTTTAAGTCGGAAATAGCTAGTTCTGCGAAAACAGTGGACTCAAGAAAAATTGAAAAATTGAAAAATTAATCATCCAGCTTGTTGCAGCATAGACTGACCGGCCGTGCAGCACCCAATGCGTGCTCTCGTCTTCCTATTGCACGAGGATGTGGCCCAGATCGCAACTGAACTACAAGCTTGTCTCACAAGCTCTTGCAGGAGCAATCCTAGCCTGAACTACGAAACGCGCGAGGGTTGAGTATCCGGGTAACTGGTCGCCCACGAAGATCTTGCGAAGCAAAGGATTAATATGATGCCGCATTTTCATGCTGCTACCATTATTGTTGCGCCATAAATCACTGACAACTTCACTATAAATGAATTCAGGAGCCTGCGAACCAGCCGATAGTACTTGCGAAAAGAATACTCTGAAAGCACCCGAGCACGGACGAGCTGCTTGGCTTGGTAGCATCTGAAATCGTGGACCGAGACGCCATTGGGAATTGGGAACTTCAATCGATCCGGGCACGCATCTTCGATGGCTACTATTCGAATCTAGTGGTCTTTGGTAAAAAATCTCCAACGCTAATTGCTAGCTATGTCTCAAAGATGTGAAAAGGCTAGAGAATCTGGAATGCTGAGTGTGAAGGTGACAGGGTCAAACAGATGCCACAAGAAATTTTGCTACACTGAACCTCAGCTTTACTGAAGCATGACCCTCGGACAGTTCAGCAGCTTTAGGTATATAAAGAGCGGTCCCCTCGATCAGTATTATTTTATCCTCACCATCCAAACATCCAGCGTCCTTCCTACTTCCACCATCCACCATTCACTAGACACCAGTCACCAGATACAAGCACCAATCCTCACTCAAAGCCACAGCATCATGAGGTCTCCATCTTATCCTGCAAGCAGTCTTGCTCTAATTGCCCTTTTCGCTGTCGGGTCGAATGCGCTATGCCTTGGTAGCTGCGCCGACTGGGGTTTCGTTGCCATGGCCGCCGTTACCAACCTCGGCACCACGTCTGTCACCGGCAAATGCGGCGTCTCCCCTGCTGGTAGCTTGCCACCCCTTGGGCTTACTTGCAGCGGTGGCAAGATATTGAACACCCCCGTGTCAGCTCAATGCCTCGCCGATTGCGGCAAAGCATACACATCTGGCATGGCAAAGCCCATCACTGCGACTATTGCTGGAGCACTCGGAGGCCAGACACTAACTCCCGGTGTATACGATCTGACCACCCCGGCCGGTACCATCTCAGCTGGCACCACCCTCACACTTAATCTTCCTGCAGGCTCCACTGATACATCGGCCCAGTTCATCATCAAGATGGCCAGTACATTCACCATCGGCAATGCGGGAAAAGTCGTCCTAGGCCCAGGAGTACAGGCATGCAATGTCTATTTCCTTGTCGGGTCCTCCGCTACTATTGCGGACGACGTTGTCCTCAAGGGCAACGTTTTGGCACTGGCTTCCATCACCGTTGGGAAAAGGCTCAACCAAGTGGGTTTCCTTTGCGCACAAAATGGTGGAATCTCTTTTGACAGCGATGTTATCACCAACCCTTGCTGTCAATGCCCCAACGCGACTTAAGCTGTTTGTAAGCCCCCATCTCTGCTCACTGGAGCGCCAATGCAAATTTTAACAGTTTCAACAGACTCGTGGCCTTCGATCAGTAGGATGAAAAGCCTTTGCAGTGGCTGTTTGACGGTTTTCAGTTGGACACTGAATCATAACAGTCAAGTGTGAAGAAGTATACAGAGCAGAAATTGGTTTCCTTTGGATAACTACGCAGAGTCAGACAGGGGAAGTTTGTTTGGCACTGTTTATTGACTGATTAGTGAAATCACTTTACCTACTTGAGGTGACTGTGATAACATATACAGAATACATCCCGATGTTAGCACAAATACATTTATGGCACTGAAATTCTATTGACGATAAAGTCAGGCAGAATTATACTTCCTATGTCATGGCTAACTGGCAGATGTACTTCCCGTCCTAAAGTGCGATGCCAAGCGGTGCCATAGCACTTGAGTTGCAGACCGACCTATTGCGGTAAGAGGTATTCCGTATCATTGAAACATAGCATGTCAGTACTAAACCATCGGTGCGGACATTTCAGAGGTAGCGTAATTCTGAAAGTGCCACTATCGCACGTGACTTTTTCGCGCCCTTTCTTTTCCCCTTCTGCATTGTGGCTGAGGATCAGTACTGAAGCGGCAGGATTATCACGGAAGTGATCAAGCCCAATTTGAGGAGGGCCGCCCGGCCAGGCTCATTGTTGCGAAGCATCCAAAAGCGCACTGTCTATTGGCGATGGCATAACGCACAGCTTGCCATGTTGGGGGAAGAACCGGTCGGCTAATTCCGAGGTCGAAGATTCATAGATTATCCGCAAGCGCCCGGTACTTAGTCTTGGTCTACGCTCAGCAGCCTTGTCCTAGGCACGTGTCGCATGATAGGGCTTGGCATGCCTGACACAAGGAATATCGTTACAATGTTGTTAATGTCGTAAATCAGAAAGACGTTAATCAAGCAGTCGATAGAAAGATGAGATGTCAAGAATAGAATATCTATTAAAACGTCACTATATAAATCGCCAGTCGACAAGTTTAATAGAGAGGACTGTATACCGTATCATCGTCTACGTCTAGGCTAACGATTGAATTAACCGATCAACAAACCGTCAAATAAGATCATGAAGATGAGAAGAAAAGGATCGGTCGAAGACGAGAAGAGCAAGTTAGAGTGCTCTTTATACCCGGGCCAAATGGCGAGGGGGTGCCAACCCCGATCGGGCGGGACTAAACCGGAAGAGACAGCGTACCGGCACCGATTCTACACAAGAAGTGCGTTGACTGAAGTGCATTGACTGTGAAGCACATTGGAGATCTGTAATGATGATGATGATCAACCTGTGACGTCCCCGTATTCACAGCCTTCTCCCGGCTCCAAGCCAAACACCCTCGCATCTCCAGCGCCAACATGATCAACGCGGTCCTCGTGTTCAACAACAGCGGCCAACCGCGTCTCACCAAATTCTACACCCAGCTAGTGCGTCCGCGCCTTATCTCCACTACTGACTGCGCTGATGCAGCCGGGACCCCATCTCTTCCGTTTTGCTGACGTATCCCCCAAATCATTGCAGGACACGACGACGCAACAGTCGCTGCTGTCGCAGATCTTCACGCTGGTGTCGGCGCGGCCGGCCTCGGCCTGCAATTTCCTGCCGCTGCCGCCCCTCCTCTCGCAACACTCGACCTCGAATTCAACCTCGTCGTCGTCGGATTACAGCGACGCGCCCACCCAGATCACCTACCGACACTACGCGACGCTCTACTTCATCCTCATCAGCACGTCGACCGAGTCGCCACTCGCGCTGCTCGACCTGATCCAGGTCTTCGTCGAGGCGCTCGACCGCCTCTTCGAGAATGTGTGTGAGTTGGATCTGATCTTTGGCTTTGAGACGCTGCATGCCGTGCTGGGCGAGATGGTGGTGGGTGGCGTGGTGGTCGAGACGGGGCTGGAGAGGATTGTCGAAGGCGTGAGGGCCAGTGAGGGGGGGATGAAGGGGAAGAGGAGGTCGGTGAATGAGGGCGCGGGTATGGCGGCCCGAATGGAAGTGGGAGCGGGGGTGGGATGGCGAGGAGTATGGGTGCGGGCGCAGGCGGGGCGATGAGGGCGCTGGGGTGGGCTGGAGGTGGCGGGTTGGGTGGGTGGAGGTGAGGCTTGTCTCTTTGTCAGACTTCAGCTGGGGATTCTACCAGATAAATCAGCATCTCTCTTGTTTGGATCAATGGTCATTATGGCCAGTATGGCCCTTCCCGTCGTGGATGCAAACCTCATTCGAACATGGCGAGATCCTCACTAGGACCAAGGCACCACGACACCAACAACCACGCAGCCATGGTCTCACCTCCGTCAGTTCTTGTACTATAATGCACTAGCAAGAGAGAGCGCAATGGAGAATGGTCCGGAAAGAAGTACGATTAACGGGAGACTAAGAAGCAGTTACAGCGGTCCAGCGAAGCCGAGTCGGGAAACAGGAAATGGACGTGGCAGGTTTGGAAAAATGCATGCCAGGGGCCCAGCATGGCGTTGAAGGGAGGAGATGATACGCGAAGCAGTCCTACTCTTGTGTGGAGGAACGATGAGAGCGATGTCCGAAGTCTTGCTTTCTCTTCTGAACGATATGTTGATATGGGAAGCAAAGGTCCGCAGACTCATCGACTCCTCAGAGTTCATCACGAGGGCCCATTCATTAGACTCCCTGGATCTACGCCTCCACATTCTCAAACAAAAACGACGGATTGCCCGGGAGAGCATTCTCCGCCATGGGCGGCAGACCCTGCTCCTTCGCATCCTCCACCTTCACGACAACCACCTCTTTACAACCCGTCGTCTTCATCAGCCCCTTCTTCATACTCTCCAGCATCTCCGCCTCATCGAACGCCAATTTCCTCCCAAACACCGTCTTCGGATCCTCCTTTTGACCAACCAAACGAGTCTTCAGTCCTTGAACGAAAGGCATCGCTTTCTTCACCTCACCCATCTTGCTCACCTTGCCTTTTAGTTCTTTCTCGTCAATGGAGAGGCTAGCGGCATCGAACATCTCGCGGACAAGATCGATATATTTATCCTGCCAAGCTGGAAAGCTCGATGCCGCGAAGATGGTGAGACGCTTCGGTTTTCTCGGATCGAATAAGCTGGCTTTGCCCTTTGCCATTTTCTTCGCGGCTTGGGCTTCGGCGCTGGTGATGTTGCTGCTGGTCAGTTTGACGTATTCTCTGGCCGCTGTTAAAGCGGGGCTTGCGGCGGGCACGTCGGAGGGCCACTGAGCTCGTTGCACAGTATCGGGATTCTTTAGGACTTCGAGCCAGATATACTCGGCCCAGTGGGGCGCGATCGGGGTGATGAGGAGGGCTTGTAGGGAGATGTAGCGGAGGATCAACGCACGCGACATTGGTATTGAGGAGGAGAGGCATGCTTCGCGGTAGAAGTCTCGGGCGGATTGGAAATCGTAGAGGGCGGATTTTAATGCGAGTTTGTAGTTCGTGCTGTTGAGAGATCAGTATCACAGTTGGCTGCATTGGAGTTTGAGTGACTTACTCTTCATAGTGCTGTCTTGCCTCGTGGACAAGGATATTCATCTCGTCGTCAAACAGCTTGTCCCAGACTGCATCTGCCGGTCCTGTCCGCAGATTTGGATCTTGGGCAACCTCCTCGATCCACTCCTTTAGCGTGTGCATCCTCATGATGGCTCCATTAGCACCCTTCTCTTCGAAATTGGCGTCTTCAATCCCATCACCTGCATCGGCAAGCGCTATCCTCGTCGCATCTGCACCAAACTTCTTCACCGCTTCGCTCAGCGTCAAAAAGTTCCCCGTACTCTTGCTCATCTTGGCACCATTCAGTAACAGATGACCGTTCGATCGGACAGATCGTGGCCAAAACTGTCGCGGGAACAAGGCGAGGTGGATATATAACATGAATGTTAGGTGGTTGGGAATGAGATCCTTGCCTGACACTCGCATATCAAGCGGATACCAATATTCGAATTCGCGGCGCATTGTCTGGAACGACTCTTTGCTAACACCAGAGGAATTGATGACATCTTCTGATATCCCAGTTTTGTGGTAGATACAGTCCCAGACCTCGTCTGTCATCTGTTCTGGCCTGATATTTAACTTTCCAGGCTTGGTGCCAAAGACGTCGGAGTGTAGAAGATGAGAGATCGTGTAATAGGACATGTAGATGGTGCTATCGCTCAAGCTCTCCACCAGGAACTTCTTATCCCAAGGCAGTTTGGTACCCAGACCATAGGTTCTTGCACAAGCCCACCGATTCAACCACTCCAGATTTGCGTTGAACTGGTTGGTTGTCTCCTGTGTATAACAATTTAAACCATTGTTGACATAGTCAATCACAGTCTGCTGCCACTCCTTGTCGTTCTCGCCATAGTTCAAGAACCATTGGCCAAGATATGCTACGACACACTCGTCCGCACTGCGGCTGACAACCTTACCAGACGGATCGGCAAACGGAAAGGCGTCGCCACTGTCGATCAAAGATTGTCGAACTCTGTCCTTTGCTTCCTGGACTGGCTGGCCCTTGAACTCTCCCACCAGCATCTTGCCTTTGTAGAAACCTTCCGAATAGGCAAGATCCTTAGCTTGTGCAAGCTGGGCTGCATCTTTAGGCGAGTTGATCTTCATGGTGTCCACCAGATACTTCGCTGTCATATTGCCGTATGACGGTGTTTCTATTAGCGGTAAAATCTCGAGCTCTGCCCACTCCTTCTTGATGCCGTAAAAGTCGGCTTTCTTGGCCAAGTCTCTTATAGTGGCATAGTCATCTGGACTGTCCGAAGGCACACAGGTGACCACCCCTGTGCCCTTGGTGGCAAGAACTGAATCCATTGGCAATATTCTCACACCCTCTGTGTGTACGGAAAGTGGCGCCTTGACCAGTGTCCCAACGAATGCAGATCCAGACAGCTCAACGACTGGCTGCAGTTCGCTCTGATCTCGCGGGAAATTATCAACGTCGAAGAACTTCCCCTGGAATGCCATGTTCCATGCTGCCCGCTTTGTGCAAATGAAATATTCTGATTCGGACACCTTAAAGATACCATATTTAATTTTCGGTCCGACAAAGCAACACGTTTGTCCATACATGGTTTCGGGTCTCAACGTTGCCGGCACGAAGTATACTGTCGCGTCCTTAGGAATCTTATCTTCTACACTCTTTGCAACCTCGGGTGCCCACTCCTTGACCTGCAGTTTGAGGGCTGTGTACTCTGTTGGCCCAATACCTTCGCCTTCAGTCCGATCATGGTCCATGCAAGGTTGGCCATCTTTGGGACTGTATATGGTGTATCGATTGCCATACATGATCTTATTAAGTTCTTTCAAGCGATTCATTTGCCATCGTACAAAAGCATCGTAATACGGATTTGCATCGGTCGTGACGAATTTCCTTCTCCAGTCTATCCGTGCACCGAAGCTGTTAAGATCCTTCTCGCACAATGGTGGAAAGTATTGAAGCCAGTAATCTGCATCCGCAAATCTGTGTATCTCTTCCTTAGGTATCCCCAGAGCAAGCATGATCTGAAATTGGTGTTTCAGCTTGACAGCTTTTCCCGCCGCCTTGCTCTTCTTGCTGCTGAACTTCGTGATATCGTCCTTGATTTGGCCCTGCACTGGTGCAACGGGAGCACCGTTTTCGACAGGTGCATCTTCTGCCTCCTCCTCTTCGTAGCCTTCGAAATCCTTGCCAAACCTCCGTACATCCTCGACGAGCTTGTCGGCACAAGCTTTTATTGGCATGCCTGTGCAGTGGAAACCCAGGGGAAACAGCGCCCGCTTTCCTACCATCCGGGAGAAGCCTGCGGTAAATTCGACTTTCGAAGCTGTGAAACTGTGTCCGGCATGAAGTGTACCATTCATGTAAGGGTACGCAAAGGTGCCAAAATACTTCGGATGCCTCTTTCTCAAGTCTTCGGGCTTTGTTGAATCATAGGGCATCTCGGAATGGGTGGGTGCATCGACTTCGAATACGCGTTCGGCCTTCCATTTCGCCTGGTATTTCTTCTCGATCGCTATCAGGGTGTCTCGATTCTTTGTCTAGCATAGTGTCAATAAAGTGAACCTCGAATCGGGACAGAGTGCAAACATTTTCGAGCTTCAAGGTATTCTTAGAGCTGTTGCTTGGATCCAGCAGATTTATTGCCTCCCCTACAGCAGCCATATTAGATGCAGAGCCGCGCACAATTACGAGAGTTGCGAAAACAGGGGGCAAAGATGTCCTAAACCCAGCTCCAAATCATGGAAGCATGAGTCAAATCGATAAGCCAGGGGAAGACCCTTGATGTTAAAGAGCTGGCTATCGATTAGGGTTCCGGTCTTGGCAGTCAGCCTTACGAACAGAGCCCTTGCTGGTACTACGTAGTCGTAGTACGAGTACATTCTGAGCTTAACGAGAACTTCAACACACCTTATTTGGTTGTTTTGTGGCCTATATGGCCTGGCCTGAAGTTCTCACTGATAATATGAGTTGGCTTCCAAAATACTAGGTTTCAATAAATGTACTTCTGTTTTTAGAAGCGTTGATTCTACAGAGACGAGTATCTATGTACATCACCCTATGTAAGCTCTATCCACCAGCAGCGGCGAAAGCCCCAACGTGCAGATATGTACAATCATAAAAACGATAGTAAGGAATCGTACATCAAGCATATCTTCGTAGACTCCGTGGTACCTTCCAAAGCGCTGGATGCTTTGGAAGTATATGTAGCAACAATAGTCGTCATCGAGAACTGAAAGCAAGATTCAAGAGACCAGAACGGTGGATGGAACACGCCAAAACATCGGCCAACGGCTTGGCTTGGTAGCATGGAGGGGAGATTGATAGGCTGACCTAGCCGGGAGGAGATACCGGAATCCTCATCCTTACAACCTTAAAGTCATAGGGTGGGTGCTTCCCAGGCTTCACGGTCAATCTTCATGACCGCTGACTGCTTGTGCGGAAACGTCACTTCGCTCTGCTTGTAAAAGCCGGAGCCTTTGAGGTAGTTTATAAACCTTGCCCAGTGTCAGCCACTGATTGCGCATCGAACAAGGTTGCTTACTTATCATTGTCCACCCTAGGCTCCAGCATTACTGTCTCCGTTCGCGGATCAGCCAACCAGCAGTAGTGGACAAGCGCATCCAACCAGATTTTGACTCGATGCGCTCCTCTGTACTCTTGCTCTCCCACCAACACATGAATGCCTCGTACGTAATCCCCAACATGGCCGCCAAGAAGTCTGCCAAGCTTGTCCTCTTTAACCCAGTAGATCTCAAAATATCCAAAGGGCTTGCCGTCCCAGCAGCCGAAAGCAGGGAAGGAATGCGTGCTTGACATTCCATCCTCCAGAAACTTCTGCTGCGTGTATACTGGACCTGCACAGCCCCATGCCGCGTTCACCCGAGGCTCATTCATCCACTTGTGCAGAATATCGACGTCACAAGAGCGCTCGGCAAAGCTCGCCAGGGTCGGCAAAGTCATGGCCGCAGCAGCGCCTGGGTGCGACGGGAGCACGCCTGGTGCACTTACACCCATAGGGCTGAATTGTGGACAGGGTTTCTTTGAGAGTGTGGGAATGCGGAACGACAGGTACTGATCAACGCTTGGTATGTAGCGTGTGTAGAAAGTCTCCCCTTGTCGCGGTGGTTTAGGTCGAATTGGATGCCGTATGTGATTTGAAAAGATGAATTGAGTCGGCGGAGGAGGATAGTAGGTAGGTAAATTGCTGCTAGAGTTGAACGGGCCCCCGGGCGAAGAGATACCTGCAGTAGGCCCATCAGAATAGGATGATGCCGTCTCATTACGTGGTGAGCCCTGGCCATCTCTCGCAGGTGAGGTCGGCCTTGACGGAAATGGGGAGGCGGCCGGGACAGGTGAATGGTTGACAGGCGAGAGAGTGAAAAGAAAGATCCGTGGATCAATCTGCCAGAATGATCGTCTGCTTACGAAAATCTCATTCCAGCCGGCTGGGTCTTTGATATTGGTGTCCGTGCCTACGGAGGAATCCTCGCTGGCTACCAAGCCCATGCGCTCCAGCTTCTGCATCAGATTCTTGCCTTTCAGAATACCTTCTCGTTTGATTCTTATCCGCCAATCAGCTTTTGGCCTACCAGCCTCCGGCGTGAGAGATGATGCTTCGGTCATAACGTGTGGACTTGGTGGCTCTTTGTGAAAGTACCAGTACAACGTTGACCAGAGCATCAGAGCTATCTGTCTGGTGGGCGAATGGCTCATTTTGAAATCGGAATTTGAGGGTATGGAGATCGAAGACAGAAACAGGGAGTCATTTTGGAGTGTTGGCCGTGTGAAGCGGTGTGTAATGGTGTGCTTTGAGGAGGATTCATCTGTTCCATCGCGGTACAATGACATCTTGCTGCGTCTGCGCAGGCGCTCATCCGTCTCGTCGATCTCATCTTCAGTTTCCAGTATAACAGTCCACCCGGGTGGGAAAGCTGAATGATGTAGGTCGAGCTGGTTTGATCTGAAGGTGTATCCACCAAATACAGGACTTACTGAAAGTGTTTGTCCATTTGGCAGATGCACAGACTGTGCCACCATCTCTTGTACACTCACCGAGCTACAACACAGATTTTCTGCAAGCTGTTTACCCAATTGGGCACGGTAAGATAAAGCACGGTGTTAATGACGAACGAGCCCGCTGAGAGTGAGGTCCGCTGTCTCTATCTTGAGTGAGGAGCTAGTGAGAAGAGGCAGGAAATTGATTCACAGTAGTACAATTGGATGAATGGAGAATTTGATACCATTCTAATCTACTGGACTGACGTGTGAGGGTGATAGCTTGGGCAACAAATTTCCGAGTCCCACTACGACTAACTTACAGCCGGCGGAGTTCGCCGGTAGCTAGACCAGGGTTCGGTGCGGCCTCCCTGAAACCCTGGTAGAGTACATACAGTGGAGCTTCCGACGTGTGTAGAATACTATCGACATCGATGTTCGGGGCCACGAGCGTAGCGCTAACAGCTTGATAACCAAAAACAACTCGGCCCGGAGAGCTGAAGCAAGAGTTCTACAACCTGGATTGCCTGTGTGGTAACAATGAAAGATCTTGGCACCTCCGTTCCAAAAAGGTCCATACCATTCCTACCACACCTACACATTCCGTGGCCCGTTCCTCCACCTCCATTCTCTCCCTCGAGCACTCCATTCCCTGCAAGACTTCCTTCATCACCTTCTTCCAATATGGACGGTGCGGCCCAGTCTTCATAGCCATGGCGTACTCCATGTACTTAGGGTAAAGACCACTACTTCCCCAGTCGAGAATACCTGACAGCTCCCATCGAGACTTTCCATCCGAACCTACAACACGGCGAACATGAACGTTCTGTGAATGCAAATCTCCATGCGTGAGGACGAATCTTTCCGAGTACTGGTCTCGGAGGGGCTTGATGCGATCCTCCAAGGCTTTTGCTGCGGCATCGCCACGTCTGGCGCGCATTTGCTCGACTTTGTGCGCATCGAATTCAGCTTCGCTCCCAAAATAATTCACAGTGTACCTTGTAGTATCTGAGTGGTATGGATCAGGGTATGGATCATCCTTCTCAATATCGCCGTTCCATGCTACACGACCAATCAAAGGCTTTGTGCTTGCTCTCATCTTCAGAATCTCTGTCCTTAGTTGGTGTATGATGAGCTTCTTGTTGACTGTATTGATCTTCTTCCAGACCTAATGCAATTGCACGCCTGGGTCAAGATCAGTAACCATGACTCTGTCATGGCCGTCTAGGAACACGTCACGAAGCCTCAGACCTTTGACTTGGAGCTGCCGTGTAGCGTAATCCAACATACGTACTTCGCTTTCTAGCAGTTTCCAACGTTTGTGGACTTTCTTGGCGACTATCTCGCCACTTTCAGTGGAGGACTTGAAGACGTTCTTCTTCCAACCAATGTTTGGAAGCAGGTCGCCATGAATAGAGGGCACAGGCTGTGGCTGGTCAATGGGCTCCACCATCGCTTGTCTTTCCATCGAAAGGTGAACAGCATGATGCCCTAGGGCACAAGATCAGTTGTCTGCTGGTCTGGGATTTGAGTTCCAAGGACTTTAATAACTTGTAAAATGGTCAAGAAATAGAGACATGCTGGAATGGAAATCGGTAATTATTGCACACTATACTGGCACAGTAATGACAGTGACTAGTCCTTCATTGACTCGCATCGATTGGTTTGTATTCGGTCGTTTTCGCTGTGCAGTAACGCCCCAGGAAGGATGCGTAAATCCATAAGGGGCGGCGCCGAGATTCATTCATTCATTCAAAAGTCCTGAATAGTCGTTCCAATCCCTCTTTCTCGTGCCATGATGACCAGATCCCAACCCACCCTCAAGTCCATAAGCCCCAGTCCTACACTCTTGTAAAGCACATTACCCTTTGTCAACCAATCCCGCAATCCCTTCTCCCCCTGGCCACCTAGCTCAATCTCCTTCATAGCCGCCTTCTTAATCATCATCAGCTCTCCAATTTCAACCAGCTGTTCCGGCTTCAGCTTCGCCTGTATGATCTCACCTGCCTCCCTGAGACTGGATTCCAGACTATCTACAATGACCACTCCACTCTTCGCGGCATGCTTGTGGTGATGATTGTGATGGTCCGGCTCTACCGCCTGACGGAAGATGTCCGGGTGCACTTCTGTCATGTGTGGGGCATAGCTTCCAATCGCACTGACGAATCGGCCCTTCTTCCGGCCTTCGTTGGAGGTGAGGAACTCGGCTGGGAAAAGGGGATCTAAGGATGGTGTGCAGCAGAATAGGACGTCGGCTTTCCTTACTTCCTCCTTGAGTAATCGACCATATTCCTGGAAATCGGGGCTCAAGGCGGAGAACTTGACTCTCGAATACCATTCCTCACCTTGATGGTCTTCGTCCACGTGAAATTGTTTCATGAGTTTGATGGCTCTTTCGAAGGATCGGTTGATGAGGTTGATATGTTTGATGTCGCTTCCTCTGAGCAGTAGAGCGAGTCGGATGTGCCAGTAGGCTTGTTTTCCACTTCCAAAGACGGTAATGGTGTGAACATTATGCCTTTTTCTAAAAATGATTGTAGCTGCTAGTGCTGTTCGGAAAGCTGTCAATTCTTCTGCGTTCACAACACCTGTAGGCAAGCCCGACCGATCGAGCATAGTTAGAGTACCTCGAGGAGTGGTACTTGATGTACTTGCCACTGATGGAGGCGGTTGGAAAGAAGCGCCACTTATACTCGATGCAGAGCTCTTGGTAGTGCTAGTAGATCGTGAAATGGTAACGCCGCTCATTGCAGAATTAAGTGATGTAGTAGAGTCGTCCTTTGGCTCAGACGCTTCCGCCGCCTCCAAGGCAACTATTTTCATCCCAAGGGATTCACCGGTGCTGGCTGGCATGAACAGGGTGGTGACTCCTTTTCTCTTGATAACCGTCCGTTGGGGCTGATAGGACGAGCAACATGACGAGTTTGTATCCCCCGTAGAGTATTCGTGTAGTGCCTCAGCTAGATTCTCCTGCAGTTCTTCGATGTCTTTTTTCTTCAGGGATAGGAGTAACGCCCGAACATCGGAGTCTGTTAGAACTGTAAGCGGCATGATGCGTCACTTTTGATAGATTATGGTCTCTCGTAGATAGCTAGCCAAAAATCTTCAAGTTCTATAAGCTGTGCTGATCGTACAGCTAGGAGAGCCACCCAAAGCTGTGGCTAAAACCTGCTTGTAGAATACAGCTATCTAACGTCTTTTATGGCGATGCCCCGTCACGTATTTGTGCGTCAATGTGTGCGCATCTGACAGCCGCGAAGTGGTATTTTTGAGATTCTGAAAAGAAAGTGGAAAATTCTTGACTAAATACCCGAGTCTCAACCACACGCTTGCTCAAGCCTCGCCGTTGTGTCAAGCAAGTTGTTGAGACCGATGATTGGAAATGATGATTACTCAGCTATGTGGCCGTCTCGGAGGTTGTCGGGTCCCTATAATCACCACAAACTCGGTAATCACACTGCTTACTTTAGTCTTACATGTGATTCCGATCAACTGCTGTGCAGGGTGCTCTAATTATGTATCACAGCCCATCACCTCAATCACTGTTTTCTTACTCTTTCCGGCATACCCCAAGCTTCTTTTCGAGAAGACATCAAGATTGACGAGTTCAGGCATGTGAAATTTGAGGAAAGGCTACAGTGGTAAGAGTGGCTTGAAGAATATCTGAAAGATGCATCTGTGATTTCTGATTTACCCAGGACGCCGCTGTGGCCATCGGGCGAATATCACCTACGTGTCGCCAGCCTATGCCTAGCCGTGAGTTATCCAGCCCGAGGTCCTCGACATCAGATACTCCAAAAGCTTTGTCATGCTCAGCATTCAAGCAATTTCAGTAATGGCCAGGTTACGAAGAGCAGAATATCATCAACTACCCTTTCCAGGTATCACCCCACATTTCTTGGTCACTGCGTACCAGATCATCTTCCGCCAGCACTTTCAGTCCGGCTTGCTTCTTTGCTTTCTTTCGTTCTTCCTTAGTCACCAGCCTTCCTGGTGTGATGGGGGTGATTGGCGTATAGGGCATGTATGGACTGTACGGGACAGGAGCACCTGTTCTCGGACCAGGATTTAGTAGACTTTCTCGTCGCTCCACGAACGTGGTTTTAGTTGAAGGAGCACTTTGTAAAGAAGTGGCATAGTTTTGGCGGAACGGTAGACTGTTACTGCTGCCTGTCGTAGTACGTAGATGTAAAGGTGAAGGTGCTGGTGCTCGAAAAGAGACCTTTTTCTCCGCCTCTCGAGCTGTGGCGGCCGCTGATTTATGACCTGGGGTGGGAGGGGGAGGACCAGGTGTGTACATTCTTGGGGAGAGCGGCTGTTCCTCATTATAGGCTACCGATTCTTTCAGATCGGGAGTGCCCATAGGAGGGGAGATGGGCAAATCTCGAATGGAAATACGCCTAGGTCTCTGTCTTTGTGAGGCGGCAGATGAGGTGCGAGAGTGATTCGACTGGAAAATGGAGAGGGGTGAGACTTTTGCCAACCTGCTGCTTGCTCGTGATGATACAGGAGATTTGGGTTCTGTGGGCGAGGTGTCAACATGGTTGATAGGCTGAGTTGTACCATTCGAGGTTCGAAGATGCTGAAATTCAGGAGGATATTTGCGTGGTGACTTTACTGGGGAAGTCTCTTCGGTCTTTTGCGCATCATGAGCCATGACGGCTGCGTATAAGCGTTCCATCTCGTTCTGATTGCGAATCTTGTCGCTCTCAATCACCCTGTCATCAAACGTTGAAACGCTGGTTTGAGATTGGTGATAATAGTGATTTCTTGACGGGCTGGTCCAGGCCTTGACCTCTGGTTCGACAGGACTTGGCCAGCATTTAATTGGTGATGTGGGACTCTCGTCAACGCCGAAGGCCGCCTGGTTTACGGATGGCTTCACCATCTCCATCTCGAGGCTGCGATTCGAACTTTGGATATTGCGCCGGAGTCTTTTACCAACTGTGAAGAGCAGGATGAGAAGACCGCTGGTGAAGATGAGATATGAAAGGATAATGCCAATGATCTCGAATTTCAGCTTCGACGGGTCTCGGAGCGCGGAAGCAGATAACGGAGGACCTTCCTCTGGAGGAGGAGCAGGGTCTAGGAAGATGTTGAGTTTGGACGGAAGTGCTCGAACGTGGTGAAGGTGAACAAGTATCAGTGTCGATAGAGTGATGACAGCTCTGAACATGTTGCGACTTCGGGAACTCAAGTCATGTCAAGTATGGAGCTCCTGAACAACGTCGCCCTGTCAGGGAACTTGCAGGGAGAGTGCCAGCTTGAGACAGCAGAATGTGAGCTGTACAAGGAGGGCGCGGCTAGATGTATATGCATTGTCCCCTGTAAGAGGCATGGCTGTTCCCATAATTGGCGCTCGGTCTGGGCTGGGGTGTGAACGCTTGGTGATTGGGTTAGATGGGTAAGAACGGTAAGAACGGTAAGAACTGGCGTGTGAAGAAACTGGGATGGTGTGCATCTAGGAAGAGTGATTGGCTCGAGCAACCGAGTCAATGCAGGAACCTCATTCTGCTTTGGGTAAGGTACGAATCTGCAAGCGCCCACTGCAAAATCAGTCTTCCGTTCACCGTTCAGCATCCAGACTTCTGCCCCCCTCCAGAAGCAACATGCCTATTTTTGGATCTTGTGTCGAACTGGCTGCTGGTTCCAAGCAATGGCAATCAATGCCGCTGTGGCTCCTCATCACAGCAAGTGACAGTCCTTTGTAAATCATCACCATCTGTAGTACCCAACCCCCATGTCACTGTTGGTACTCTGTATTTCACACTGTTCTGTGCGAACCGCACTCCATTATTGATCCTTTGCATCTGTTGATGGAGGACCACTGGTCACGAAGCGCCTTTCCATATCCCCATCCAATAGCCATCGCGCACCCTCGGACGAATACTCAAGTGGTTTTCTATAATGAAGTTTGTCCTCTGAGACCTCTACGCATTGCCCGGTCTTCCTTGTTAGCTTCCCATCCATGATCTCTTCCTTCATCAATTCATCGAATGCCTCAATGATTAAACTCATCGGCGTAATGTACTCTGGAGGGCATTGCTCGAGCAACCAGGCAGCGGGAAGAGCGGTGGCCACCAAGCCTGGCAGGATGGCATTGACAGTCAGATTGTCTTCTGCTAGAAGTTTCGGGCCGACACTCCTCGTTAAGCCTACCAGACCAGACTTCGCCGCGCAGTATTGAGGGCCGATGGAAAATTGATACAAGGCTACTGCCGACGCTGTGATGATCATTGCAGGTGTGAATAATGCCGATGCCGGGAGTTGAGCTCGAGTCTTTCGAGCGTAGTGGATGAACAGCTTGAGGCCGTACAACGAAGACAACAAGTCAACCTCGATTGTTGCTAGGTTCGGTTTGGCCGGTTCCGCCTCTAGGTCAAAATGTGCATATATTGATTCTTGATCAAGGATCCCAGCATTTGCGGCAAAGAAATCAATTCTCCCTTTCTCATCGTCGGTCACAGCAGATGACCAATTGAAAGCTTTTTTGAAGAGACGGGCATTGTCTTCCCACGATGAAACGTCTGTTCGCTCGAACATGACACGTCCTACATCTTCGCTAAGCGTTGGTGAGATGTCAAAGTACGCTTTCTCGTTGATATCCGCCATAACGATCATCCAGCAAATAGTTTTACTGGATAGGAGATGTCGCGTTAGAGCAAGGCCCATACCAGAGCATGCCCCGGTGATGATGGCCGTTCTTACTGGGGTTTCCGAAGACATCTTATTCTATCAGAACATCAAGCGCAATGAAAGCTTGTGTTGCGAAAGAATATGTATCTGAATTCCGGAAATGCCGGCTGCAGGCGAAGTAGTGCCGAGACAGCTTCTACTGAGCGTGAACGGGGATTGACTTCACAGTCACTGTTCAACAGTGTCCATTCGTGGTGATGTCTTCAAATGTCGTACTCGACCCTTCCTGAATAATGCCGCATGAAGTCACCCTGTGGAAAGTGATAGCAGCGCGTTAGCCTTCAGGTTTTGTGTTGAGGCTTGGGGTTTTAAGTTTCGGAGGCGGAGGTCAAGAGATGTGATCTACTTCAAGATGAGTGGTCTGTTTCCGGTCTTATCAGATGCCGCAAGGTTTCCTACATGTTGGCAGGACAGGGGATTTCTATGGACAAAGACATGGATTCACTAGACCTTGCAAATGAAGCCCATGCTTGCCACTGGAGGCCTGTGTTGAGCTTTATTGGCTGCCCCGTGGTGGGGTAGCCAGCTGTACTGGTATATCTTCTTTATTTTCTAATACCCAATCGGGATGATTCTAGTACTTGTCTACCCTTCGCTCCCTATAGTATCCTTCTCTTGACTCTAGCCTGTACTTAATCAAACAGAGTCCAAACACTCACGTCACGCAATCGCACATTTCGGAGCAGGTTATAAAGTTACCTATGGCTATCTTCTATCTCCCAATACCAAAGCAATTTCGTTGCAACTTCATTCCATAACCCTTTTGTGGAGAATACCCATAGACAACAAGAAGTTGTACGATGCACGAGGGCCCTTCATAGTTGGTCTTCAGGACACCAAAGCATGTGTGGTCATGCTAGTCAGTCTCATCGATCCCTCACTGCTTATACATTCCAATACGATTGGTTCGGTTCCTCCATCGAAGGACTCTTTCCTGAGTCATGATGTCATATCCACCATCCCTCCCACTGTAGCAAAGGACCAAGGAAGATTGCTAGGCTGGAAGCTCGCTGGCTGCCTCGTCGTGGCTACGAACCGGAGGGATTTCCTCGAACGACAGTACTCAACCAGCAGAATGCCATCAATATCTTAAGAACGATGCTGCTCAGTCAAGGAAGGAACTGATGTTATTGAGGCCACCCTAGCGCTAGAATAAAGGATCTAGATGCATCCGCAGCCTGTAAATGGCTTTGCAGTACTCCGTACGGTGCCAATGGTGCGAATGCAGAGCATTGCAGTGTGGTGGCAGTGGTCATCATGTAGCTAACGCTCTTGAGAATGCAGCTGATCGGTGGATGCTCATTCCAGCATTTTCGGTCACAATAGAGTTCGATGATTCACCGATCATATGGTTGGATCGAAAATTTGAGAATGTCCGGTCTGGTCCAGTGCTGAGACTCTGAAGAGTTGTCCAGAATCTATTTGAACCTTAGTTTTGATGGATAGCTGTCTGTGCAAGAGCCTTATCATGAACGAGCATTGATGGAAAACGCACGATCATCAGCTCGCTAGTGAGGCAGAGAACACCGTTCATGTCGATTGACCTCTGCTTTGAGGATTTTCTCATGCCGCCCATTGAATGCGTGATGGTCTACATGGTTTTCAATGCTAGACCAGTTCTAGGAGGAAAAGACCTCTTCAATCGTATTGACAGAGGTACAAAATCTCATACTGATATACTCATTATTGTTAGAGGATGTAGCAAACAGCGTACGGAGGTGCCAATTCACTTGATTGAGTTACCCCTATCAAGAGGAGCATTTGCTCATACTAATAGCTATAGAAGCGCATTACTGTAACAGCTCAGAAACAGCATTTGGCGTTCAATTCGTATAGCAATGCTCACTGCCATAAATGACAGGGCGTAACAGTTACAACAGCGTTTCGTGCGTTTTGCATGCGGGGACCCTTGTACCATCATGCTAATACGCAACAGATACGTATCATATACGCAGGGATTCTGACAATTATAAGCATAGCTCCGATCATAGCGATCTGTGACATGATAGTGTTGCATCTGTTCGAGAACACTAATGAGTGGGTAGCCGGCTCTGAGCCGAACCATGTTGTTAATCAAGGACACCCGAACTCTGCTTCGCTCATAGAAAATATGCATTTGCGCCCTCTCTCTCTTGGGGTAAGACGATGTGCACGCTAAGAGCAAAGGACTAGGTTTGCTTCAATCTCGGTGATTACTGTTGTGTCAAGCGGCCATCGGTAACTGGTAGCATTGAAACTGCCAGATTCTGGATTGAGCTGACCCTGATATGTTGTAACCAAGGGTACGGTTGCTCTGCTTTGCTCATCATTGAGCTGGCATTACTGTCATCACCCAGACAGCGTGGTGCTGAAAGTCTCGAGAGATCTGCTTCTTCATTTGGAAAGAAGCTGGATCAGGACCGAAAGCACCTCTATCCATCAGCCTGGCTCTCGGTTTTGGGGTGAAATCACGAATGAGCCGAGTCTATCAACCTGATTATTTATCACAGACTGCAGACCCAACCCGTTGCTCTGTGTCCTAAAGATTAATGCCTGCTGTGGGGGCACCATAGAGATGTGGAAATGCTTTACGGAGTAAGTATTTATGTAAGATTGCGGAGAGCCATGCGCCACACCACCTGCAGTGGAACTTTAGACTGCACATCTCCACTCTTGATGAAAGAAGCTTCCACAATCCCAGTAATGTCTCTGGTCTTCAGATACTCACCATGATCCAAAGATTGCCATTGCGCTTGAATGCTAACTCTGCTCGACACTTACGACGTCAGTTTTGCTCCTCCAGGCGTCTTTCTGCAGATCACGTAAGGATCGTCGAGGTTGGTCCTCGAGATGGGTTACAGAACGAGCAAAGAACGATCTCATTGAAGACAAAAATTGAGCTCATAAAACGCCTTGCAAAGACTGGCGTAACGCATATGGAAGCTGGATCTTTCGTATCAGCAAAGTGGGTACCACAGGTAGGTCCCTTGTACTGACACAGCAATATCTAATTGAAAGACATCTCTCTATCATGGAAGGTACTAAGTCTGTTAGATGGCGTCAACTCCCGAAGTCTTTCAGAGCATTGTGTCTCGACCTCCTCGGGCACCTCACCCTATTGCTTACAATTACCTCGTTCCCAATCTACGGGGAGTCGAGACCCTTGTTTCCGTGCTTGAGTCGCACGAGACGCCTCTCCCATCCAACAATGCTGATCAGGCCCCTATCACTTCAGCCGATGATCCTAATCGCATGGCCTCGGAGAATCCTGTCCCAAACGCGTCCCAGAATACTACCGAGATATCACTTTTCGCAGCTGCAACCGAGACTTTCTCGAACAAGAACACAAATTGCAGCATCCAAGAGTCACTAGACAGATGTAAGCGCATCCTAGCCATAGCCAAGGGCAAGGGCATGCAAGCACGTGGCTACATATCTGTCGCCCTTGGTTGTCCATATGAAGGACCTGATGTTGATCCGCATAAAGTCGCAGAAATGACTGCTACTTTACTGGAGATGGGATGTGACGAGGTCTCTGTGGCTGACACTACGGGCATGGGAACCGCTCCCAGAACACAGCGACTGCTCAAAACATTGAAAGAGGCGGGCATACAGAACGAGGACATTGCTTTACATTTCCACGATACCTACGGCCAAGCTCTTGTAAACACCGTTGTTGGCCTTGAGCATGGCATACGCACATTTGATAGTTCGGTAGGCGGTCTGGGTGGTTGTCCGTTTTCCAAGGGGGCCACTGGCAATGTTTCCACAGAGGATCTGCTTCATCTACTGCACTCGTTGGGAGTACAGACAGGCGTGAGTTTGGAGAAGATGGCAGAAATCGGTGCCTGGATCAGTGGAGAACTGGGTAGGCACAATGATAGCAGAGCCGGAAAGGCCACTCTAGCACGAAGGCAGGCATAAAAGAAGGTCATATGTGCTCGTCGGTTCCGTTTCAAACCCCACCACCCTTCGCCTCAGTCTCCGGTCTCTCAAATGGATACGTACGCCGCATTGGTGTCGACTACCCACAACCAGTGCCCTAATGCTCTGAATGGAAGTTGCCTATGCTCATAAGATTTTTGAAAGAGCGATTGTGCCTTCCTCCATTCCAATGAGCATTTTGCCGGGCCGATGAGACGCATTGGCAACGCCTTTCTCGTCCTTGTCCTCAGCTTTCATACATCAGCATTCATTATCGTCACAATCGCTGCATTCTGCTGCTGTTCAGCTGCGGACTTTTTGGACGTTCCATTATCCGTCTATGCTGAGAAATCCTCGGATCGCTACGCCTGCTCAGAAGCAGGCTACTCCGTAACCAGAAGAGCTGCGCCTGTCATTACTGCGTCAGACTCCACACAAAATGCACACGCTCACAAGCCTGTTCATCTTGCTCCTGTACCTATTTCACATCAGTACAACCGGCGTTTCCACAGCAGAGTTAAATGGTTCCACAAATCCATGCAGTTCTTCTCACCCAGACGAACCTTCATCTTTGGGGTCTGGATTAATCACTCACCTGCGAAGGATGCCGCAACTTCTACCTCCTAACGACACTTTCAAACCTCAAACGGTACTGGATCCAATTGACACAACGTCCATACCAATTGCACCCACCCAGGTTTCGAATTCCACCAACAATCCGAATCCTACACCTCCACTGTTCGCATCCCCACCAGCTCAAACGTCCCTACCCGACCCGCATCAAACTGGCTTCCAGATACAGGCACTCAACCTCAGTTTAACGCAGTTTGACGTGGACCAGTGCCACAGAAGCAAGCACTGTCTCCTCTGTCACAACCCAGACACGGTTCTCACGTGCTACAAGTACAATTGCCAGTGTCAACGTGGCCACCCGGCAGAGCATTACATGGCCGCCTCCAGGGAATCCTGCTACGATTCCGAGCTCTGCCTTTCCTGCCCACCGAAATCAATGCCGTTTACCTGGGGCAGGATGGCCGTGTGCTTAACTATCTTCAAGCATAAGCCTATCAAGGGGGAGGCAAATCCATTGACGAATTGGACGGAAGAGGGGGTGAAGGGCTTGCCGGTGGGCAAGGTGGTGATGAGCAAGGGAAGTAGGCTCGCAAGGGGGATCCCTGCGCTTATGAGCAGCAAAGGCGGCTTGGGGATCGTAACTGTGATCTACCTTTTAATGGTGTGATAGAGCGAAGTTGGGAGGTCTAAGGGTCTGGTTTACAAGGAGGTTGATGGGGGAGGAACAAACAATGGGCGCTTTCATGAGGGTGATCCATATAGCTGCTTGCTCCAGGGTAGGAGAACTACCATAGCGGATCCAGCTATGCGCCACCAACTGGTGCGCGAGGTAGGCAGGACGAAAAAGCGGGACATGTTAAGTTGGGATTGGTCCGTCGGCTTTAGAATAGAAGATCTAGTGTATCAACGTATCCTTGCACAAGGTACAAGTCTTGCAGGCAATATGCTCCATAGCAAATTCATACACATATCAATTAGTTAAATCATCACTCCCTTTCGTTCGATCGATCCATCCATCCATCCGCCGCCTGCCCGCCTCCCCCAACTTTCGTCTATCCCCATACAACCTTATCTCCAACATATCTCTACGTCAAAATAACTCGTTTCACTCCCTCAATCACCGACCTGAGTCCCCCTCTCCTTCCTTGCACCGCCAAACAAATCCCTCCAAAACTCGCGAAACCCGTACCCCTTCCTCTCTAGATCCTCATCCCGAACCCTCTCGGCCAGATGGCCCTTCCATCTGCCTTCTTTCGCACCAAACCTCTCCAACACCCCCCCTTCGCTATGCCCGATCACCTCCACCTTCACCCTTGGCGCCTGAGCCCGTTGTCTGATTTCGTCTGCGAGTAAGGGCGCGACGTCGGCGTAGCAGCGGTTCAGTTCGCGGGTGAGGCTGTAGTAGGGTTTTTGTGCGAGAGAGGGCGCCATGAGGTTGTAGGAGCGGGTGAGGGTGTTGAGGGTGTCGATGGCGAGGGTGTGGTAGGCGCGTTCGGCGGATTCCCAGGTTGGGTCGCGGAAGGGGGTGGCCATGGGGAGGATTGGTCTTGGGGGTGATGGTGATGTTGATGTTGGTTGTGGAGGTGGAGCGGTATGGGTTTCTGATGAGGTGGTGAATGAGTGTGGGGTCTGAGGCGGAGATGAAGAGGGCGAGGAGGCGGCAGCTTCTGGTGGCGTTTCGGTGATTGTTATGGTTGAGGAGATCGTGTGATGAGCCGCTGCTGGTGGTGCTTCTTCTTGTGCTTCTTCTGCTACTGGCGGTGGCGGCGTTTCCTTCACAGTAACGGTAGATAAGTTACCTTGGCTATCGATCTTGCACAATTCCTCGACCTTGGTCTGGAGAGGATTGGCGTTCTCCTCTGCCAGAGCATACGCTTGAGCTCTCCTGATCTGTGATTCCAATGTGCCACCTTTACTCGCAATCATCCTCGCCGCATGTCTCTTCCAATCATTCCTCAGTCTACCCCTAAAGCTCGCAACGTTCTTGACCAGCTCTTGCTGCCTCTCGATCCAAGGTGGGACGATCTCCTGTTTCTGGATGATCTTGTTCATAAAGTATTCTGTCGTGTCGAGGAAAGGACTAGAGGCATTGTAGTCCCTTTCCACGTTCTTGCCTTTGCCTCGTGGGATATTCTTAAATTGGCCACGTGCAATAGCATCCTCAATACGCTCGTTGGCTAGACTGGTCAAACCTTGCAGGGTAGTTGGCATGGGACGTGCACCAGGAGAGAAGCGCTCTTGGAGCTCTTTACGCATTTGATTGCGCTCCCCCTCACTCATCTCGTTGGAAAGAGCTGCAGCATAGATAGATGTTCTGTCTCGAGCATTGGCAAGTCGTTCACCAGTCGATGTGGATTTCTTCGGTCTTGGACGTAAATTGGTTGGCTGAGGGACACGTGGAGCGCGGATGCCGCGCAACCGTTTGTGGCTGTCGTCAAGCATTCGTAGAGAGGAGTCGTGGAGTGACTCGGTGCCCGTCCATGGCTGGGCTGTCGCTTGATCTCGTGTACCTTTGCCTGCTGAGGACTATGTGCTGTGAGAATCTGCAGAAGAGTCCAGGAGTAGAGCTATGTAAACATACTGGCATCTCTGCTGCAGCAAAAGCCCTTCGATTCTGGTTGCGAAAAGCGCTGTCGGTGATCCGCGATTCGAGTTGTTTCTTCAACTCCTCCGAGAAGCCGGCTGCTTCGACATTTTTCGCAGCTGAGGGTCCTCCACTAGCAATACTGTCTGCGGTCATCTCTGCCAGCCTTCTAGACATTGCGCCTTCCTCCATATCCTTCTCCCTGGCATTGTGTTCATCTTGCCTATCTGCCGTGGTCGGAGCATGTCCAGAAGCAAGTGGCGGGGCGTTTGTGAAAGTGCGCAGGGCGACGGCTGGGCATCTGATTACCGCAACTGGTATGCGCTGGATTTGGGCAAAGCTTGAGTAGGTCCAGACAAACCTTGCTCGCATGCTAAGACGATGGGGTAAGACTTCTCTGGAAACGAGATTGGGATCGCATGAAAATGTGCACATGGGATCAGTGACTCAATTATGTCATCCGAGTCCACTCCCTCGAGTCATGGGTTGTGGGGAAACTCTTGGCAGCTCAATTACTCCGAACTCCTAAGTTAACTTGTGGCAGTGGCAACCCTTCCCTAAGCCCTGGAAGGACTGCGGTCAAGTTGCGGCGCCTGCAAGACGGACTCGTCGCTGTCGGAGTCATCCGATTCGCAAAGTGTCTTGAATCTATCACAAAGTACAATACGATGCGATACATTCAGCTAGGCAAACGGACATGCCCTACGGAGAGAGTTTGTAGGTCATGCCGATATGGTTTGCGTAGCTTCTCTGAACGGATCGCGGACCTGGGTAAGTATTTATCGGGTTTTCACGAGGCTTAGCATAATATTCGTGTAAGGTGTATTGCGGAGGCTTGTGCTTCCTCTTTATACCCATATCAACATCGACTTGCTTAATCATATCCTTGCTCACTGTTTTGTTATAGTGCACAAAGCTCTGATTCTCAACCTTCATCCTCAATCATCACATTACAATGGAGTACTTCAATGTTGATGACGGCGATTGGGTCAAGGAGTTGCACCCGCTCGCTTTGACTTTAATTGATATAATCTAGGCATTTCCATGTTGCCATACGTCTCTGATATGGAGATGGAGAATCCGTTCTTCGGTGTCAATTCGTTGGTGGAGACTTGAGGGACCGAAGAAGTGTCATTGCTGTGCCCATCGGGTCGAAAAGCCGCCCACGCAAATTCCTGAAACTACCAAAGAGCGATACGACTAAGCATCCGCTAGAGTCTACAGGAAAAAGGATCATAAATCTGATTGGTCAACCACCAGAGGCCAGGTTTCCTTGGAGGATGAGACTGTAGAGACCCAGAGTCAGGCCATTATCGATCTCATTAGGCCAATCCTTGCGGAGGTCGAAAGACTGACCACTAAGAAGAAAACCAAGATTGAGTCGTCTTTCAAGGATCTTTATATGCTCATCCCAAAGATTGTCCAGCTTTCACGCAGGTACGACGCCGACAGCAAATGAGCGACAACATCTGGACGTGCTGGTTGAAGTGAAGAAGTCTCGCCATTTATCCTATTCCCTCCCATTCAGACCCGAAGCTGGAGCAAATGCTAGCACAGAGAGGGGAGAGTCTTCTCAACTTTCAGGACCTTTCACAGCGTGAATACGATGAAATTTGCTGAGATAGCTTATCTCTCCAACCATGATGTAGATGTGCCTGTCCAAAATCGTGAACGGGTGTGCTCCTACATACATTGTCGAATAGTCTCAATGCTAACTCCTGCAGGTCACTGGCCATGTCATCATTGATGGGCTAGGCCTCAAGATGATCAACCCCAACGAGTTCCCAGAGGCTCAGGAGTTAGAGTCTTCGGATCTCAAGGATCAAGACGTCAAGTCGTTCCGCAGACTGTACCCTACATATCAGGGAAAGCACGTGTGTATTACCACGGATCCATCTAACCGAAGACAAATGATGTTCACTGTAAGAACAGAAGCTGAACAGAAGATGAACAGATAATTCTCCAAGGGATCAACCCCAATATCTTTTGATAGTGAAGCCAACTCTGGCCGGATATTCCTTGAAGCTCAACGGGTGGTGTACCAAACTTCGTCCGTTGTTCTAGCCTCTTCTGACATGATTATAGTATAGTTCAGAGTTAACAAACCGAGGAACGTGCTCTGAAACTCGAGCGCATTTGACCAACTCGTACTACCTAAAACCCGCAAAGGCCCACTCCTGACGTTTGTTGAGAGGCACGATACTAAAATTTGAGCCACATCAGAGACGTATAGCGACCAGATCGGCATCCGAGTGTGCGCCGCGATGCTCACTGCATTGATTCGGCATGCTAAGTAAACGTACCTAGAGAAGTCTCGCCGGCCACCGTCGTTGCAGAGGTACTACTACGGTATCAGGCACAATATTTGTCAGTACCATGCTAACAGCAGCTGGTTCGGATACGAATCCACATAGAGTTGATTAGTCATCAAAAAGCTTACAAGGTCAAGCAGCCACACGCTGCCTAAAATCATCCTTGGATTAGCGCTATTTTGCCATGCTTAGGGTGACGACTGTTTTGGTCCAAAAACACTAGCAAAGGAGTGACAATAATTATGCCTGGATCAGAGCTTCGGGGCTTGGGCACTCTTGTCATGTAAGACACGTCCCCTCACTGAATCGTCTAAGGGCCGTTCAAGGCAATTCCATGGTTGCTCCCGAGCACTCTCATTCAGCATTCTCTCCAGTGGACTGTAACTCTTGTCCTTCGTTTTGACACCCCCTATTGCTTCTGCTGGCCCGGAATAGCTATCGATGTTTGTCAGCAACCCCTAACAATCACAATTTTGCATCGTCAAGTCTTACGGTTTGCTTTCCGCTCATTTGTCACTTCGCTCCATTCTCTGGTCTTTCTGCGTTTTGAAGTTCTTGACATGCCGGTCAGCTACATGTGTGCAACTTCTGAACCAATGACAAGTGGAGAGTGGTCTACCTTGGATGGGAAGCCTTGGGTGGTGAGGCTCCTAGGCTCTGAGACCAAATCTGTGCGACCAAGATACTAAAAGTATTCAGACTTCTCTGCTTGACTCTAGGAGTTTGGCAAAACGAGGGCTACTGTACCTCCTTTATAGGAGCAACCCGTATTCCTACAATGCTGCAATGCAAAATTTGCCTCGTCCATATCCCTGTGAAGTTGAACCCTGATTATGCTGCTTACCGGCGAACTTGGATTACGACGTAGCCCGAAAAAACCAAACGACTTAGCTCAGGGACGCACGGAGCATCGAGCGGAGGCTATTCTGAGCTCCAACAACATCTACGATTGGCTTATGCTGCAGCATAAAGCTCTCGTCATCATAGCCAGGGTCTGCGCGAATCGGAGTAGCAGGATGTTTGGCAGGTTGTGGTCATGAATGCACCTCTGAACCGCGACACCATGGAGGGTCACACGCTCTAGATTGCCTTGTCGGGTAGAGACTAACGGCAGCAAATAACAGTCGCATGGGCTCATAGGGATCGATGTCGATCCCCCAATGATGCACGAGCCTGGCGACAACGTAGGTGTCTCATCGAGTTACAGCCTCGTTGGCAACGGTGTGATTCGTTGAGGAAGTTAGGTGGGCCTCATCTACTGACATGGTCGTCCCTTGCGTGGGGATCTCGGGATGGATCCGGGTACATGCAGGCATATCTTACTGACGGGGGGGGGATATAATTATCAAAGTATAGTGCTAGAAGCAACCAGTAAAGATAAAATGCCACGTATCGACTTCTTGCCGTAACGAGAATAGAGTGCCCAGAAATCGCCTAACCAAGGTTAACTCATGTCTTTGATCGAGATCGAGTGACACGGATATCGTAGTTACAAGGGTGGTAGGCGTGCTAGGGATTCTTCTGCCAGATACCGTAGTACATCATGCACTATTGGTCTGTCATTAACTAGGCCTTTAATCCCGCAAGTGACAGGCAGGTTGTGTGAGTAAGACGCCATCTGCAGCCAAAAGCCTACGGCGTTGATCCGTATGATGAGCCAATCCAGCTCAATGTGAACTTAATATATATCGCACTTTGGCAAACCATCCACTCGTCGAACCGTAAACTGCAGGCTCAGTTGGCTGCGTAAGATGCTACCATTGTTCTGTAGTGCGGTTGCTGCTGGAACTTGGATTGGGGTTGTCGGATTTGTTCCAAGAATGATACTGTAGCTCGAGCATCGTTTAGCGTCGTGCCTCTTGGAGTCTACGACGATGGCGAGTGACCCCAGTGAACCTGCGAAGCAAACTCCGACACCGAGCAGGCGTCCAATCACACAATAAGGTTCACCATTCTCAAGATCTTGGGTTGTTGTGGGATGCTGCTCAACTACCGCGGCATCGTGCATATCGTGGGTGACCGACTTGATCGGGTGGGTAGGTGGTCGGCTGCACAGGCCAGTTAGTCACATCACGTGAAAATAAATAAGCCTATCAAAAGCGAAGAGGTGGCAATGTTTTACGACCAGCTAGTACTAGCGCTGTGCTAACCTCATCCCATGCTTCCGTACGTACTACGTAGTATTCTTCATAACATTCAGCCCCACGAGGCGCCAAGCCATCTAGGCTAACGTCTTCGTTCTACTAAGTAGCTTAGTACTATGTCCAAATCGCAGCCAAAGAGGAAGCGCAAGGTTCGAGGCTGGGTATTGACACCACAAGCGCACCCTTCTCCGAGTCCTCGACAAGCTCTAACCAAGCTCAGAACTCGGCAATACAAGACCAAGATCGCCCATTAGGGTCTAGGCCAGCATGACAAAGCCAGTGACATCACATGGGCAGCCACCAGGCAGGAGAAGCGGAAACGTGTAGCTGGACCTGAGACGGTCTTTATCGTGAGAAATGCCCAGCTCGAAGACGAACAGCTAGAGCGTTTCGAAAAACGTAACCAGGACCAAGCGTCTCCATCCGCACGGGAGTGGCTACAGTCCTTCCAAAAGTGCTGGCAGTGTTGACCATAGGTCTTCAGCACACCGCAGGGAGTTGAGTACGTCACGCCTCGTGGTGCGGCAGGTCTTACACAAACAACAACAGTCCATCTGCTTGGAGCCCGTTGGGCAGAATCCTAACCTTCCAAGAAATGTTGCAAACAGCAAGAATAATGAGACATTCAGTGCACAAGTCATGGGGTACGATCGATGTGCCGAGCCTGTCACAATCGTGAAGGTGAGGTGAGGAATATATAGACACCGCGACGTAGATGAGCAGCCACCAAGGCACAAATTCCGTCAGAGCGGGAAGTTGGCGGCAGTGGGCCGCGGCCGATTTTTGAAGAGACAGAAAGCCACAATTGTTCTGGCCAGTGAGTAATATGGCATCGGCCACGCAGGCACATATGCATGGACCTCAAAGCTTGCAATATCGAACATCGCTTTGTCATCAGATGTGAACGCGCAGGTTCCTCAAACCGCTTATATCTACCGAGGCTGGTCCCACAAGCTCTTCTTCCTCCGATGCAACTGCGAGAACAAGGCTCACAAGAACGATGAGTCCGAGCACTTCATCAATCTATAGGATGAGAACATGTGCGAGGAAGAAACGTCCTACTCGATGGAACGGGAGACTCTTGTAGAGATATCACGGATACCTTCGAGCCGCACCCGCAGGAGTCTTCCCACGTGCTGATTGGAGGTTCATGCGGAATACTCGAAAGACTCACCGGAAGAGGATCGGTGGGATGCAGAAGGGGACGCAGGAAGTGAGGGCGAGAAGTTTGAGCCATTCCCACCTGCAGAGCATGGCGAGAAAATCTTGAGTCCTGCCATGCACCTGTATTGACAGGACGTCTCAGATTACCTCGCATGCTTTGTTCGACAATGCAGTACGGCATTTAGTTGAACTTGGGTTCTGTATTGGTACTACTGATCTGGAGCACTTGCAATTCTTGGCACTAATGTAGGCAGAAATTTGCGCTGGAGCCCTACTTTCGAGCTGGTCTTCTTTAGGGTACTGTGTTATCTGATATATGCCGGAATTCAACAAAACTGCCCACGGCATCATGCTAAATACTTCATCGTCGCTTCTTAGCACCATTGGAAACATGCCTGTTCGGACATCTAGCAGGCAATCAGGATGCAGTCTCTACCTAAACAATTGGTTGTACGCCTCTTGGTATTTGCTTTTAGTTTTCAGGATCACGTCTTCTGGTATTTCGACGCCCTCTTGTCCTTTCAGATTAGAAGCGGTCAACCAATCTGAGCAAGTCAGTCACTCATCATCTGACATCAAGAGAAGCGCTAAACTTGCCTCGTAAATACTGTTTATCAAGACTTTCCTGTGCTCTGCCTGCTTGATATGTATCGGCTGGCCAGACACGGCTGCTATCGGGTGTGAGAACTTCGTCAACAAGTACAACTTGGTCTGATGTTTCGTCGAGTCCGAATTCAAACTTGGTGTCTGCTATGATGATACCGCGGGACAAAGCGTAAGTGCTTGCCTTTGAAGATGTGAGCTCAAATGTTATTGTTAATAGATAGCAAAACAGACCTTGATGTATATCTCTAGGCTCAACTTTTCGATCTGTTCTGCATACGGCTGGCCAACAATCTCCGCAGCTACTCAAAATCAGTACGAAAACTAACTTCGAGACAGATACCACATACCTTGATCAGGATGTATATTTTCATCCTTGCTTCCGGGTTCTGCCTTTGTAGCTAATCAGACGTTAGCGATCTTCATCTAATGCTCATGGTGATCCAGTCGATCAATTCCCAGCTTACAAGGTGTATAAATTGGTTTCTCCAATTTCTCTGACTCCTGTAACCTCCTTCCCCCGGGTCCCGATACCGTGATGCCATGAATAGTACCCTCCTCGGTGTACTCCTTCCATGCACTACCAGTGACATAACCACGTACAATGGCCTCGATGGGAAAGACCTTCAGCCGTCGGACCTGCATAGTTCTGTCCTGCAGCTGATGAACTAGTCGTTCTGGCACGCTTTGCTTCAGTGTATCTGGAATAGAGAGCTCGATGAAATGGGTGTGAAGTGCCGGGATTTCTGACTTGAGAAATTCGAACCAACGTGCCGAGAGCTTCGTGAGAAGAGATCCTTTTTGCGGGACACCCTCAACTCAAAAGTCAGTTGGACCATCTGTTGGCTACCTGGAAGCAGACAAGATGTCCAATATGCCTTACATTTTTCATGATACAGTCATATGCTGATGCAGAGGTCAGTAATTATTCCGAGTCCTGCAATCGAGAGAGGCAATACCGGAGATTCTGTCCGTTGCAACAAACAGAAGTTTCGAGTCATCAAGAGTGTAGATTTCACGTACCTTACCACGGGCGAGGAGTGGCAAGTACCGTTCTAGATCTGTTTGAAGTATAGGTTCTTCTGAGGCCATTGTTTAGGAATTTTTCCAGTGAGTCTGATATGGATAGTGGGTTAGGCTCAGAGCAACGTTCGTCTTATATCGCGAGTCAGTTCGCACAATCTTTCCTTGGAATGTTGGAAATCAACAAAGCTTCCATTATCCTAGTGGAATATTAATTGTAGTCCACTGACTTTAGGTGTTATTCTACCACCAAATCGTTTGTGTTCAAGACAAAGTGTTGTGACCAATGGCAGTAAGAAAAACAAGTCCAGAAGCAGCCAATGAAATCTCGCAGTTGAAGTATTGCCCATTGCTAAAGTGTTGCAGCTCCCCTGACACATGATTCGGAGTTGCCGCTGCTCTGGCTGTTCATATCACATTCTTCATTACGCAATGTAGTGTTCTAAAAACTATGTTATTTAACTAGTAGCTATAGATCTACTAATCATTTTTTGAGATGGTTTTCTGTTTTGAAAGCTTAGATATGATAGATTGAATGAATGAAATTTTATATGTTGAAAGTGTACTCGATCGAAAAGACATTCTCTGTATATAAATCTGTACCAAGAGAATCAGAAGAAACTCAGCTACAGAATGATATAAGTATTATACATTTTAGATTCTTTCACGGCCCTCTGTAGCTGTTTAAGTAGACCAGAGGAGCAGCAACAACTCCGGAAGTATGCGCCAAGGAACTGCAACACTTTTGCAATGGGCAATAACCAAGATATCATGACTTTGCACACGCACATACATACTGCCACAGAGATCCAAATAAATTAGATACCACTTACTCTGTACTCTCAAAGTACTGGACAAGCAAACTCCCACCAACCCATCCATGCGGCCTTGACGGCCACAACATCCCGTCTCTCTCTCGCAGCCATCCCATCCCAATCCCGTCCCCCAAAACCCCGCCTACAAAGAGCAAAACCGGAGCAATGCCCCCCAAAGGCGCGCCCACCCAACTCAAACCCATCCGCCTGCAGTCCATCTCCGCGCTCCGGGTCAAAAGACCAGACAAGCAGCAGACGAACCCGTGCCAGGGCGCAATGTCGGCAATGTTGAGTGCGCCATCCCCAGCAACTATCCTCCCTCCCTCCCTTCTTTCTACCTTCGGCGCGCAATTCTCTCTTTCACTCGGATCTGACCCTGTGTCCCCCCCAAATTATAGGTTGCTGGGCCTCCTCCGGGTTCGGAACCACGACCTGCATGGCCGCTGAGGAGTCGTTGCGGAAATGCATGGACGCGCCGGTGAGTAGCCTATGGCACGCCTCCGGTGACCGACTCAGATGTTGCTCGTTTGGTTTGAGCTGGAATGGGAAAAGAAAGGCTGACACGTTCTGGGTTTGCATAGAAACCACCCAAAAAGAACAAGAGCACGGTCAACTACCACCTGGCAAGGCTGTATCCTAACATATCTGGGCCGCAGAGACGGAAGGGAAGTCTGGGCTGATGCGAATTACACATGTCAACAGAAGCTACCAGGAGAAAAAAAGATGATTCATTTGCATGTACACGAAAGGTCCCTACTTCGCTCAAGGACTTTCGCGTAAGGACTTCCGCGTGCTAGTGGTACAGTTGAGCATTACAAGAATATATAGTTCGTGCTCCCATCAGCATGATCCATCGCTCCTTGGACGCCATCGCTTGCGTTCCATAACTTCGCAGTGTTCATAACTCATGCGCCCATGCTGAAATTTGAATCATATGCCTCCCAACTGAATCAATGCTTTCGTGACCTCAGCTCTTGAACATGTAGTGGCCGTACATACCACCAACCTCCTGCACAGCAACTGGCACCTTTTTCATTCCCCACCATCGAGCACCCATCTTCCAGCTTCGTCTTCCGTCATCGGTGTTATCGCTGGATGGCAGTCTCACGAACCAACCACGTCGTCCAAGCTCTTTCACAGTCCAGCCAATTTGTTTGATCGTGCTTGCTCGCATCTTCAGCTGCTGTATGGTAGGATCGCTTAGCTCGATGACATCTAGCGGATAGCTATGTGCAGATGCCAGCACGCAGCTTGGACCGAACAGAGTTGCCTGGCTGACTGATGGAACGCCTGTCAAATCTATATACCGCAACGTGCAAGGCTCCCAGTTGAGCTCCTCCTCAGAGATCTCGGAATCGTTATCATGGCTTGGAGGACTTGGAACAAAGAACGAGTTGATATGAGAGACTGACAAATCAGCGTGGCTCAGGCCTAGTTCTTCGAGGTGCTTAGTTAGAGGGAGCAGCAGCGGCACGTGCTTGTTGAAAATTTGCGCCCCGCCAATATTGAGTGATCTCATGGTGGGCGGTAGTCGTCTTAGAAGCTTCTCAAGATCATCATGTGAGAGCAGCATATAACGCGACATATCTGCCATGATATTCAGATAGATTAGCGAATTCTTGACGGCCTCATGCGTCGTCAAGAATTCCACCAATTTGGGCCCGGTGATCCTGGTGCATTTGCCCAAACCCAGATGAGTGATATGGGCGCTCCGTGGAATTGACAACAACGCTTCGTCAGTAATGAGAGTCATACCCACATCGAGATGAGTCAAATGCGGTAACCGTGGTAGGAGTGCTTCAAAGACTGGCGCTTGCAGAGTCGTGCATGCGTGGAGCCCAAGCCGCTTCAGATTCCCGAGAGACCCTGGAAGAACATCGTTTGAGTTGAGGGTGGCTGTAAAGCCGCTCACAAACCTCCGAGATGAGCACGCACAGAAATCCATAGCATGAACGGATGGCATTGAGAATAGTTTCTTCAGAACTTCTCCGTCAAGCTCGTCATCGATATGTTCGTGAACCTGAAATTCTTTCAGATTGGTGCATAGATCGAAGCATTGTAACAATGTTTTGGGCGTCAAATTCTGAATTTCCCAACTGTCCCTCCTGGTCCGTCCAAAGCCAACTGAGGTGTAGTGGGAGAAGTCCAAACGCCTCACGAGTGTGCCGAGCCCCGGGTATTCAGTGATATGATTTAGCACCTTTGAAAAGGTGATTGAGTGTGGTATCGTGATATGTTTGTAGAAGACGCTCAACGTGGCCGCATGCAATGTTCGACTTGTCATTAAGCAAGCAATAAGGTCTCTCTTACGTGGCCCATAAGACTCCGGTGATAGGTCCTGCATGAGGTATGAAAGAATCATATCTGCAAGGCTGTTAGCTAAATGGCTATCGCACCAGATGAGTTGAATGCAGCATTACCTAAGATCTCATAGGGCATATCTTCGAGGCCGACTTTCCTGAATGCTAAAGCCTGGATATCCATCTTGCGATCGTCTTTCTTGCTAACAGTATTCCAAACCCACTCATCCCGTAGGTTTGTCAGCCTCTCCAAATCCGTAGAACTCTTGCTCTGCCTCTTGCCTGCAAGCTTGACTTGTTTCCAACCCTGAAAAGCCCCAGATGGGCAGTAGAAATTTGGTGTTGCTGAGAATGTGTGAGCGCTGTCTATGCTTGTCGTTTGCTTGCTGTTTGGAGATGGAGGCAATTTCTCGAGGAACGATTGAGGAATATCTGAAAAAGTATAAGTAAACCATGAGAAGCGAAGGGGTGTTATGAGCAAAACCGCACCAGTAATGTCTTCATTGATTGAGCCAATCGAAGCTCTCCGCACACGGCTTTGCGATCTCGAACCCCTGGCTCTCAAAGCTCCCTTCATTGAGTTTGTACGCCCTGCAGGACTATGTTCACGCGTCTCCCCTAGCTGCAGAACTTTCGTCGAGGGTAACGGCGCGGTACCAGGTTGTACGGTACCGGGATATCCGGTACCGCTGATCCCGCCGCCCTCGTCGATAGTTCCGTTCAAGTATGGTTCGACAGCAACAACAGTTTGCTCCTGTGCTGGTGTATTATGCCAAGTGGCTTGTCCCGAAGATTGTTCTCCACGGTTCCGGTCGTGGTGTCTGGGGAAGCTGGGTAGCTTTTTCGGACTAGCTGCCGATGGTACCTTGTATGCTGGAATTGAAGGCTGGGATGGGATTATGGTTTGGGCAGGACGATAGTCTACAGCTATGTCCATGTTGGAAATTATATTCCGCCAGTAAGGCAGGAGCAAGGCGGGGGAATGGTCAGACGTTGGTTACAAAAAAAGTGATGAGAGAGGGGAGAAGAGGACGACTAGGAAAGCTGCGGCTGGGTGTCAGACATTAAGAGCAGGTGTAAGATGTCAGAAGAGGTAGTTATGAATAAGAGAAATAAGCTGAAAGGATGAGTAATTGGGTGTGACAAACGGAATGATTATTCTCTAAGTTTCTGTCAGGATTGAGATGAAGCTCGGTGCAAGGGGCGAAAGGTGGGTGCAAGGCTGAAGGCCGGTGTGGACTGGTCCTGATCTTCGGCTTGGGCGGCAGTAGAATTCCATTGAGTCATAATATTGAATTGAGGACAGCACGAAAACGACTTGATTGGATGTGGGATTGCTTTGATGTGATGTGGAACTGACGAGCACGTCCAAATTGATTGATTGACGGCAATGGATAGCTGAGCGAGCAAGAGTGTGTCCATTTGCGATGTGTCAACAATGCCTACGCCAAGCGTCCCCGCAACTGCACGTCACACAATTCCACTCTGTCAGAATTCTCATCAGCTAATATATTCAATTTTTTACGCGCCAATGCTACCACCTGAAAGCCAGAGGTACACCACGTGCCATGCAAAGCCTTCCAAATCAACCCGTGACACCATTGGATGTGGCGTGTAACATGACAAACGAGCATGCTACCACAACCCTCCCGCGGCGGACTCGGCCCATAGGAGGCGCCTTAGAAGGAATACCACCCGCAGGCTTGACATCAGGCTCTCGCCATTGCTCGTGTTCGTATTCTTGTTGGTGGTGGTTGAGGAGGAAGCGGTGTCGCTGCATCAATGGCTGCATCGGCCATCTTCTTCTTAGGCGCTGGAGTTCCTCTCCCGGGCGCAAGCCGCCTACTTCTCTTTACTGGCGTTTCGGCTTCGGTCTGCTCCCGAGGCACGTCCGAAGCTTGAAGCTCCCCTGGTGCAAAGTATGCTAATCCCTCATCCCAAAGCACCCGCTTGCCATTCTTCTTCCGTCTGGCTGTCTTCGCCGGCGATGGCTTTTGTTGGGATGACAGTGCTTCAAGCTTCTTCCTTGGGTGCATACCGTCTCCTTTGTTTCTTTTGGTATTCGACCTTGTAGCTATCGCAATTTGTTGCGCCTCTGTTTTTTGGAGGAAGACGAACTCTGTCCCGTTAGAGCGACGGAAAGGAAAGCTGCTTTGGGTAGCGGGCTGATGCCATTGAGGTTGAGGTTGAGGCAGCCGGGCTCGACCGCCTTTGCGTACAGGTGAGGTTGCTTTCATGTCGGATAACATGGTCTGGTCTTGCTCAAATCTGTCACCTGGCGTGTCGAGCTTTCTGGTCTTGGTTGGTGATGGCGAATTCCTGTCAAGAGTAGCCAGAACTGTTCGAGATCGTGTTTGTGGCGAAGATGCTGTCTGTTTCTGCTTTTCTTTGCTTACCTGTCTCTGTGAACTCGGTAAATTCCTGGCGGCCTTCTTGGCTCTGGCCCGGGTAAGGAACGCATGTAGGTATTCCGTATCCTCGCCGTCGGCCAGAAGAGAAATTTTGGCCTTCTCTGCGACAAATGAAGCAGTATCTCCAATACAACCATGCAGCGCCTGGATCTTGCCAGGAATTGAATCCTGGTCTGTTTCTTGTATGAATTGCTTTTCCTGGAGCTCTCTTCCCTTGGCTGCAGGTTCGTCGTCGTCGGCAAGGATTGTAGGCCCTCCACTACATATCCTTCTTGGTGGAGTCGGACTAGCGCTTCCATCAAATGTGGCGGTGGTTCTCGCGGCGCTATATCTGCTATTGCTTTCTGTAGGCAATATTCCTCTGCTTTGCTTCTTGCCTTCATTGACGCACAAGTCTTTACACGGTGTAGCATTGGCGAGCTTCCTCCGTCTCTCCTCTCCTTCGCAGTCTAATTCCTCGAATTTGGTACCAACAAATCCTTCATCACAGCTACCGTCCCTTTCTTCGTCACCACTGTGCAAACTGTCAACTCTCAACCTCTTCACCATACGCAGTCTCTCGTCATGCCCGTTCATGGTCTTCGCTTGTGATCTACTCAATTGACCAGCAACCCGCTCACATCTCTTCCAAATCTTATGTGTTTCCGTACGTGGCGCGAATGGAGTAGCGGGTCTGCGTTCCCAGGGCCGAGGAACCCTGTCCAAGGTCGGAGGTGTGAATGCACAACGAGATGCTTGCAAGTCTGATTCTAATGCGCTGATATCTAAACTCGGAGGTAACGATGGGGACGAAGTGGGTGGTGGCACCGAAGTCGTCTGGTCCACCATCGTGCAAAGTGGAGTCAGAGCCTCTGCACAAGTTTCGTGAATGAGCGATACGGTCTGTCGTGCGATCTTGAGCAACGAAACATGTCAAAGAAACCTAAGCCATTTCCCATATGTGGACAGTACTACAAGTTAGCGACATGCCAAGGATAAACACTCTACTCGATATGGTATAGCTTTCTTACATAAGCTTCACACCACGCTCTGGCATTATTAATTTATTAGTCTTTGAACAGTGAAAAATTTCAATTACCGCCCACAGTGTCGATGCATCTTCACCTCTATCAGGCGGAGATCTTCAAACTACAAATGACAGAAAGCTTCTGAACGTTCTAATGGCATTCTGATCCGGTCTCCTTACGTTGAACAGAGAGGTTTTGATGTTGCTCAGCGCTTAGGACCCTTCCGATTGTGAAAGACTCACGGTGTAACCCACAATTATTTAGAATTCTTGCAACACTCTGTCAAAGTTTTTCGGGTTGAGCACCAAGAATTGGTCAATCAAAAAGCAAAGACTCGACACAAATCCTTACAATCATGTAACACATACGCTAAATGATGTCAATTTAAATGGAATTAAGTAGTTATGTTGCATACATTGTGAAGATTTTACTTCCAATTCGTGGAGTGTAGAGCTTCCGTAAAAACCATGGTTCGAAACCCAATTAGCGCTGTCCTTTTTGGCGGAGTGGTTGATGTATCCTTTTTCTGTACGCTGTGAAGTCTAGCCTGACCTTCCACAAACCCTTAGTGGCCGGGATCTATCGCCGGCCACCAGCCGAGCCTTCGAATCAATATCTGCATGAACGAGGATCACTACAGAGGGCTGCAGCAAGATCTACATGGGGAGATAACAGCACGCTGGCACTCAGTGCTCTTTTACAGTACGGCCTCTACGTCATCCCCATGAATATCATGTGTCCAGAACACAAGTGCATTATGCACAGGAACCGATATCTGTCAAACCCCACAAAATGCAGACCTGCTACTACCGATATATGGCATAAGTATTTGTAGCACAGCGCTGGTATTTGCCACTCCGAACACTCTGGATACAGATAGCCCTGTCAATCTTGTACGACAATCCCGTCGATACTGGGTCATCAAAAATACAGACTAGTTCTTATTGGACTATTTCTGGGCACTCTACGGAGTATCCTCACCTCAGTAAGAGCCATTGACATGACGTCGTAAATTTTACATCGTGTTTCTAGCGTCGTGCTACGTGTACTGATGCCTCCTGTAGTAATTCTCCCATCATCCAGATCGGGCTTTGCGGAAATTTTTACACTTGCAGTAGCTAGTTCCATCGCACGCGCATGCTAGAGCGAATTCCTTTCCTTATCTCCCGCGCACGATGCAGAGGAGGCTTTTGGCTCCTTGACTACTTGGAGCTAGAGCATATTGACCTTGAGCCCCTCAGCACTATGAATTGTGGCTCACTTAGTCCATCATGGTCAAACTCTATAAAGTATCACAGCCAGCCATGCATAGGAACCGACTTGGTCACATAAACCCTACGTCCAAATGCGAACAAGCAAGCATGTGAAATGATGGCACTTTGGAGAGTCCCTGCCTCAAATACATAATCTGTGAGACTTGATACAAAGACGACCTTGTCTGAACAATTTCCCACTATCGCAAGACATGTAATGAACAGCAAGTGAATCTTAGTCGAGGGAGAGTCCAGAAATATGTATTGTGGTCCTGCATTCAGAGTAACCACGAATGTTAGTGCAAAAGGTATCACCTGACACTGTTTCACCATTCTTCTCAGCTTCTGCAGCTTGCTTGTTATTAACCTAACATTATGTAAAGTACGCTAACCTCAGTTTAATTTAACAATTGTAAGATTATTTTTTAGAAGTATTTGTGTTGGGTTCAGATCTGGGGACTGGAGTATGGTACTCATAGGAGTCACAGCCTGCCAAGGAGGTTACCCTTCTGTCAAGCCGCAGAGGAGATTATATGGGATGTTTGAGCAGTTGGACAGATCAGGATAGTTGGGTGTTGGACAAGGCAGAAAAATACTAGATATCCTGTGATTAGTCAATTGAATATCAGATATCTAGGCCTTGGAGGAACGCTTCTCCTACCTAACAGGCCACGATTAGAGGTGGCGACGATGAGATTGAGGCATATGGACGGTGAAGTCGTTGAGTGGAGAATGCAGAGAAGATGCAGAGAAGATGCAGTACAGAGTTCTGCATCAAAATTATGCAAATATAGGCAGATTTGCAAGGAGACAGAGCTAACTTCTTTAGCAATAGTGTGATACCAATGCGTACTACGATAATGGCCTGAATTGGGAGTGCCGATTGCTCAAGTTTGGCGGGTTGAGGCCCACTGCATGAAAAGAATTTGTGTCGCTCATGGCACATCACATGTGAGCAAAATCAATGACAAAGACAAGCAAGAAAGTGACGTTAGGATGAAATACCAACTAATCTGTCAGGAAAGATCATGCCAAGAGCGACATGAATTCTTTTCATGGGCCTCGGGCTAAGAGCTCAAAGCCGCGGGTTGCGTATGGACAGTGACCTGGACACCAGCCATTCGTAAATTCAGCCATCTATGATGACAAAAGCTTGGCGGACCAGGCCAACTCGGTTGTAATCGAGCGTGATCTAGCTAGCCATCGTGACATGCAAAAATATCTCTCGACTGTTGAATTGCTGCCAAGCCGCTAGCCCAGTACTCGTCACATGGCCTAGGGCTATGCCGGAACAGGCATAGCGCCACTAGCCACCAGAGTAAGATTGCACTTGAACTTCGGACAGGAGTTGGATATATAACTTCTGAATAAGTTACTACATCAACCAATTGATCGAGTGCAGACATCCATAGATAGCAGAAGCAGTTTTAGCGTTACTTTCAACATCGACGGATTTCTCCGACCGGTCTCTGAAAGAAGAAGAAAACCTCATTTTTGGAATTATCGATGACTTCATTGCACAAGTTGGCAAAATTGGTCGAGATGAAATCGATTTGACGATGTGGGTTTGATCTTATGGCCTTCGATGTGATTGGCGAACTTGCATTCGGCAAATCATTTAAATGCCTTGCTAATGGCAAGACGCACTTCTGGGTCGCCGCTGTTCTGGCTTCCATGGGCCAGACATGTCTCAGTGATACTTTGAAGAGATTTTCATTCCTCGGCATGATATATACATAGCTCAAACCCGGGGGGCTAAGTGGGCTGGTGGAAGGCTCGGTTAAACATATATCTTATACGATCGAGTTCATGAAGAAGTGAGCTTGACGAAGGAAAATAGAGTCGTAAACGGCTGACCAGAGAACCTTTGCAGGAGAATAAACCAGAACATTGACCGAAGAGGTTTTGTGGCCACTCTTCTCGACCCAGGTAACGGGGAAAATATACAGCGTGTCCGATCATGCTTCTGATTTTGTGTGGGTTATCACTTGCATTTTTGTCTCGCCTCGCAATGCTCTCATTAACGTATGCAAGCACTGCTGGGAGCGAAACGACGGCCGCAACACTTGCCACGATCACATATTACCTCTTTCGGAACCCAAACATCCTTGGTAGGTTGCAAGATGAAATCCCCTGTACTTTTAGACCTATGAGGAAATAAATGCACAACCTGCGGGGGCTTTACCATATCTCCATGCTGTCTGCCTCGAAGCATTGAGGATGTTCCCATCTCTGTCATTAGGGCTGCCACGGATTGCAGTGTGTCCATTTGAATCAAATTGAGTCAAATAGCCCAAATCAAATGCTGGGCAAAAAAACCAAATCCGTGCTTTCGTCAAACCAAATCAAGACTTCGGAATTTGACAAATTAGTCAAAAGGCTTGGCGGAAAAGTCATTTTTGGGATAAAAAGATAAAAGACTTGGCAGACTCTTTTTGTGAGATTAGAATCCTTGACGGCCCTCTTAACAAAATATTGCTTCCTAACGTTTGACTCCATTTGACAAATGAGTCAAATCAAATCGAACCGAGCTCTGGGAGTAGATAAGCAAATCAAATGAGGGTCATGATTTGGTTTATTTGATTTGATGGATACACTGACGGATTGTCCTACTAGAGGTGTTACTGTGGATGGATATTTCGTTTTAGGTGGCGTAAATGTTCCATTCTCAGTATGGTAGCACCGTCCTGACCAATTTTTAGGTCATTCCTTATGCCGCCAGCAGGTCCTCGGCAAACTTCAGAGACGCCCAGAGCTTAAACCCTGAGCGTTGGCTTGAGATGAATGATACCAACAGTCTTGAAGCTAGTCAGCCATTTTCTATAGGCCCGCGAGCTTGGCTCGGCCGATTGTACATTACAACAAGCTGCTGGTATTTGTGATTGCGTGAGACTGATTGTGGAAACGTCTTCAGGCTCGGGTGCATAGAACTTTATACAACTCTGGCGGATATACATTTTAGTTATAACCTTGAACTGGTAAATCAGAACGTAGATTGGTAGCGGGAATCGATGATGTGTATCCCCTCCGTGCCTGAACAGGAGTGTAGAATGTACCAATTAGCGCTATAGATCGATCTTGTTTTTTTGGTGTTGTTACAACTTCTGTACAAACAGGTTTTTCGAGCAAATTTTTTTGAGAAGGAAGGTCTTTTAGAATACAGCTTTCTAGGTCTTGCTGAATTATCTAATTCAAATACATGAATACGTCGATTACTGACAGAAGAGGTCTTGTAGACAACCTTATCTGAGCTTAAATTTATGAAGATACGCTAATTGGCACATCAGGTACGGAGTGGATACTGTGGGAGAAGCCATCTTTTGATGGTTCGGGTACTCCCGAGGTAGTGAGGATGAAGACAAGATACGACTAAAAGATCCTATGGTAGCACCATAAGCCTCATGCTGAAACGTACTGAGAAATTGATGCTCAGCACATACACGAGGTCAAAATTGAATTGAATTTGGGTGTGGATTAACGGAAAGAAGGGAAATGGCGGCATACAAGCATTGAGACAACCAACCTACCACCGATCTTATGCAATGAAGAAGCCTCCGGATTGAGGCCATCTCACAATCCTAAGGCAGACAATTTGCCTACTGCTGGTGCTTATCCATGCGGTATTAGTGTTTTGGAATTGCGATCCAGCCTTTTATCTCTCTCAGGGAAACGGAGGGACCCTCCTCTAATCCTGTCTCTTCGCCTCAAAACAACAGTGGAGCTTATTGTTCTGTCTTCATGACCCAGTGAATCAGGTGTTGAAAGACCATATCCTGAATAATATTGATCTTCCCGCCCCAGTATCTCAAAGGCAGGGCCAGGGCAGCAAGTTACTACTGCCTATTTTGGCACACTCTGTGAAACCGAGCAGCCTTGTCACCCTGTCAGCGCGACACTATGGCCTCGAGGCCTGAATTCAGCTCTTCCACTCAGCTTTATGCCGTCACTCCGTTCGTGGTCCTATTGCAAGTCGATCTCCCAAAACCACAATTAGTATTTCAGGAAAGTACAGCCATCAAAGAGCCAGACGTACTCGCGGCCGACATATGGAATAGTAGATTGTACCAACAAATCTGGAAACTGTAACACAAAAGTCCCAAAATGACCGACTCAAAACCGTACTTTCAAGTGCCAAAATTGGCCTCGGGGCCACAATGGCCAGCAAGTTCCAAATATTTTGTCCCTGGTATGGTGGACATTGGACGTGTGAAGCGCCTTCTGACGAACGATACCCGGTACCCGTCCAGTGGAGAAGAGGATTTGTCAGGTCTCTGGTTTGCCACAGATGGCACGGTTCGACGATTGGTTTCAACTTCCATTGAAGAAGACCGGGCAACTACATCCATTAGCCCTTTACAAGGTGGGACTGTGGTCATTTTCGTCAAGCAAAAGCGTCGCGTCTTTCTGCAAGCTAGCTACAGTGAAATCCAGCTCCGTTCCGAAAGGTGGCATAACCTCTTGGAACATCTCCACATTCTTCCACCAGCGATTCAAGGACTTCATGACAATAATGGCGGCCATGGTATTTACGTTTCTTCATGCGTTTCTGGGGGTATACATGCTTGTAACCTACCGTTTCCTGCGGATCAACCTTGTGCATATCATATTTGGTTCAAGCTGGGGACTTGGAGCAACGCCGAGCACTTCATCTATGCACGCTACGATTTTCATACAGGCTCCAGTATCATTCTAGATGCCGGAACTGACGGAGAATTGCACGCAGAGAAGTTGATCGAAAGATTGCAAGGGGTACCAAACATCCACATCTTCAACGTCATACTGGCTCTCCTCGCCCTTTGGTTTTACCAGACCGACGACTACCGTTGGCAGCTAGATTATGCCACCCAAGCAATTGAGAGTAAGACCGGATATAACGGCTTAGCATCCCCCACGATCAAGCCGCTGGCTCCACAAGAACTAACCTTGACAAAGGACATCGCCCAGGCAGCTGATCGCATCCAAGGAACTATTACCACGGCAACAAATCTTGCAAATCTTTTCCAATTCGCGCAAGATCAATGGAAACAATTCATTAACACCTTGGAAACCTCTCCAGCGCCACCCATACCAATACCATCTCGAGACATAGCAGCGCTGAGCAATGCGCTATTGCAGCTCCTTAGTCAAGTCACTGCTCAGCTTCATCAGACGCGAGGCTTGAGGATCAGGGTTGAGGCCCAATTCCACATCATCAATTCGCTCATTGCACAACGTGACAACCAAGCCAACATTGACCTCGCATCTGCAGCATTGATGGACACCGAGATCATGCGCGACATCAGTCTTGTCACCTACCTCTTCTTGCCAGGGACTTTTCTTGCCGCCTTCTTCAGCATGGTATTTTTTGAAAGAGACAGCAACTCGCATCTCGTTGTCAGCAAGTGGATCTGGATCTATTTCGCATGCGCAGTGCCGCTGACGCTGGGGCTGGCGTCGCGGTACGTATGGCGCCAACGGTCGAGACGCGCCAAATAATTTTTGCTGATTACGAACTGCCGTTGATATATATAATGTTCTGTATCTTCAAATGCGAGTATTTTGATAATAATATACCTGTGGATTGAATGTAGTAGAGGCCAAACCTCCAATTCTGCTTCATGGAGATAAGTGTTAGTACGCAAGCTCCGCAACTTCCAGGATTGATCAGAGTGTCCAGCTGTGGCTCCTGAAGTACGCAATTCTGACCACTCAGCTTAGATCGTTTGCTGAGTGCGCGCTCTGCTGAAGAAAAGACGTACCGCTTTCACCTCCCTATCACGGCTCTCCGTTTGGCGGCTTTTCTGGCGTAAATAAACTTGTAGAGGGAGGCTATGCATCAAATCCGCTTGGTAATGTCGTCCTGGTCCCAATACTCTTCGCAAGAGCTCCAGCTTGACGTAAACGGCTTGACCCTTGCAGTGATCTCTCTTGCTGGGTTTGAAAGACGTCTAGCTTGGGTCTCGAACTTGAAGGACACCAGTGATTCCATGCCCCAGGGATACAAAATGAGCTTTCTGAAAGCCATGAACGATACCACGCACCATATGATATCCATTCTGCTCCTGCCGCAATGTCTACTGCGTCTAAGCCCCAAATGGAATGCCGCACCTGCTCATAGTCAACTCAGCTTATACTTGCGGAAGATGATCCGCAACGAAAGAAGGAGGATTGGTGAGACGAAGAGCATCAATCCCAGTCTGTACGGGGTGGTCTTTGGACCTCGATTCTGGAAGAATCAGCATCAGAAGCCACAGCTAGCGTTGACGGTCAGGGCAAAGAAAGAGAAAATGCATTCACCGAGGACAAAGTGATGGGTAACGTGTTCATATATCTGCTTGCAGGTTATGAAACAACCGCGAATGCGATTCTCTACGATTTCATCGTCTTGGCTCTGCTACCGGAGCTGCAGGCGAGAATGATGGGTGAGATAGACCGGGTATACGCAGATGCTGCAAAAGCAGGCCGCACAGAACTGACCTATGGCGACAACTTCGAAAAGCTGCAATACACATATGACATCATGGTATGTATAACAAGGTGACGACGTCCTTGCACATGGCGTTCATTGAATACGAACTTCCTTGGGCCTGACTGACATGTGCTTGTAGTAGAAGCCTTCCGCCTCTTCCCCGGTGTGGTTATTGATCATGAAATTGGTCCACGAAGCCACCTATACCAGCGTTGCCTCTCCATCATCAGGGGAGACCACGCCATATTTGTTACCTGCTGGTTGTCACCTGTACCTCACTCACCTGCCACGCATTACTCGGAACACTATCGGTCCTCACTATTGACTTTGGATCCCAGACGCTGGGTCGAAGCACCAGCTGCGGCTCCTGCGGAAGATGCTACTATACCCGAGAAGAAGGTTGTGGCAGCCCACAAAACAAGGCAAGTGGGCGATAAGTTCTTCATATTCTCAGACGGCGCAAGAGCGTGTCTAGGGAGCAAGGTCGCTCAGGCAGAGTACATTACGTTCCCAGCAAGGCTATTTCACAAACACCAAGTGATTATGCGAGAGAGCATGGATGCGGTGGCTATGGAAAAGGATTAGTATCTGAGTCGTGCGGGGAAGATCACCTTGCGCCCGTTAGATAACGCCAAGTTGGGTTTGAAGGAGATATAGATTGCAGTTGCTTGCAACAGCTGATATTGGTCTTGTTAAATACGCAGAAGTGTACAGGGTTGAAGCAGCTTCAGAAATTTGGTGCCGATGGAGGCTCACGTAGCTGCATTCTTGGTGGTAGTAAAGAGAGAGCTCCTCTTGCTCAATTGACGCAAGTAGCGAATTCAGAAGCAGAACTGCTAATAAATTGAAGTTGATCTCAGCATAACCAGCGCGCTCCCAGGTGCTTCCACTAGACGCTGCCGCTGTTGTCGCACCTGGGACTTGGTTATGGCAGACCATTATAGTGGTAGCTCTGCATTGCTTCCATACAGGGCTGATGCTTCTAGCTAGACCAAGTCGAGGGTATTCTGATTGGCATTCCAAGCTGCGAACTCCCCATATTTTATATGCCAGATAAAATATTAGCCTTCGGAGACCATTTACCCGATAGTAGCTACACAAGTTTACTCGTACATGCGCGGACTCACCTCACGACCAAGACCAAAAACTCGGCAGCCGCTTCAGAATACTCGAAGCGACCATAATGCTGCAGTAGACACCCGCACCACCACAAGCAATACCAACGAGTAGAGCTTGCAGGTTTCTCCTCTCAACACCATCTTCCCTGACCCCGGCTTGACCCTTTTCATCGCCTCCAGCTTCAGTCGTGACGTGGAAATCAGGTACGTATTTGAAGTCAAAGACGGTTATTTCGCCGAGCCCGTATTTGCCTTCAACGATGACGGTCCAGAAGAGCTTGCGGAGGGCCTGCATACAGACGTGTTAATGTTCGACGACAGGGGCAAGGGGTAGACAAAGGTGTCGGATTAGGGATTGAACTTACGGTGATTTTTCTTTGATCGAGCGATCTGAACGAGCGGTAGATATAGCAGAGGGCCATAAAGAAAAGACATTGGCCACCCATCAGCGCCCAATAGTAAATTGATGGTTGCCCGAGGCCAAGAGCGTCGCATAATTCATTTCCATTCAACCATCTGGCGTTAACTTCGAGAAAAGATCTTGAAACATAGGCTGGTGGTTGGGCTTCTAGACACTTGATGATGTTCCCAGCCAAGATCTTGGATGTCTCGCTTGGATCGATCTCTCGCATTACTATGCTTTCCATGGTTGCTTTTGCTTTCTCTGGGGTCTTAAAGGGGTCTGTAGGGGTCCCCGTATAGTGTGCTATCAGTCTCCACAATGCAATGTAGTCTTCTATCTCCTGCCTTCGAAGGAAAAGTCCTTGACGCGGTAAGCTCAACCAGACGATAGTCGCGCTGAATGTGCCGATCGTAGCTATGCAATCGTGATCGTTGATGGGGACGCCAAATTCATCGACGTTGTAATATCCTGGTCTGCTTTGCTCGAGCTTCAGGATCCGCTGCCTGACTGCCGCATGCAGTAACCTGACTCGGATGGAGGAAGCAAAGCCTGCACCGCCTGGCTGGATCGAGTCCAGGGACTTGGTGCATTCCAACACATGTTGAGTGGTTTCGAAGAGACGATGGCGTGCGACTTTTACATCGAAGCCGCCTGTGCGAGCTAGGACTTCAACGACCCGGTTTGCCGCCATGCCTCCAAGGAGGGACTGGTATGCGAGACCCGTAAGCGTGGCACCTCCATATCGATAAAAGACCTCTTGCCCTAAGTATCACTGGGTCAGCAGCGAATCGAAGTCGGTATGGCATTTAGAAAGCGGTAAATCGTTGATGAAGCTCTGTTGCTGATGTAGCTACACACCTCGTGATATCTAAGACTTGTCAATTCGTGCAACAGAGATCACTCTGGTGCCATACCTGATCCCAGTCTACCCATTCTGGTATAGTATTCAATTGCGTCCATAGTTCTTGCAGCTTTGGGTGATCCTGGACATGACTCTCGAGCAAGTTATACAGATCACGTTTGGGCTTCGTTCGCCGTGGCTTCAGTGGGTCTTGCACTTCCGTCTTCGTAGACACATTCTCAGACTTTGTTGCTGAATCCAGTTCATTCAGAATATTGAGACATTCTTCACCGAGCTTGTCGTATGAGTACTTGAGGGGACGAGACTCCTCTTCGCTCAGATGGTCTTCTGTAAGCTGGAATGTGTAACCCCACAGAGTCCTTGTGTTCTCATCTTTTCTGCGAAAAGGGTTCGACCATGCCATCTAGCTCTCTCGACGTGGTGGTCGGCGAAGTATGAAGAATGGAGAATGCCATTGTGGTGATTGGTGGCATTATACGGAGGACACAAGTCGACAATGTCATTACTTCTACTAACTTACGTAGTAGTACTGAAGTCCACATACCGATCGAGACGATTAGTAGACGATGTCATCGCGCACGGACCATCTGCAAGTTGACCCCTGAACTTTTATTCTCGAAAGGTAATTGGTAAATGTTTTACTTGGGGAGCTCTGACAAAGTCAGCGGCTCCGTTGCATCAAAGGCTTGAGAGCTTAACAACTTCCCCACTCGCATACCCCAGACCGAACCCGCCATGACACCAAAACTCCAGGCATCTACGAGGCTTCTGTCAGTCGTGATCCGATTGAGCAACGTGGTCGTTCCAACACGCCGCTCCCTCCGAATCGTCTCAGCACCAGTTTCACCACGTTTGCCAAAATCTAGGACACAATCTCCTCATCCTCTTTCTTACGAACACACTGCACAGATCGAAGCTGACATCAGTGATGGACGAAGTCATGAACAACGATTTCGGAGGGCCAAGGAAGCAGTGTCTGCGCCCTTTCTTGAAAAGCAACCCGCCCACATCGAAGTGAATTCTGTGGAGGGAGGAGATAGAACTCGACGATTACAAAAAAGGAGATCATCAGACCCAGCTACATCTGGCAGAACGTACAGGAAATCAGAAAAACCAGATCTGCACCGGCATATAGGCCACGCTTTTACACAAAACTCAGACGCTGGACCAATGAATGACCGTACGGCCGGCTCAAAGGGTGAGAACGCAAAGCGAGTGGAGCCTCAAGCCGCTGCGGATGAAGACTTTCAAAGACCACGAGAACATTGGCAGATTCAGAAGGATGCGCTAAAAGAAAAGTTCGGGGAAGAAGGGTGGAGTCCTCGAAAAAAGCTCTCACCTGACACAATGGAGGGAATTCGAGCTTTACATGAACAATACCCGCAGAAGTATACTACTCCAGTATTGGCTGAGCAGTTTAAGGTTTCGCCAGAAGCGATTCGGAGAATATTGAAGAGCAAGTGGCGGCCGTCGCCAGAGAAGATGGAAGAGAGGCGTGCAAGATGGGCAAAGAGACACGATCGGATTTGGGATGCGCAAGCTGAAATGGGCTTGAGACCCAAGCGAACGAAGGATAGGAAGCCAGAGGGACCAGAAAGTTTAGATGATATCATACCACCGATACAAAATGTTGGTCCGTAAAAGGAGTGGACTGCTTTATGGACATCAAGCAGGACGTAGTAGAATAGCAAGAGGGGATGCTCAGGTTGTTATAGCTTTCCAGACCTTCTATGTAGCATTATGCATGTAGATGATGAGATCACCTACAGACCTCTTACATTTAATAATACCGTTGGTCAGAAAATGCATGATCCTTGAGTTTGCGCGCCAACGAATTGATACCTGACCTCATCTTCTGAAAATGGCTATGTAATAATTGGTCAAGGAGGAAGAGATGCCTCGATCTCAGGGGTAGCCAATTACTCCCCTGGCACTGCGCTACTCTCCTCCTCAGCAAGAATATTCAAGATTACATGTTGGCGAAGTCAACGAAGCAGCTTTTTATCAATTATGAAATATCAAGAATATGGCTGATAAAGCTCTCGAATTTTTAGTGATGACTGCCGAGCATACTGGTGCTTTCGACTGGTTGAACATTGATGATGTCGTCAAACATTCACGTCTTCGTCCGTTTCAAAGAGCAGAGTATTTTTGCTGGAGAAGAGATACAAAGCATCATTACGTTCAAGAATGTGGCTAACACACCAGACGACATCACTTCGGAGACCAAGACATGGCGTCCCAGAGGATGGGTTCCCTTTGCAAACCCTGCCGAACATTCAGGAGAAAGTGGATCATTGAGCTCGCAAACCCCTCGACTTACAGCAATCAACAATCATGGAGCGAGGAAGGCATCCAAAAGTGGTCATCGAAACAATGCTTCGCTCAACATCCCGTTTATAGCCTCCCCCGTTCCGAGATCAGCCTCATGGACAGCATCTCCTGTTACTCGTTCCGGACCCGTTGATAATCATCAAAGATCAGTGTCCATCATCTCGCTGGGTTCTCCTGATGCCGGAAAAGATGAAGGACAAAGACCTACTCTCCCACAACGGTCCCGACCAACATTAAACCATGGCCGATCAGCCAGTCTTCAAGTGCAGCACAGAGGGAATGATGAGAACTACCTTGAGCTTTCCTCAGGTGACTATTCTATCTTCGCTTCATGAATTCTACCTTACCATTACAACAGCGTTTGGAACTCCTGAACTTCAGGCTTCTATTCAGAACGAAGGTAACCTTCTTTCCCGCCCGCAAAAACCGCGACGGAAAGATTGTGCAGATGCTCAACATGCAAGTATTTCTGGTTCTACTGGGAGTCGAAGTCGCAAGCTCAGCCCACCTCCACAGGGTTTCAATTTCCCTTCTGCATCTGAAGAAACGTCACTTGCCGCTCCGCCTACTGATCGTTCACGACCGAGCTCAAATCCGCAGTCAACCGACGAAGCGCTTCAGACGGCGAAGTCGCTTACGCTGGAAACAATGGGCAGTCTTGGACAGGCAATCAAAGTTCTAGCTGGTACCAGCGTTGTTGGAAGCAATCGAAGTAGTGGAGATTTTCGCTCTCTCAGCAACCCGTCGCAGGAGACCTTGCTATCGGAACAGGCTTCAAACTCATTTGATAGGCATGTCTTTCGGTCTCCACCAATGCGACAACATTATAGAGCGAGTTCTACCTCGAAGCCGAAATGGATCAGCGAAACGCTGTTGATGGGCTATGCTCAGGTGAATGCCACCTTCACTTTAGACGGGGCTCTCGTGGATCAGACACCTTTCGAAGAAGTCAAGCGTAAAGGCTTTCTAGGAGGACAGGCCGGTGGTGGTGTTGTCGGTGTTCAGACCTCCTCGAACGCTGGTGGAATTCTTGGCGGATTCACCCTAAACAGCATTGGCGAGTCCCTTGGTGGTCTTCTAGGAGGAGCGGACCTGAGCAGCCTCAAAGAGATGAAGGGGTTAGCCTCAACCCGTGCCATCCCATTGTTATCCACTCCTCAATCTCTTCTTTTCGTGGACCTGACTTTAGCTCCGGGAGAGGAGAAAAGCTTTTCATTCCGTTACATCCTGCCCAGAGGGCTCCCAGCCAGCTACAAGGGCACGTCTATCAAAATCATGTACAATTTGACTATTGGTGTTCAAGTGGCTCCCAAGGCGAAGGCTGCGCAGGCGGTGAGGCGCGTTAACATCCCATTCAAGGTATTCAGCGGGGTTAACGAGGACGGTGAGATATTTGGCCACGATCTAATGCAGCCGTATGTGATCCTGAAAGACACCGCACAATCAGAAGCAGTCGACTCAACCTCGAATTTCCCAGAACGAGCTCCGAATGCACCCGGAAAAAGCACCGAGGGTTCGACCAAAGAGTTTCTGACGTATGTCGATAGCTTACTTAACAAGCGTCGTCGCCGTCAATCGTCTAGCGCTACGATTGAACCCCTTAGATACCTCTTAACAACGAATGGCAGCAGCATGGCCAAGCAAGCGATCGACAGGGCAATCCTTCTGAGCAAGCAGAGCTCGTCTTCTCATCAAAGCTCAAGCCGATTTGATATTGCCAGAAATGGGAAGAGGATTGCTACGATCGTTCTAGATCGTACGTTGTACCGGCTGGGGGAGTCAGTGACCGCTTCAGTCGATTTCTCCAATCCTCAAATGCCCTGCTATTCTCTACGTTGCTCTCTTGAGTCCACCGAGAATGTGAACCCAGCCCTTGCTTTGCGCTCCGCAGCAAGTATAACACGGTTGTCAAGAAGAGTATACCGTTTGCAATCAGAGAACACTCTATTCGCAGAGAGAATAGTTTTCAGTCTGTCCATACCGACCACTGCCTCACCTACGTTGTTGACCAGTGGTGTGAACCTGGACTGGGCAATACGGTTTGAATTTGTTACCACACTTGCAACGGAATCTGTCGATGATAAGGAGCAATCCGACGACAAGGAGCTCCTGGAGAGCGTTACTAAAGACGAACGCGGAACAATATTGGCGGCAGTAGAGACGCTGCAATGCGAGACATTCGAAGTTTCAATTCCAATCACAGTCTACGGTGATACAATAGTCGCAGGTACAGACGCCGAAGAGACAGTTGGCCATCCTATCTGAACCACGAAGCTAATGGCTTTCGAAGAAAAGGCTTTGAACATTGCAAAACACGTACTCGATCCCAGACAAGTCCTCTAGGGCTACCTTCGTGATTTGGCATTGCACCGTAATCATTTTACACGTGAAACAGTGTTCCTATTTCTTGGAGATCAACGTCGCGTCTTCACAGGAGCCCACTAATCGTTTGCAAGCGGCTCTCGATCGATTCCAATCACTTTTGACCTCAAGCAGGCTCTCGCCGCAAACCCAATGATGTTACCCGAATCTACACCGAGGCCTCAGGTGATACGGAGCTATCAGATGCCAGTCATCCGCAATCATCCCTTCCGTTGTAGCTGAACGATGGTACTACAGTATGAGGCACAAGGATTCATGGCTTGGCGTTGGTACTTGAGCTTCAAAACGACTGCCGCACGAAACCGCTAGGCTTATAATGTTCCAGCTGTATCGTATCAAGTCGATTTTGTGGATTTCGACAAGAGGAGCTTCTGCAACGCAGTGTGATGATGGCTTATCCAGGACTAGTAGTTTTCCAGCACTGGGATATGAATCCTTCAGCCTGATACTGTAATACACTATCAAAGGGCCTGAAATAGACTAAGGCGAACTCTAGTATCAGCTAGTTTTGGTTACAGCGTCAAAGTGATATGATTGTTATATTACCAGTCTATGCTGTCAAAATTCATATCAACAGAACTAAAAAGATGACTTTTTGCTGCTTGAACTTAGCCGCTCTGTCAGGAAGATGTTATAGACCAAAGATACTAGCGCTAGATACAACATTATTGCAGGCCTCCCCTGTAGTACTTGGGTAGTACGTAGTACACAGGGTGTCCCCTGCCCACGTAGGATCAATCCTTCTCCAACCTTACAAATCTGAGACAGCACGCGAAGCTCTGCCAGCATTTAAGAAAGTCCCGCATTTTATCAGATCCACTCTTTCTAAGATAGCAGTCGAAGTAATAGCCATCGTTGGACATATTGGCCACGCGGACAGACTCATGGATCAAGTTGACACCGAAGTTCTCATTATTGGAGCAGGTAGCCTAGAAGCTCATGTGCTTGGCTGTGTATTAGACTGACTCGTTGACAGGAGCCTGCGGCCTGCTCCTAGCACAAGGTCTGAAGACCGTGAGTCGTTCTCAAAGTAGGAGTGGTGTCTCGTTGGGTGTTGACTCCCGATGTAGGCTGGAATACCCTACACTGTCTTCGAAGGGGAGACAGCCGAATCGATTAAGACTCGCTCCCGACACTGGGGCATGAATCTCCACTGGGGCGGAGAATACTTGGATAAAGTCCTCTCGCCAGAACTCAAAGCTCGGCTAAGAGAGTGCAATTGTGATCCTTTTTATGACCAGGCCGACAATACGTACACTGTCTGCAATGGAAAGACAGGTGAGGTCATCCTGGCCATGCAAGGTGTCATGCCTAGACGGGTGTCCAGACGAAAGTTGAAGGCTCTGCTTTCAGAGGGCGTTGATATCCAGGTTTGTGACGCTGTTCTCGGCGGTCTTCAGCCTACTGAAAGGTGTGACAGTACGGAAGAAAGCTGGTGTCCATTCAACAAGAATTTCCAGGAAGGGTCACTGCCTGCTTCGAGGGCGGTTTCAAGGCGGTTGGCTCCAACCTGATTGGTTGTGACGGTTCAAGATCACGAGTTCGCGAATTTCTGGTCGGGACTGAAAATGCTAGACAAATCGGTACGGATATCAGCATCCTCAACTTCCCTTACTCTTATACGGCGGAGCAAGCTCGCGAGTTGAGAGCCGTTCATCCCATCATCAAGACCGCGTATCATCCAGAGCACGGAAATGTTTATTTACTTGCCAGTGAGTGTAGAAATGCCGTCGCTGCCAATTGACTCCTGCATCTCTGCTGACGATATATTTGCAGTACTCGAGGTAGAAGACCCAGATAAACCCGAAGACTGGAAATACCAAAGTGCAATTACCTGGAAAGGCGCGCCGTCAGTTGAAGACCTCAAAGATCCACGGGACAGAGTCAAGCACGTGAAAAAGATAGCTTCGCAATATGCAGACCCCTGGCGAACTGCAGGAACAGCCATCAGTGACGATGCCGTCTTGCCAGTAGACAGAGGTACTTACTGGACGCCAAAAGACTGGGACAATCATGACGGTACTATCACCCTTGCTGGCGATGCCGCTCATCCAATGCTGCCACGTGAGTTAACCTACCAGCCCCTCATCAATCCTACTCAATCTTTCCATAACGGATGAGGACTAATGGACCCAACCAGACCGGGGCCAAGGTCTTAACCACGCTCTACAAGACGCGGCGCTCCTCGTTCAGGCGATGGAATCAGTGCACAGCGGCAAGAAATCTCTGGCAGAGGCCATCAGTGAATACGAAACGGAGATGCGGCCCCGTGCCAGCCAGGAGGTCCTGCTTACGTTGGAGCAGGCACACGCAGCTCATGATTGGGAATTGCTGATGCAGTCTCCCATCTTCAAGCTGGGGGCTAATAAGCCGACGGCTGGAAAGGGAACCTAGGATAGATACGCATGACTTATCACGCTGATTGACCCGAGTAGGTACTCGGTGCCGCCGAGAAGTCTCCGTCAGAGTGATGTAGGATTTCATAAGCGATGGCCGCTGTAGTGCCGAGTATTGAGGTCCATAGTTGTCAACCACTATGAAACATCAGCTAGCGTTGGGCGGAGACTTTCGGTGGCACCGAGTAATATATTTATTTGTTGCTTTCGAGAGGACCAGTCCGAGGCTCCATCCTATTTTTACAGTTCCTAACAAACCATCCGTCGAACAGCTTGCTGTGGAGGGCAGAAACTAGCTTCACTTTTGCTTTCCTTACTGAAGGCCTGCTAAGAAGGGGGCGGGGGGTTACCTGCCACTCTCGTCAGCTGCTTCAACACGGTCGCTAAAAAATGTGCGTAGACCATGCGTACATTGGATGAAAACACGAAGACGTAGTAGTGGAATGAGATGGAGTGACACGTCAGAATCTGAGCTTGAGTATAATGTGGCAATAGTCCGGAATTAAGCAGTTTCCCTAAACAGGAACAGGGAAAAGAGGAGCCCGCCGTCGTGCCTTTTGAAAGGCCTGTAATTACTTTTCCTGGTGAAGCGCAAATAGAAACCATAACCTACTACTTCTTTGAACTTACGTAAGGGATGGACATATGAATGCCTAGAACGACTTGTCACCCTCAAAGACCTTTGCCCAATTCTCACTCCCCAACCACAATGCCCCTGCCATCACTGCAATAGCAACCACAACCGTTCCAGCCTGCCACAGCAACTCCTGAAACAAGGCCACAAAATACGGTTTAAACATCTGCCCAGTTGTAGCTCGATCATTGACGTGGGGGAACGGCTTCGGCTTTCCCTCAACATCCTTGGGTACCTCCTTGCCTAGGAACTTGCACAGCGGCTCCCAGCCCTCTTTGACGTTGAATTCGAGGTACTCATTTTCGTTTAAGCGGCCGGCGTCGGACATTTTCTTGCGCACAAGGGCGAGCTGTTTGGCGTAGACGGCCTTGCCGTTCGCGGCGAAGTCGTCGCCGAAGCTGTATTTCATGGCCTGGAGCCAGGTGGGTAGGTAAAGGCCGACGGCGCGGTCGAATGCACAGAGCAGAGGGAAGAGGAGACGGGGTTTGTTAGAGGGTGCTATGGTTGCTTTGGAGGATCTGGTGGTGTCCATTGGTGAGCGATGTTTTTGGGGATTCTCGAAAGCGTGAGATTTGGGTATAAATGCTTACGAGTACCTAGCTGGCGTTAGTCTGGTTCGAGGCACAAGAAGATGGTTCCCATCTTACCATGAATCTACATCTCGTGTGGTCATGACCACCAAGGCATTGGGATACGCGTCGATCAGCTCTTCCACAAAGAGATTGCCGGGAACGTCGATGATGGCACTGTAATACGCTATCAGTCTTCTATTGGCAGCGACTTTTCATGATGAAACCACCCACTCACTCAACATCAAAGAATAAGGAGTCGAAATCCTTCTTCGTATATAAGCGTCCCTGGCCTTCGAACTTCGCCTTCATGGCTTCCTTCCAAAGCACGGAGTCGGGAGGGTTCTCCAATAAAGACCAGCCGTGGTATGCCTCGTACCCCAACTCCCACAGCGCGACTCGCAAGGATGAGGTGCCGGTGCGTGAGAGACCTGGACAGAAGACCCTCATCGGGACCTGCTTTTCCTTGCCGCGCTTGTCGATCCATGTTCGCTGCTGCTTGATATAGGGTACGTCGGGCATAGACATTGTCGCAGCTGAAGGTACTTGGTTTAGAGGCCGGGTCCTTCGCTTTTTCAGCTCCTCAATTGCGAGTGGAATGACTATGCTGGTGAAAGTAGCATGGCTAGGTTTGGCTTGAGCGAGCGACCACCATCAACATCAGAGCAGTCGATATAGAGCAAAGAGCAATGTGAGCGTGGATATGCATGGGGCCAAGCTGAGAACCTTCAGATCACACGTGCCGCGGTACTACTACGGTAGGAGGTAGAAGTAACCATAGCTCGGCGCTAGTAGCAGCTAGTTCTGATATAGCGCTACAATGGTGTCTAAAAGCTTCTTAGACGATGACCCATAGTTATTGGTCATCGCAAAACCGCTTAAGTATTTAGGGTTTAGCTATTTCGTTTGCAGGCCGTCTCCCGGTAAAGATACTAGCGCCGAGCTATGGCTACTTCTGCCTCCTACCGTAGTATGCGTTCCATAAGTGTTACAAAAGCTGGCGTCCACTTCGGAGCTGCTGCTGCTCTGGCTGTCAGGGATAATACGTAGATCGGTGCATGCTCCGAAAAACCTGCATGCATACTGAGCACAGACCAACTTTTGTCGGCGTTAAATTCTTATTTTGCCGGGTATGCATGCTGTATGCCAAGCAGTATTTACACGCACTATTTACACGTATTGTTAATGTTATTACGTCATTTAACGCATTCTGAATCAGATGCTCCTTATCCGAGTTCATATGAAGCTATATTGGTGGAGTAATTAGTGTTTGAGATTCGAGGGTGCCCGGCTGTCTCCCAAAGTGGTTCTGTACGTTAGGTGTAGCCTAAGTGATTTAGCGCGAACGGACGCCAACGCTAGGCCATGTCCCTGTCCTTATACAAGTATCTCAACCTCACTCTACCACCCTAACACCGCGGCAACGTTCAATCTCGTGAAAGCAGTTCACTGTGATCAGCCTGCTCTCCCCGTATACAATGACCCGTCGGGCTGACTGGTATATTTGGAGCATCATGGAGATCTGATTCTCTTTTTCGGCGGTATCGTCTTGATTGATACAGATTGCATCGACCCAGAGACACAGATTTTGCTCGGTCTGACGAAGTCTTCGCAAGGCTCTGTCAAGTTTCGCACTTATCGGAAGACATTCACCTTCTACCAGTATTTAATGCGTATTTGGAGTCTCACCCCAGGCATATAACAAAGCCTGGTAGGACTGGTTGACAATTCACCTGGATACAACCCGCTTGCACTGCAAAGGAGCAAAGACAGGGCCGCTAACCAATTCGAGAAGGCAGATACTGTTATCGTCCTGCAAGGATGGATACGTAAAGACTTCACAACTACTCAATTCGGGAGATTGTGCATCGATAGATAGTCGTGTGTTGGAGCGGCGGGAGGCCACCTTATCAGGTGACTCTGACGGCTATGCTTGAGTACAAATGACATTCTTCACCTCATATCGCCGCCGTTGCGGGCTGGATACCTTAGATCCACCCCAGTCGCGTCACAGATACCTTGGTCCTTGTTGAAGACGCGATCACACCAAGTGTCGACGGTCCCCACACCCAAACCTTAGCCTCGACCATCCCCCGTCTTCTTCAATAGGAATAACTTACTGACTTGGTGGCTTAATCGTCGAGTGCGTGGTTGTTGGTGATGAATTGAGAAGTGCCCCTGTTGCTGGGAAATGATGGCCAGTGTTTATTCTACTGTCTCTACAGCTGGCACATATTAACTAGACTCCTTTCTATGCCCGTCTGTCCACCCTCACCGTGTCTTTCGCGAAAGGGACGGGGCGCTTTTCATTCAAGAAGTGGTTGGAAAAGCCTCTGGTCAGTATTACATACTCGAAAAAGTACGGACGAAGACTGGCGACTCGCTTTTACATAGACACATTGGACGGCTTGTTCCCCGCAAACCTGATCTTCAGGGAGTGAACGACTCGTCAAACAATTCCACAGCTAATATGACGCCCCATTCATGGACAGCTACGGCTCGTCAAGCTAGCTATAGGCTACGGCGAGCCAGGTAGTTGTGTCCAATTCGGTCGATATCGGAGATGTGAGCAACTTGTCTTCCTGCATGCCACCCGATTGAGTTGCGTAGCTGAATGCGTTCGGCCAAGTCCATTTAAAATCGGGAGGCAGTATAGATGTATGTCAAACGTGTAGTTGTGAGAATCTCAAGATAAATTTGCAGGTTACTTTGGCCTGGATAACTCGAGCCTTGTCGTGAGGTAGCTGGTCGCTAATCGTTATTGGATGAGACTGGCCTTATCCCATCGCAACTCTTACTTTGCGAGACTGGTACTAGCTGTACTGGATGAATTCCCAACCTACTTGTACTCTTCGTCTCCAAGCGGTGGGCTGAAATACAGTGTCTGATATGTCCCCTTCTTTTCGGAGTATAAGAACGAGGCATCGCAATGGACCGGCCTTGGACGACTGTGATTCACAGGCCCACTGAAGATGAAAGGTTGGTGACTGTTTGCGTTCAGGATGGGAGGTGGACATACAAAGCATTTTCGAAAAGCTCCTTGTATTTGCCCTCCTTTCCATACTCGTAACCGCCATCTACGACAGACCTCCTCGTAGTTCTGGACGGTCTCCACATCGCTCCGTACGTAGTTCCATGTCGGCAAGTAGGTTTTAACTTCGGGAAGCTCCCTGCCGGGCCTCAACTCGAAGCTAAAGTACGTCCTCTGGCAAAGGAGAGTGCCGTCATTGATGGGCTTGTTGTAGTCATCGTTGACACCTTCGGGCTCTTGAAGCAGGAGGTGCCAAATATCCCGCAATATGGCCAAGCCATTTAACGTGATTTCGTCCTGGAGACGGCCGTCCAGGGTTACATAGTCGCGTACCGTGTTAAAGGAGTTGTTCAAGATAGACGTACAGCTTCACCCTTGCATCCGGTAGACCGGCTTCGTCAGGCTGGCCAAATTTTACATCTCGATTCTTTTATAAGATGTCAATGTGGATAAGACGTTCTCACCATAACGCCACCGGCTCTATACCTGCTCCTCTATACCTGTAACCTAACATATGAAAGATGACTTGCGTACACATGATTTTAACCGTCTGGATACTGGAAACTAAATCGAATTGCTCGGTCTCAAGCGTTCAGTCACTGCCGTGTTCGTCCCTCTCGGCATAGAACGAGTTCTGCGAATCGGCAAAGATATCCCAAAAGGATCCTATCCCCCGCTCGCCTCTCTTGACTGAGGTTCTCTCTTGCCCTGTTGCCATCGTATCCGGCACGCTGCTGGAGCCAATAACATGTTTCAACTACCTTTGCCCACTGGCTCTCACGAAGCAGACGTTTTCTCTCTTCCTGTCTCAACTCCTCCATGAAATGGATAATGATCCTGTGAAACTGGGGTTTGAGCCTTTTCGGCACTGGTAAATTGGACGTTTCCAGCTGAAAATCAAAGGAGAATATCCTCTCTACGGCTGTCTCGCCCCTATTATCCCTGGCCAGCAGTGTCTCACCTGCTTGCATCAACTTGAGCATATAATCGGCCCCCCCATCAAACCATTGGCCGCACCATCTGTAATTCACAAGGTGCAGGGCTGTGTTCCCCTCACTGTCCTTGATGCCTGCAAGATTCTGCTTCAAGTAATACTCCGAAAAGAATCGGTCAGAGTCAGAACCACTATTCATCGATGCCGCATACATAGACAGGAGATGGAGTCCAGTCTTACCACCTCTGGTACGTTCGTTGGTATTTCCTCCATGCCTCGATATCGTTTTCCATACTTCCGGACTGTGCGCTCTTAATGCTGTCATTATAGGGGTGTATCCTTCTGAGTTTCGCACCGACACCATGAATTTGTCTTCGCAAAGTATATAATTTGCAATTTTAGTACTTGGAGTAAGGTGTAATGCAGTATCTCCCTCATCATTCTTTACGTTGAGAGGCACTTTAAACTTTTCTGTCATGAGTTCGAAAGTCTGGAACGAGCCTTGTTTTGATGCATTGAGCAGTATGACTTCACCAAGTAACTGTCCATTGTAGGTTTTAAGCTTGAAGATCCGATCAGCTTCTCTCGCACCCATCTGGCCTAAAAAGAACTCCACAGCCAGATGGTATTGCTCGGGGAGCTGATACCACATCCATGGGAGCGATTCAAAAGCGGTTTGCGACATGATCTTCAGTATCTCTCGATCATCATACTCTTTTTTCATTTGCTCCACCACTTTTAAAAGAACGTCAAGACGTTCCTCGATAGCAGCTGTTTGTAAAGCTTTGTGTACCAGTGGCTTTCTTGCGATTGCACCATGCTCGAGAAATAGCCTGACAATTTCGCTGATGTCCTTCCCCTCCCAAGAAGCCATAGTTCCATCCCATGCCTTTAAAATGTCAAAATCGACTCGATTGACGCCAGCGTGCTTTGGAAGCTCAATGAAAATTTTTGACACAACCTCTGCATGCCCGAATAAGCAAGCCGTAGTCAGAGCCATGTCGTAGTCCGATTTGGTGCCTACTTTGAAAGAGTTGCTATTAATGTCGTCAAATTCAAGACAATCGGAAAAGCCAAAGGCCGAAATAAGGCACAGTGGGTTAGGTTTGGATGGCACCTGGGTTACAAGTACTGTACCTATGCTAGCCTCTATCTCATAGCTAAAACCATAGATTCGGCGAAGTCTTGTCGTCAAAAGGTGCCAGTCCTGGAAAATGGGCAAGTAAAGGAACCGAGTGATCTGGCTTGAGAGGCCTTTGCTCATTCGGACTGACGCTGGAATCTTGGAGGCATGTTCTGCCCACTGCGTTGCCGCATAGAGGCCGAAACGAAGCTCAACTGGTAAGGACCGCTCAACCTGATTACGTATATGTTCGTCCGGATAGAGATAAGGTTCGACCGACTTGAATTGTCCCTCTTTGATGTGCTTCAAAATCTCACCACAATGACTTTCCAAAAACTGAAGAGAGCTCAATGCCGGTTGTTGATGCTGTGAAGCAGCATCAAACTCGTTCACTGCACGTATCTTCCGGGATACAAGATAATCTCGTGCAGAAACATGGGCAAATTGAACAACGGAATGACTCACAACGATAAAGTTGCAGCAAATGTTACGGATGTAGGCGCCACTAGACTCCGAAGACTCTTCCCCATATTCTTCCAATAAAGTGGCTTGTGCAAGCTGATCTAAGCTCAACGGTTCGAAGCAGCAAAGCAAGATCCTGAAAGCTTTCTTGGCGTCTTCTCGAGAGGGACGACCGGGCCGAGTATTCGCTTCGTATATTCGCTCATATTCTCGGTCTAGATCTTCGGCACCAGCGCGCTCGCGCAAATCTCGAATCCTCTTACAGAAATCTCCTTTACTATGAAGCTTGGGACGATTTTGGGTCGACGGCAGAAAATCTTCCAGCTGTATCTGAGTCCAACGGAACCTGTAAGCTGTGTCAAATTCATGTCTGACTGACTAAACAAACGACAATAAGCAAGAACACCTATGAGGACAGTGTAGCGTATGAATACGTTACGGATGATAAGAGTGTTACAATTGTTGTAACTTACATTCCACCGGCCCTTTCAAAGAGCTCCTTCTGTAATACGTCTTCCAGCTCTGATCGTTTGTTTCCAGGCAATTTTGTGTTTCTACGCTGAATTTCATGACGGATGAAGAATCTCATGTCCTCTAACGATTTATCCGCCTCAATCTTCACCATAGTGGCGGGCAAGGAACGTTGAGGAATCTGGATATCGGGTCGGCTAGAAAACATGAAGAAGATATTGCCGCAAGACTCTTTGGCTTGATATAAGTATTCTAGTAGATCCTGAGCGTCCTCACACTCATCAAGAGCATCGATGATGATTCTAAAGCGTATACGGTGCGGCTCCTCTCGCGCTCCTTTGGCAACCTGTTTGATGAGGCGAATACAATCTTCAGCTGAGAGTTGGCCGTAATCTGGCCGATTGAGCTTTAGACGGTTGTAGATAGCGTCAATTGGCTCAGCAATCGAGTTGGTATCCGGAACCCAAGCCATTTGGCGTACAATTGACCTCAGCACGGAAACACTATTACAGCTCTCTGCGCCGATGTGGACTCTCGAGCAATAGTGCCAAACTAAGTGCGTGCGAAGCAGGGAAATCTCGTGCAGGTTTGAATGACTGCGGCCCTGCATTATGATGAGTACCACATGCAAGCGAGCTTCTTTGTACTTACATCAAGGTGGTTTTACCAGTACCGACTGCGTTGATGTAACTTGTAGTAAGTATTATGCTTCACTAAAACAAAGATACCAGGCAAGGATCTATCAGAAGCGATGGAAGCTCACCTGTACCATGAAGCCAGAGTGTCTCAGGATTCTGGCCACCCGAACCATCCCTCCACTTCTTATATTCAGGGCCATCGATAAGCCATCGTCCGCACTGTGAGTACACAGTGCCCACCTTAGTCTTATCTTGGATGTTCTGGTGTTCAAATGACGGGTCCACCGTAGAAATCCATTGGAGAAGGCGTGCATTCTGCTTCTGAAAATCCTCTCCTTCCTTGAAATTACCCTTTCTGACTGCGCATTCCTTATCGATTGCTTTGATACGATCCAGCTGCTTGTTCCATTGTTCGTGCTCGGAGATGATGGCTCTGCCAATCTTACCTGCATGGCTATTCAACAACAAACATTAGAGTCAGGAGGAAGGATCTTACCGAGTAAGGACTGCTGACAATAATGCGCTATAGATCCCAAGAGGATCATGATTTGAACATACAAATCAACAAGGTTACTTCGGAGTGCTTGCGATGCGGGTCCCAAATGGTGATCGTATGTGAGACTGCGCTGCTCGTAGGCGTTCCATCCCTCATCGATTGAAACGATCTCCGGTAAGATAGTTAAGGTAGAGTCCTGCTGTTCTTCTTTGTTGGAGGCGATTTGTATGAATGTAAACACTGCAGCGCAGGCCACAGCCACACCGCCAGTAGGCTCTAGTCGAGCTCCGGACATGAAAGTCCTCTCGAGGACTTTCATGGCGTTGGTTGCCATTGGCGACCTTTTCGGAAACCTTTTTTTTTTCTGCTTGAGCTGGTGCGCTTGTTCTTGGACTTTCTCGCAAAGTTCCTTTCGTGTCAATGGGACCCCTTCGGCCTTACAGATCTGTAAAAATCGCTTGTGTTCCTCGGGATACTTCGCTTCCAATTCCTTTATCGCCTTAGCCCAGTATGAAGTCGTCGCTTCCCTAATAGTCTCAGCAGGGTTGTAGTCCTTTGGTCCATGAGTCCGAGACTGGCCGACCGGGAACCGCGAAAATGACACCAGATTGTCAGTGCTCAAGGCATTCGATCCCTGTGTGCGGGTTTTCACCTCTGGAGAAGATGACGATGCCACCGAATTACTAGAGCTGGACCCCTTTGAGCTGGAGGCGCGAGTTCTCGCGTCTAAAGAGGACGACGATGCCAACGCATTGTTGGAGGTTGATTTTTCCGACCTAGCGGTGTGAGCTCGCGTCTGTGGAGAGGCCGACGATGCAGCTGGATGGTTGGGGCTCAGCTCCTTAGATCTAGGGGGGCGCCTCTTCACTTCCTGAGAGGATGACGACGATGCTTGAGCACCAAACGTCTGTTCCTCAGCTCTATGGGTGGTACTACTGAAACGCTGTGAGGATGACGAGGCAACTTGTTGCCGAAGGCTTGTTTCCGTCGCTTCACGGGCGTGAGGTCTCGTTCCTTTAGAAGCGGAGGATGCCACTTGACTACGTGAGTGGGTTTCCGCATCATCCACAATAGCTGACTTGACACATGGGTTCGAAAAGCAATTCTTCACTTTGGGCACCAGATTCGGCATTTTGGTAAGACCTCTAGAACAGTGTGTGATATATTTAATTCAATGGTAACGTAAGTGGAGAAACGTGTAGCAACGGTCCAATGTTAGTCTAGAAAGATAGGAGAATGGTCATCGCTTCGCCCACGATAACTTGGGACGTCAACAACTTGTTCATGGTTGACCGCCTGAACATTGCAGATACTTTGACATTCTATTTCCCCGCACTGCTGTAACAAAGCCAATCAGGGCTGCTAGGCACTCTCTGCGGCCCAACCGGTTTCATCTTTGAGACGGTACTGGCGCTGAAACAAGGCGGCCACGCGCTGATGAAAGAGCCACGTACAGCCGGAGGTCTACATGATAGTTAGCGTGGATGAAGGCCGCTGATTAGAATTTGGTCTCAGATGAAGCTAAAAACTTGTACAACTTACTGTTTGACTAGAAAGACCTCGGCCACGAACAGCTATCCACCAAACCGCGGTAAAATGACGGTATTTTCTAATTGGTCCAACCTGGCACTAGCGGCCTTGGTGCCCGTAACCTTAAACCTAAATTTCCGAGGTACAATACCATCTTGATAAATAAGGTTTCCATCCTGGCATCTGATTGGTTTGTACTTGATTAAGGTTCTGGTCGCCAAGGCCGCTAGTGCCAGGTTGGACCAATTAGAAAATACCGTCATTTTACCGCGGTTTGGTGGATACTAATGCAGTATTTGTGTCTGATCTGCACAACGGCATCTCATACAACATCACAAGCTCAAACCGGGAGAGTATCTCTCAGTTGTATATATTTAAACTATTTACTACTAGTAATAGTAAGAGCTTAAAAGCAGGACTGAGTATGGGTAAAGCCAGACTGAGTCCCCTGAGCAGCATTGAGTAAGAGGGTGAGCAGCGGGAGCAGTGGCGGTGCAGCCTGAGCAGAGGCTGAGCCGAAGTTGAGCCGGAGGACTCATTCCTGAGTCAGGCAGTAGGAACCACCAACCCAACTGGGTGCCAAGGCGAGGTCAAGATTCGGTGCAGGATACCACAAAACCCTCGCAACGATTTCGAGCATTGAGAGATTCAACAGAACTGTTTTGCTACTGATACATACACAAAGTGTTGAACCAAAAGGACCGCGGCCACAATTGGCCGCTAACCAGCTATTTGTCTGACACAAAGTCAATTTGTCGTATAGCTAGCGTTATTCGGCGTAAAACAGGCTCATATATAACGTTATAGTTGAGTCGGCTTGGTGTCGTAGTACTGCATAGTAAGTATCTTTGCTTCACGTATTTTTGAGATAGAATCAGTTGCACAGGGCGCAGGGCAACCCGACTACGACCGATCTAGGGACGAGATGTGGTACCAATGCTGTTACTATTTGTACTCCGGAGTAATTTAAGTAAATAGCAGGAGTAAGAATTGCAACACTTTTCGCAATGCACAGTAAGCGTACCCCTAGCGCAGAAGACGGTCTGGGCCGCTGGTTGTGCATCTCCAGACGAAGGATGCAAAAAGACGACTGAACCGCAGTAGCGCTGAGATATCCAAACCTAATTAGCACTTAGGTCTTTGGTCTCCAACTTGACACTCCTTCTAGGGAAATGGCCCCTGAAGGCGCCGTTGCTGGCAATATATGTGGCAGCCAACAGGCTTGGTTCCAAGCCTTCTCATGCTTAATGAAGTCACCCCGGGGGAATGGATTGAGAAATACTACGTAGTACTGCATGTACGGAGTAACTGTACATCAGGGTGTAAAAGGGTGCCAAATCAGGGACCCTTTTAACGCTGCTTTTGGCACCCTCTGCACCAACGCTAGACAGGGGACCTGATTTGGGGGTGCTGTTTTTTTGCAGAATTCCCCCTCACCCACCCAACTTCATTGTCGCCCTCAATCAGGTTATAACCTAATTTTGTTCTTTAGTATAGCAGAAACGACTCGATGGATCCGAATCCGCATATAAAAAGTTGCTCCCCTCTCCGCAACAATGCCATCCCAAAGACCCAACAATGGCAGTCTCACCATCCACTCATGCAAAGCAAAAGACAAAAAGACATTCACGACCATTCAAAGAGCTGATTAGCAAACTGGGTCAAAGCACTAAACCGACAACACCTAAATATGCGGACAGCACTAAAAAATCGTATGAAAATGCATGGATACGATGGATTCTGTAAGTCTCCTATACATTTTCTCACTGCTCCTACTACCTTTGTTCTTCAATAGACACTGACCAAGTGTGATTAGGTTCTGTCAGCAGGTCTATGAAGAGTCGAGTTACTTTCCAACCCCCGATCCTGTCAAAATATGCGAGAATCATTTATCCTATGAAGTCGTTCGATCATTCTTGGAATGGAGCTGTGAGACCTCAAATATAAAATCGTCGTCCACCCTCTTTACTTTCGCAAAATTTTGGAGGATTGCGGTTCGCGTGTCCATACACATTACCCTGTGGACGAATCTATCAAGATGGACATGAAGAACGTATGGGCCCTATTATAGATACTCGACACAGGCGGTCTTGCTGATGGGTGATTCTACTTCATAGTTCATCATGGATCGCTTGATTGATGAGTTTGAGCTCCGGGAAACCGGTCGGTTTAGGGCGGTGATGAATGCGGACGACGTGCTTGACATCCTTCACCACCATTGGGTCCTTAGCGATGAATATTATCCAGAGGAGCGGCAGCGGGTTCAGCACGCGGCTTTGAATCTTTTCTGCGCATCGACCACGTCGCGTGCCGGTACCATCGTTGAGTCCACCGGATACCTTGAGCAAAATGAGGCTGCTGAGTATAGAGACATTTAACTTTACGCTCTTCGAGATGAGGAGAACCCGGGTAGTGTGAAATTGGGCATGCTTATCACGTTGCGACTCCTTAAAGGTAGACGAAATCGTGGAAATCCGTCAGTTCTTCCATGGATTAATTTGACATCACCTGCTGACTATGATACGAGACCCCTGATCAAACTTCGGGAGCGTCAGGACGTTCCAAGCTTGTGTTCCCTCAAAGTTATATGCGGATTGGCACTCAAGGACAAAGCCTTTGCGAGCAAGTGGATCCGCGAGCCTGAGGATATTTATAAGATCCATATTCCTGATCGACTCGCGTCTGTGCCTATCGAGTGGGCTGCAGAGTGGCAAAGAGTCCCAGTGCTGCGTCGGTCCGTCCGGGACACGCAGGGGAAGATCCACACTTCACCTCTCCTGGCCGCACAATACACTCAGATGGCGACTTGGAATCGACGCCTGGGTAGATCTTTTAGTATGAAGAAAAGTTTTGAATTTAAGATGCTTCGTCGCGGTGCGGCAGAGGTACTTCTAGGTAAATCTGACTCTAATTCTACCCGTTCACTTATAGTACTTCTAACTCTTATACCAGAGGGAGTACGGAACCAGGTCATGGGACATGTTAACGGGTCAATCTATCAACGAAGCTATCGAAACCAGGTCGCTGATGCCGACATTGTATCTGCCTTCATTGGGGCGCCTTCCGATGCGGCGATCATGAAATTAATGGGCCACGTGTCCCTTTCTGCAGATCCTGTTGCTGCTGCCAGACCTACATCTACGCAGCGTCTCCAGGCACAAGATGACGTTGAGGTTGTTATAGCAAAACAGCTCCTTGATAATAGCACGAAGACGATCCAAGATCGTTATGGCTCAGTCGCGACTGCAAGAAAAAAGGCCAAGCAAGATTCGATGGTAAAAACAGAGCTTGAGGGCTGTACTCGGCTAGAAAAAGGCTTTAGGAGTCTCCTGAAGCGAAAGGTAGATGAGCTATTTGAGCTTTCACGGCGGCAATATTTTGAAACCCTTGGAGCACGGTGTCTCCAGAACCAACATACTGGCCAAGAGGAGCCTACCGGCCCTTCCATATCAGAATTCCGCTTCAGGGAACGCGAAGGACTGGCGAGATTACTGTTTCCTTCAGCTACATCGATGCCTAAATCTCGTCAACAACAAAACGATGATACCGAGATCATCCGACTCTATGCATCTCTATGTGGCCGCCGTGAGTATCCACGGCCACGGCGTCAACCGGAACACGCTGATCGAGATGCGCTTAATGCGGTTGGCTTGGACGGTGCCGCTGAAAGCACACCCTGCCTCCTAGACACTGATCCTGATGTCTATCCCATCCGTTGTCCTGGAACCCAGTGTCTATTCTGTTTAGGAGATGCTAGTCTGGCAACGGAGATCAGAACCCGGTGCTTCGCGAGTCCATGGTCGCTGGCTCGGCATGTGCAGCTGCAGCATCTTCGGTACCTTCCTCAAGGAGAGCCGTTCACCTGTGTGTATTCAAATACAAAAGGCAAAGATCGCACCTCCTGCCACCTGAAATTCTAAGTACCATGGCGATAAATTCTGTCCGTGTCTTCATACGAGGTCTGATCGAGATCCATGCGAAACATCGACAGTTTCTACTGAGTTGTGAAGCGCAGGGAAGGAGAAACGGAGCAAAGCAACGTGCCCTAACCTCTAGAGGGGATACTGACGCCACAGGTGTATGAGAAGACATACATAGATTTAATAACAGTGATGCTGACAGTTTGCAGATAGATACTCAGCAAGAAAAGCTTGCTCATCTTCAGGCTGTCAGCGCTCGCGCTATCCAACAGCTCGTTATAAACCTCAAAAAATCCACTAGCCTCCTATCAAAAATGACCGGAAAAGCGATCGGCAAAAGCGGCGTAATGAAGCCTCAAGATGGATTCATAGACATCGACCTCGGTGACAATTCTCCTTGTCTCTACTCTGTAGCTATTGTCGCATACCTTGTCGGAGAAAGTGGGAGGGACGTTGTGTTCGAATCTTATCATGAATCGGACTCGGATGTCTACGTAGTGAAATTCAAGGACCTGGATGAATACAAACGCATGGTCATCTCTGCATGTGTGGAAGGACAGATTACTGATCGAGAGCTTGAGAATTTGTGAAGTTCCGAATTAAAAGGAAAATACATTAGATAGTAAATCCCTTTCAAATTACTCTGACTGGCTCTACTGCATGCAGGTCAACGTGAGACCTTGTCCAGCTGAAAGCGCGACCAGAAATAGAGGAAGGTGTCTTACCTTGGGTCCAGCAACATACCAGGAGCGCCGGCTGGATCCTATTCGTGTTGGCCAGCAATCTTACATGATAACCCTACGTCACAGAGAACAGCTTTTTTTATTGTATTTGATATTGCTACGACTAAAGCAAGAGAGAAAATACGTTCACAGAAGCTTTTGAAGGAATATCATTGATGGAAATAGCTCGCTGGCGCTGATTTAGATGCATCTTGCACTAAGTTAGTTATGCTCGGGCGCCTACGTTGGCATCGTCTCATTACGTGGTCCTCGCTTTCTGAGGACTGGCTTGATCAAGGCTGCTACCAATTTCCATGGCCAATGAAAGATATTGCAATTGGCCCTTCCTCTGTGCCCATGTATGCTCAGTTGGCTCGATACTCTATCTAGCCTTAATTAGTGTGTAACGTTTACTTTCCCTTAGGAATTTGCCTTGCAAGGCTGGATTTCAGCTCCATGGACTTCCCGAACGAAATCCTCCTAAACCGAACTTCTCCCTTTCATATCATTAAAAGCACTGGCACAAGCCTGCTGGTAGCCCTTTACCGGCACGATCTAAAACCCTATCTGCCCTCATGGCCCGCACACCTCAGCAAGCACTGACCCGTGCCGACTACACGGTCGCATGCATCTGCCCCATGGAAGTGGAGCTGGCTCCAGTTGAAGCCATGCTCGAAGAGATCCACGAACCTCTCCCCACCGGGCGCGACCAGAATGCGTATACATTGGGAAAGATCGGCGGACACAACGTGGTGGTGGCAATCATGCCCGAGATCGGAAACAACGCGGCGGCCACGGTGGCGACGCAGTTACTCAACGACTTCCCTTTGATCCGATTTGGTGTTCTGGTGGGCATTGGAGGAGGAGTACCGGGAGACGAGGGTGAAGATGACGTCCGATTGGGCGATGTGGTAGTGAGCCAGCCGACAGCCACGTTTGGAGGGGTGGTGCAGTACGATCTAGGGAAGAGACTCGTGGACGGGGGTTTCGAGAGGACAGGACAGCTGAACAAGCCGCCATCGGTGCTGAGTGCCAACGTGCGGAAGCTGCAGGCTCAGCACTCACGAGTAGGAAGTCAGATATCGAGGTACCTGTCGGAGATGATACACAGAAACCCGAAAATGCAGAGTCGATACTCGTTCCCAACTGCCGACCATGATCGGCTGTTTCTCGCATCCTACACGCACCAACCTGGCGTGACCTGTGACCAGTGCGATCAACAACAAACGGTATCTCGCCCCACTCGACCGGACAACGAACCGCGAATACATTATGGCATGATTGGGTCAGCGAACATCGTCGTCAAGAATCCAGTGGTGCGCGATGAGCTGAAGAGGGATATGAAAATCCTGTGCATGGAGATGGAAGCAGCCGGGCTGATGAACGACTTTCCGTGTCTCGTCATCCGCGGCATCTGTGACTACGCCGACTCGCACAAGAATACGCGATGGCAGCCATACGCGGCGGCGGTAGCATCAGCATACATGAAGGAGCTGTTGACGGTCATCCCGGCTCCACAGGTGGCGCAGACACGAAATGCCGTTGAAAGTACAGCATCACGTGAGTCCTCTTCACCGGCTGTGGGATATTGAGATTGCAAATGATCGCCGTGGGCTGACTGTTGGAACAAAACCTGGCCATGTGTGCATGATTTTCGCGAAGAACTGACATATGTCCAGCGTTTCAGCTAGGTCTGCATCTTGGAGAGGCTCCTGTGATCGACCCGAACCTCTTTGTTGGACGCCTTTCCGAGCTGGAGAGGATGGAAGAGATCCTCCAAGGCAGTCAATCTGGAGAACAGCGTCGATTGATCCTCAGCGGTATGGGCGGCATCGGCAAGACACAGCTCGCCATTGCCTATGCCCAGCGCCACCGCGGCTCATACGAGTCAATCTTCTGGTTGAATGCCGTGTCGGAGGTTGCTCTCAAGACGAGTCTGCGATCGATGGCAGAACGGGTCATGGAGGTGGCGGAATACGAGCAGCTCGAAGATGAGCAGATCCTCCTCCGTGTTCGCCGATGGCTATCGGATACGGCCAACACCCGATGGCTGTTGATCTTCGACAATTACGATGACCCAGACGTTTTCGATATCGGAAAATACTATCCCCACGCTGCTCACGGATCGATCATTATCACGACGCGCCTGCCAGATCATGTCAGCGGAAAATCGATTCATGTTCGACCCCTCGAGCATGTTGATGAAGGCCTGCAAGTTCTGGAGACGAGGTCCGAGCGACAAAATGTCCAAGTCGGTAAGAGGGGATGAATGACCACACTTGCGGGTACTGATCTCTATTGACAGATGTTTATGCCCGTCGTCTCGCCGAGAGGCTTGGAGGTCTTCCGTTGGCTTTGGTCACTGCTGGAGCATATCTTCACAAGAGCATCTTGAGCTTCGAGCAATATCTCCAAGAGTACGAGAAGCGATGGGACCTCAATCCACGAAGACCACTCCGGCTTCAGGAATATCGAGATCGCACGCTGTACACGACTTGGCATTTGTCATACACCCGTCTGGAGAATGATGATCCTGCCGCGGCAAAGCTGCTCAAGCTGCTGGCCTACTTCGACCATCAAAATGTGTGGTATGAACTGCTCTATGCTGGCGTCAACGACGATTTGCCGGGTTGGCTTCTCGATGCGACGGGTGACCCGGTTGACTTGGGGAGCATCATGAGAACACTGGTCGAGTACTGCTTTGTGGAAGTTCAATGGACGACCAAGTCGTACAGTATGCACGCGTGTGTGCACGACTGGACGTTGGCGGGACTGAACAAAAGGGTTGACCTCGACAGCTATTGGTATGCGTTTGACTGTGTTGCCTCTTCGATTGATCGGGACGAGTGGGAATATCTTGGGCACCTGCGGCATTCTCGGCTGACACCACATGCAGCGAGACTAGCACACGATCGCTTTATCAAAGCCGGTCTCCTCAATGAGATTGTAGATGACCGAGTTGAGAAAGCTGAATATATTGCACAACTGCTCAAGAAGCAAGTTCAGCTCACTGCAGCAGCAGTAATGCTCCAGCAGGCACTGGCTGGGAAGGAGAAAGCACTTGGACCCGATCACACCTCAACTCTTGACACAGTCGACAGTCTCGGCCTTCTGTATTGTGATCAAGGCAAGCTGGACCAAGCGGAGGAGATGTACATACGAGCACTGGCAGGGTACGAGAAAGCACTTGGATCTGATCACACCTCGACTCTTAACACGGTCCACAATCTCGGCGTTCTGTATCATGATCAAGGCAAGCTGGATGAGGCGGAGGAGATGTACATGCGAGCACTGATAGGGAGGGAGAAAGCACTTGGACCCGATCACACCTTGACTCTTGACACCGTCCACAATCTCGGCGTTCTGTATCATGATCAAGGCAAGCTGGATGAGGCGGAGGAGATGTACATGCGAGCACTGATAGGGAGGGAGAAAGCACTTGGACCCGATCACACCTTGACTCTTGACACGGTCAACAATCTCGGTAATCTGTATCGTGATCAAGGCAAGCTGGACCAGGCGAAGGAGATGTACATACGAGCACTAACAGGGAAGGAGAAAGCACTTGGACCTGATCATACCTCCACTCTCCACACGGTCCACAATCTCGGCAATCTATATAGTGATCAAGGCAAGCTGGACCAGGCGAAGGAGATATACATGCGAGCACTAATAGGGAGGGAGAAAGCACTTGGACCTGATCACACCTCGACTCTTGACACAGTTAATAATCTCGGCGTTCTGTATCGTGATCAAGGCAAGCTGGACCAGGCGGAGGAGATGTATATGCGAGCACTGACAGGGAAGGAGAAAGCACTTGGACCTGATCACACCTCGACTCTCCGCACGGTCAACAATCTCGGCGTTCTATATCGTGATCAAGGCAAGCTGGACCAGGCGGAGGAGATGTACATGCGAGCACTGACAGGGAAGGAGAAAGCACTTGGACCTGATCACACCTCGACTCTCCGCACGGTCAACAATCTCGGCCTTTTATATGATGATCAAGGCAAGCTGGACCAGGCGGGGGAGATATTCGAGCGAGTTGGAAAAACACCAATAAAGCAACCAGCCCTGTGGTCCAGTGGCAAGACTTCGCTATCAAGTTATCAAAAGACCCGGGTTCGAATTCCTGGCGGGGCCGTTTCTGTAGATCCACGATTGTGATGTTCCTATGTCGGGAGAGTGGATCTACAGAAATATTTTTCTTTACCGACATTGTTGACCAAGAGCGAAAGACAGATAGGTATGTCTTTTTTTGTTTAAATCACCTCAGATAAGAACTCTCTTCTGATTGCTCTGAACAACGTGTATTCCTTCGTAAAAAGAAAAAGAAAAGGGTCCTCGCTTCCCTCTCGTTCCCATCTCACACCCAGATTCACTATAAAAAGCCTCGGGGTCCCTTTCCTGCTTCTGAGTCTCTGATAACGCGATCTAAGAGTCCCACAAGGTGCAACCATCTATCAAGAACACGCGTTCGGTTAATAAGCGGCGTTATCTTTACCTCTAGGAATGGCTGAGCTCATGCTTGATCCAACACTTCTGGGTTACGACAAACTTATATTTCAGAGCAAGAGAAAAGAGATCACAAGATAACCGGTCCCGTGGTCCAGTGGCAGGACATTCGCCGTCAAGTTATCGAATGACCCGGGTTCGATCCCCGGCGGGATCATAGATCCACGATCGTGATGCATTGGCTCTTGCATCACATCGTGGATCTAATTTTTCTTCACAAACACTATTGATCAAAAGCGAGAGAGGAGTAGATAGGTCTTTTTTTTATCATCACAGATTCGAACTCTCTTCTCATTAAACAAGTGCCTCAGACATCTTGCTAAGCTCCGCAAGTCCCTTTGATCTCCAGAATTAGGTTAATAGGGTCACTCAGATCTCTCTCCTAACTGCCTAAGTCACTCAGGACCCCCCCTTCATTATACCTCATTCCTCGCACAAGGGGGCAAGCATTCAAGACACAATCTTATTGTATCTAGCCATCATTATCAGTGACGTGAGTACTCGAAAAAAGGTTGTATATATTTGTGTTTACTACTACGTATTTATCGGTAGTATCACGGCCTTAAGGCCGGGCAAGCTTGGCACTCCGAGTGCCCATATCTCTCTACGCCTCCATAGCACTTGGATAGGACAACCATCACCTCATACACACAGTCATACAATAGCCCACTGCAACTACTTCGTGACTCGCCGCTACCTCTATAACATCCCTTTACCCTGTTGCACGGCCTTCATGTAACAATCAATACGGTGGGTCGGTACTCTGAGGAGAGAGGGCTCAGCCTGGTACGACACAGTCGGTGATTGTGGCAGAACTGATGGGTACCAACAATGCGGCGGCCATGCCGCAATGCAGAGAACAGGGGATCAAGTACCAACAACGGAAAGATTGGTCTTGGTGCAGGTGGAATGCGACCTATCTTGGTCAGGTTAAAGATAGTCTTCTGTTGTGCCGATGCACCAAAGAAGAGGCTACTGTGCTGACCAGGCTGCATGGACAGGCCTAGCTTCACAGGGCAAGCGCGGCGTTGGTGTGGTTCTGGTGGGCAGTCATAGGGAGGCCTCCTTACGGGAAGGGAGCCAACCGTGAAGACACCATTGACGACAACTAAAACGAGCAAGTTAAACGGGTGACTCGCAGCGCAAGGCGAAGTGAACATGGCTCGTGGGAACACTGGTCAGCGTAAGCCGCTGGGCCTGTTGGGGCCCCTTATGACCTTGGGGACCACTGCTGTCCTTGTGGCTATAAAGCCCCTCGGGAGTCCCCTTTCGCTGGAACATCTATCTCCTCTTGCCCAGCTTGCCTTTCCACAGTCCGCTCGTCTTTCTGGATCTACACATTCCATCCTAAGGTGAGCTTGTGTCGATGGGTTCAGCTCAAGGTTAATTATCTCTTGTATTACTGAATTAGTTTTATTTCTTTGACATAGATTATTAGACAACTAGTTTCAACTTAGATAACAAGACAGTTCTCTCAGCCCATCAGCTTTATTTAAAGCTATCTAGTGTACACCTTTCTGCTTCGTCTTGATTATAGCTCTAGAGAACATCTTCGCATAGGGGTTCGTCAAGACTAAATCCCCAATATTCTGCCTTTGTGTCTTGTCTGATTTCTCCATCTTATTACACAGGTCATGTAAGGCTCTGCGCAGGATATCGAATGCCTCCACAGTCTTTGCTTGAAATCCACCGAAGGCAATAGCTATTTCTTCCCGCTGCGCTACCTCTGCCCTGAGATAGGAATTCTCCCACGTGAGTTCGTGTCGATGCGAGCCTGGTCGGTGGTCTGTCTTGTTTTGCCTTGACAAACACGACTCGGAAGCCTCTCGATAGTTGAAGTCGTGCCTCCTTTCTGTAAAATCCAGTTGTCTAGAGGTGTGATCTCCTGAGGGTGCGTTTGAAGCTTTGTATTGGTTGAAAAATGAACTCGACGTTCCATAGTAATTGAATTTTGAATGGGCTAAACTCGGAAGTAACAATACTGAAGTAGATTAAAGCACACAACACGGCTCATTAAAGTATTTTAAGTAGTAGATTTATACAAAAACAATTTCCGTTGATCTTACACTTGTGCTAATTTTAAAACTATTTCTACACCCCACCCATTATATTTTCCACCGCCTCTCTTCTTCATACCTAATCACTCCTTTTTAGCATTTCCTTATCCCACCCCTCCCCCTTCTATTCGCCCCCTATTAATAATTACTAACGTCTACATCTGAAATCTCTTAGCTTTCACTTAATCTTCTTTTAGATTTATCATTACTCCTATTAGACTATTAGAGAACCATGAGTATGAAAAATCGAACAACCTTATTTCCAGGACCGGAATACATAGCTACGCCTTCAGAGGGCACTTCTAAAGCTTCTGATCGACCGTCTATCCTGTCAAGCTCTGATGGCCAACATCCGACTCGAATTGGCTCTTTATCACAAACAAGGTCTAAACCCCCTGTGCGTCTAAATGTCTTTGACAAGAATCCATGGACAAAATACAAAAAGTTCATGAAAGTTAATCGAGCAGGTCCGGCCACTCTTGCGTATAACAGAGATTACCCTGAGAAGATTTTCGCCGTAAAGGAAGTCAAAGGATTTGGCAAAGACTCGCTTAGTCGTCTCCGTCCAATCTTTCATTCGAACATTATCCGATTTGTTACGGCGTATTATCATGAAGGGTCTTGCTTCTTTTTTTACGATGACATAGCTGTTCATCTGGTCGATCTCTTGTCATCGCCCAAAGGCAACCTGGAAATCAATGACATTGCGACTATTTGTCTTGGGATAACGGAAGCACTAGTATATCTGCATAATGACCTCAGAATCTGTTATGGCACTATAACAACACAGAATGTCCTCTTGTCAAAAGTTGGAGAAGTTAAGCTTGGTAGTATTTTTCAAGAACCCAATTCAAGTCAAGAAGATGAACTAACAGAAAGTCAGCCAACGTAGGGTACTCTATGCTGACCAGTTACGGTCAGCGCCCTCGTGAACAGGACGTGCAACGAGATACACAGTCTCTGGGGCAACTGCTTACCACCATGCTGCGCTTAAGTCCGCAACCATCATCTGCAATAGATTTCATTGAACGGACACAAACAGACGCTTCTACAGACCTTCTTCAGGTACGTGACACCAACCTGGCTCAGTGGCGTGTATTAAGACTCGCAGCATGATTTTTTAAAGCTTTCCCCGCGGCGCTCTGAACTCCCTCATAAGATATGCATTGCTGCAAGCACTATGAGTAACTCTGTAGAGGTTATTGCTGGATAAGGATACTGTGGGAGTGGCTATCTTGGTTGGTCCTTCTGATCTTGTACAGCTTACTGTGACCGTTTTATTCACGATGTGTGGCGTTCTGTCGAGGAAACATGTAGCCATGTTATTTTTATAGTCTCCTTCCTTACGACCTCTACATACAAAGCACTTTATACCTTGAAATTTTCACCGTACCTCTTCAACACTTATTCTAGATGGCCTGATGTTGCCTCAGACTACTATTTACTTTCTTGATGACTTCCGCTTTGTAAATAGTGAGAAGAGAAATTAATGTTCGCTGTTCCTCTAGCGTTTGATATTCTGATTTTCTCTAATTACGTGAAGTTAAGACTTAGAAACAACTTTGATTCTTATGGCTCCGTGACTCATGAACTGTTTTTCAGATAGATAACACAAAGTACAACGACTAAATCTTATCTAAAAATACAAATAACAAATCGTTTTTGCACCGTCTGCTAAGAGAATAGGTAGCCCTTTCCTTACTCTTGATCAAGCTCAGCCTGGGCCATATTCTTCAGAAATTCTCCCTGTGTCTGCATTTGGAGCCCTTTAGCCTTTACCACCTCACTCAAGAACCTCATTCTTCTCCGTGCTTGGCTACGAAAGAGATTCAGCAGTTTCCTATTCTCTCTTTCAAGAGCAGCAATTGCTGTCATCTGCATCTTGATAATCTCAATGTCGCTTAGCCGCTCGCTGTCACCTCCGTACTCGTTGTTATACACGAGCTCCTCCAGATCGGCGACTCGTTTTGCCCGTTTCACAGGACTGGGAGTATATGTTTCCTCCGCGGCGCGTTTGAGGGTTCGTTTCACAGGACTGGGAGTATATGTTTCCTCCGCGGCGCGTTTGAGGGTTGAGGCCAGTTCGTCCAAGTCGGGATAGTTGGGTGTACATGGTGTATCCCCCGTAAGATCAATGAAATTCTCATTTTCCGATATATGTGTTGGGTTGAATAACTTGGGAAGGACTTCGACTTGTTCTGGATGGCCCGGACTAAGAAAGTCCATGTCCAGGTTCTCTTCCATGATTGGGCAAGAGGAAACTTGATAAGCTTAGTATTCTCGAGAAACTTGCTTGAGGCTGTAATACTTACTAGGGGACTCTGGAAGCTCCGTTACGGTTTCCAAGAGAGGTCCCCTTAGAGTTGCACCTTGCTGAAGTCTAGCGGATGAATAGGACATTCTGTAGACAATCGATAGAGTTCTGTGATAACTAATAGTTATGTGACGAGAAAGCTGTTGTGAGAGCTGTCTAAAGCTTTCATATCAATAGTGAACCTGATGAGGTCTTTATACTTATTGATTGTATCTAAGATGAGGAAATAGAGATAGGATCATGTGGTACTCTAGAAGAGAATGTGGTAGTTTGGAAAGGGGGTGGAAGAAGGGGAGGGAGGATTTAAAGTCGGGGTTTCAGATGAATTGCGTGCGGCAATTCTATGAATATTGCTCGAGCAAGGTAGGAGGGATTAAGACGGGCTATAAAAGCATTCTCTTGCCATTCCTAAAAGCCGTTCTGCAACTCCAAAAGTGAAGCTTACCCCAAAAACTTGAAAATATTTATTTCTTCTGGACCCTATTAACAGAACCAATCTGTTCGTTCTTAAGGCCCTCCTTGAATTCTTCTATGCTAATAGGCTTCCCGATATAGACTATAACGTCCGATAACGATGTGTATATTCATTTGGGTACGACAGCACGAAGTAGTCGAAGGTAGCCTCATCACTACGTCGTCAGGAGCTCGATGGAGGCGGCTGAAAGATTGGTGGAATAGGTGTAGCGAAGGTCGGAAGGACAGTCAGCGCAGCGAGATCGGTTGGTCGAGCGTTAGGGGTAGTAATTCATCCGCAGTTTCGAAGGCGAGTGCCTCGTCTGCGACCTTGGTTGCAGGTGGTGGAGACGATCCAGAGTTGGCTACTGCGTGGGCAGAGGTGTGCTCTTGAAGTGTTTCATAATATCTTGGCTTTCCCATCTCAAGTGTATAGTGCTCTTGAAGTGTTTCATAATATCTTGGCTTTCCCATCTCAAGTGTATAATCAATAACAACTTAGAGCATCGCTTTGTGAGTTGCCTCAGTTGCCTCAGTCTTCGGTCCCTCAGGCGGGCTTAGTGGGTACAGCCACACACGCCATGCTGTAAATGGGCTAAAGTGCATCCGCCACTAGTTAACTGTCAGCGTGGCTTCAGCTGCGTTCTATGGGCCGCAGTAGACTATGGTTCTTCGAGTGTCTCTCAAATAGGCTGTGCGCCTCTGCGATCCTCCAGGTCGAAAGGCTAAGATTTGTCCCCGGAGGCATCCCAGTGTCTGACTCGTTATCCGTAATGTTCTTAACAGTCTTCCTTGATTGCTGTCACCTGCAATGTAAATTGCTACGAAGAGACGAGCCATTTGTTCCTACCTACCCATAACCGCGCTTATTTAAGCCTTACGACAAATACCCATAGCAATGCGTCTCATAAAAGATGAAGGGCATAGAAACTTGAGTCTGGTGGAGCAATACGATGAAAACATCCCTCACTATGCTATACTTTCGCACACTTGGGGAGCGGATGGCGAGGAGGTCACTTTTAAGGACTTAATGAAAGGTACTGGCAAGAACAAGGCTGGCTACAAGAAGATTGAATTTTGCAGAAATCAAGCTGCCCGCGACGGTCTACAGTTCTTCTGGGTTGACACCTGCTGCATTGACAAATCAAGCAGCGCCGAACTCAGTGAGGCCATCAACTCGATGTTTCGCTGGTATAAAAATGCGGACAAATGCTACGTGTATCTATCTGACGTCTCGACATCTGGCCACGCTACTAATGTGCCGTCATCACCGGCCACATGGGAAGCGACTTTCCAGAAAAGCAGATGGTTTAGTCGAGGCTGGACACTGCAAGAGCTGATTGCTCCAGCATCGGTCGAATTTTTTTCATCAGAAGGCGACCGGTTAGGCAGCAAGAGATCATTGGAACAGTATATCCACGAAATAACAGGGATCGCCATCCAAGCTCTGCGTGGAGGACCTCTTACTGGATTTAAGGTTGAGGAGCGATTTTCTTGGGCGAAGCATCGTGAAACGAAGCGTCAAGAAGATAAGGCATACTCTCTATTTGGTATTTTTAATGTCTACATGCCGCTTCTCTACGGAGAAGGGAGGGGGAATGCATTCGTGCGGCTGCGCGAGGAGATCAGCAAGTCTTCAAAATGCAAGTGACATTTCACGTCCCCACTGACAATGCTAACGTTGCTCCGTCCAGCTCCTGTTGAACAGCTCAAGACTCCGCCATCGTCAACGGTGCCTTTCCGTCGCGACGTCGATTTTGTCGACCGTAGGACGTTGCATGACCATAGGACTTTACTAGAACACATTGAACAACGGTGTAGAGCGGCGGCGTCAAGAGTCGCACTCGTGGGGATTGGTGGGGCGGGGTGAGCTGATCATTTTCCATCAGACATTATCCACTAACGAGCCTATAGTAAGTCTCAGCTCGCCATCGAATACTGCTACCGCTTCCGTGAATGGTCCCCCAAGATGGATGTTCTGGATCCACGCGAGCAATGCAGATCGAATCGAGCAAGGATACCGTGAGATAGCGGAGCGGGTGAAGATTCCCCGCCGCAAAGATCCGAAAGAAAACATATTTGAGTTGGTAGCAAGATGGCTCCAGGACGAGTCAAACGGAACGTGGATGTTAGTACTGGACAATTTAGACGATGACGCTGTCATCTCAATTCCTCAAGCGGCCACATCGAAGGCACAGGCCGGTGACAGAGAGGATCGGCTCAGGCGACCGTTGTCCGCATATCTTCCACAAAGCCAGAACGGGGCAATTCTGATCACGACACGGACGAGAAGCGTGGCGACGAAGCTTGTCGAGTCACGGGACGTGATCGTGGTCGATCCGATGACCGACATGGACGCGATAACGCTCCTGAAGAAGAAGTTAGACGTGCCCGCCAACGATGAAGATCTACGAGAGCTGACGTACACACTGGAATATATACCGCTGGCAATCGTGCAGGCGGCGGCGTACATCCAGCAAAAAGGAGCGAGCTGCAGCGTACGGCAGTACATCGAAGCATTTCAACGGAACGAGAAACAGAAGACGAGTCTCCTAAACTACGAGGCGGGCCATCTTCGGCGAGACGCGGAAGCGAAGAACTCTATTATCATTACATGGCAGATATCGTTTGATGATATCCGGGAGAAGTGGCCATCGTCAGCCGACCTACTCTCGTTGATGAGCTATTTCGACCGGCAAGGAATCCCCAAGGAAGTATTAAGGGTCCCATCACAAGAAGAAGCGATCCGGGATTCGATAAAGCAGAAAAAAGACGATGTTAGAGACGACGAGAAGGACAAGGATGAGGACATTGAAGATAGTAGTACATCTGAGGCAAGTGATGATGACATGTTTGAAGAGGCTGTGGACCGATTACGAAGCTACTCTTTTGTGTCTCTCGGAAAGGATAAGACGTTCGAAATGCATGGACTGGTACAGCTAGCGACGCGAAAGTGGCTCGCAATGCACAGAGAGGACGAGAAATGGAAGGCACAGTTTAATAGGAAGCTGAACGCGGCGCTTCCGAACGGCAATCACGAGAACTGGGCTAGTTGCGAGATGCTTTTCCCACACGCAAAAAGTCGGCCGAGAGGCAGCGACCGATGGATGACAAGTCAGTACGAGAATGGGCGCAGATATTACGGAAGGCGGGATGGTATGCATGGGCCAGGGGAGATTACCATGAAGCTGAGAGAATGTGTGAGAAGTCGACTAGAGCATTAGGGAAAGTACTTGGTCGAGAGAATGTAGAGACATCATATAGCTTAGGGATGCTGGCTTTAACATACACGGGCCAAGGACGATGGAAGGAGGCTGAAGAGCTAGTGGTGCAAGTGATGGAGACGAGAAAGAGGGTGCTGGGACAGGAGCATCCAGACACGCTGACCATCATGGCCAACCTGGCGTTGACATACAGTAATCAAGGACGATGGAAGGAGGCTGAAGAACTGGAGATGCAAGTGATGGAGACGAGAAAGAGGGTGCTGGGACAGGAGCATCCAGACACGCTAAACATTATGAACAATCTCGCATTGACTATGAAGGAGCAAGGCAGAAAAGGGGAGGCCATCAAACTCATGACGGAGTGTGTCCAACTACAAAACCGGGTCCTACCTACTAAGCATCCTAACGCTCTTTCTTCTGGTGCGACCTTGGCTAAGTGGCAAAGTGTCGAGTCATAGATACATATTAAAGCGCAGTTTGGCAAATTTAGGCAAATATCTAAGTTTAGATAATCCCGACAGTAATATTGTAGCTGATTACGTCGCTGTTACTTTCACCAGTACGCGACTGTATCAATAACATCAAGAAAGTACCTTATAATCCCATCAAATGTGAGGTTATAGTCTTGAAACCCAAAGACTGCCTTAATTGCTGGCTGGAGAGCATTAATTAGGCCTTCATGAGCCTCTCTCTAGAGTTTTAAGTTTATCCTAGCCTGACCGGAGATGATCGGACATTTAAAGCGCCATACTACAAAGTGATGAAGCCCTTATTAGGACAGGTAAAAATGCAACACCTTCCCCACAACAGGGTAATTTTTGGCCGGAGGAGGCTTAGAGGCGAGAGAAATGATGAAGAAACATCTGGCAAGGCTTTTCATGTCGGAGAACGTGGCCAGCGTCGAGTGTGGTCTGTTGGCGCTCGAGGTACCTCGACCCTTTTTCGCTTAGGGGTACATTTCGGCGTGCGGGATGCACTTTACTAGTTAACTAACGTAGGTAAGCAGACCTTATAGCAAATTTAGGCAAATATCTAAGTTTAGATAATCCCGACAGTAATATTACAGTCGATTATGTCGCTGTTACTTTTACTAGTACGCGACTGTGTCAATAACATCAAGAAAGTACCTTACAATCCCATCAAATGCGAGATTATAGCTTTGAAACCCAGAGACTGCCTCAATTACTGACTGGAGAGCATTAATAAGGCCTTCATGAGCCTCTATCTAGAGTTTTAAGTTTATCCTAGCCCGACTAGAGATGCTCGGACGTTCAAAGCGCCATACTACGAGGTGATAGAGCTCTTATTAGGACAGATAAAGATGCAACCCCTTCCCCACAATAGGGTAATTTTTGGCTGGGGAGGCTTAGAGGCGAGAGAAATGATAAAGAAATATCTGGCAAGGCTTTTCATGTCGTAGAACGTGGCCAGCGTCGAGTGTGGTCTGTTGGCGCTCGAGGTACCTCGACCCTTTTTTGCTCAGGGGTACATTTCGGCGTGCGGGGATGCACTCTACTCGTTAACTAACGTAGGTAAGCAGACCTTATAGCGCACATTGACTTAGTCATCGTCTAAGCCACAAAAGCAAGGCTGAGAACCGAGGCAAATTCTTTCCATTGGAGAATGTTACTATTATACAACAATATCTCTTACACTCAGAAATAACTGTCCCAAGCTAGTCTAATACATCTTGCAATTCTAAGTACAACTTCGTCCCTGTCCCAAGCTAGTCTAATACATCTTGCAATTCTAAGTACAACTTCGTCCTGAAAAGCTTGAGTGTTCTTGACAGGCCCAGTATTGATATCTCTTCATGCGGGTCGTCAAATGCTAGACTTAGCCACGAACGCGGACTTCGACTGGTGACATCTCCAATGGTGGCAGAGTTGGAGGTGTGCAGCGGGTGGTGTTGATGGTTGTTTGGCACTTTTTTCTGGACTTGTTGGTGAAATCTGGTGGGCATAGGTCACGAGGCGGAGGATAACTTTTGTCCTGTTGAAACTGTTAAAGCTTGTTCTTGGAATGGCGCGGTCTTCTTATCATTTCCTGAAACTGTTAAAGCTTGTTCTTGGAATGGCACGGCCTTCTTACCATTTCCTTGATAAAAGTGGCCCATTTCTCATCATTAGGGTCTGTTGTATGGATATAGTACTTTCCATTGCGTTTGACGATCAATATAGAGTCAGCGTTGCATATGAAGCTCATCTCCAACAGTTTTTTGGCAGCGGTAAGTCTTCGCTGATAAAATTTCTCTTTTAAGGTTCTGTTCGTGTCTCCTGACTTTTGAATTCCAGATTTCATTATTATGATGAGTTGCTGAGTCCTTCTTTGACACGTGTACAGTATATGAGGGTCTTTGATTTGCTTAAAGTGTGAAGTATAATGAAGAGGGAAAAGGAAAAAGGCTAACTATATATACTCAGACAAGAAAACCGAATCTTAGTATATAGTCTACTCTAGCCTATTTACTTATTGTGTTTGAATGAGTGTTAGATGGTTTCGATTAAGCGCTTGCCATATTTGGTGACAACTTCAAATGATATAAGCGCGCATTTTAAAACCACACCCTCCTTTTCCCCTCCACACCCTTCTTTCCAAATCACTTAATTCTTTTTCACACTTGCTTCTAAAAAAAGACGGGGGGTTGTTTCTATAGGTCACTCTCAATGACTCCTGCTCTTAAATCCTTAAGAAAACCGCTCATCATGACTTCTAAGCCCACAACTCTCTTTCCTCTCGAAGATGAATCCATTTATCATCCACGCTATCATCGTCGGAGGGGCATTCGTCATGCTTTTCCTATTACGTGACGAGGCTTTCGTCCACCTTATCACGGTCGTGGCTCGTCCAAAAGGTCTTCAAGCATTTAGTCTGGCCGACCATAGTGCGTAGGACTCGTTTTACACCGCCAGTTACAAGAGGCGACGTCGTGGCCCAACTACTCTACTGGGGTGGTACTCTTGTGGTCAATGTATTTCGAGTTCGAAGCTTGAATGATGCAGCCTCAAGGGCTGGATCCCTCGCCATCTTACATCTCATTCCACTTATGGCGGGTAATCGGCTGAGTTTCGCTGCTGATATAATTGGTCTCTCACTTCGCACGTTCCAGTATCTGCACAACACCTTGGGGCTCATGGTTTCGGCTCAGCTAATCTCCCACGTTGTACTCCATTTGAGAACTGATGGAGTAAGGCTGCTGGAGCCGAAGGACCGCTATGGTATAATTGTAAGGAGCTCTAACCCTAGTAAGGACGAGACTAACACCTAACAGGCAGGCTGCTCAATGATCACTGTTGCTGTGGCCGCGACCCCTCTTGTACGCCGGCTGGCCTATGAGATATTTCTTTGGATCCATGGATACCTCCCTATCCTAGCAGTTTACAGTATATGGTACCACATCGGCAAACAGCGACATGTTGAACGCATCCTGCTTTTAATTGGTACCGGGATCTTCGCCGTATCTGACGTCCTACGTTTTGCCAGAATATTATACCAAAATATCGCCAGGAAGCAGACTTTGGTGAAAGCAACTGCGGTCGAGCGAAGCGGTGCGGTCTTGATACAGCTTGATCTCCCACGCCCAAGAAAAGTACAGCCGGGTGACTTTATCTACCTTCGGTGTTTGTCAATCTCACTTCGATCGCTCTTTGAAAGCCATCCATTCTCAATCGCTTGGTGGGATGAGAACGGAAATGTGGACGGCCGCGCTATCACAATCTATCTTCTGGTTAGCCCCCAATATGGATTTACCAGCCAACTTTTGCATAGATCTAATCAGAATCGGCCGCTGCAAATGGCTGTTGATGGTCCGTATGGTAAAACACGGTCAAGACGTCAAACTACGACACGATACTGCTCTTCGCAAATGGCATCGGTATCGCTGCGCTGATGCCATTTATCAAGGTGACCATAGATGATCACAAAAAGAAACAGATATCAGCGCGTCGAATGTCATTGATCTGGGGGAAGTAAGCAGGGAAAGTGAGTTACTCTTTCACACTTCTAGGAATTCTATCTGACCTGATGCAGGCGATGAGGTTTGGGTCACAAATTGGATGAACGAGATGCTAGAAGCTGATGAGGCGAAGGTCTGTAATTTTTGCGTCTGATGATGACCTAGACTTACACCAACCAGATTTTGCACTTTTCACTGTATGTGACTGAAGCCAGCAAGTAGCCAGGGACACTCAAATACTTCGGCAAACGGGGTAAAGGCATATATGGCAAATGTTGTGTGCCTCGGGTCATGGATACAGAAATGGATCTGAAAGTCGGCCGCACGCTAATTTTGGGTGAGCTAATTGGTGATCTGTCGAAAGAAAAGTGGGCTAATGATAACGCAGTGGCAGCGGGAACACAAGTTCGTGACCAGTTGAAAGAGGTGATGCCGAAGTACGTTGATAAAGATGTCCACCTTGAATTACTTGATTTCGATCCTCTTCCCGAGCGCGAAGGGTTCAGGGGTAGATATGTCAAGGAAATTGACTACGAAGGGGTGGTCGAGTATGAATAGGCAATGGAACTTCGGTTTCAAAGGATGGTTATTGGTTGACCTAATGATTGTAATGCAACTTGTATGGTAAGGGCGATTAAGGTAGTGGTGCTCCTTTCTAATAGACTCAAACAACTAGACTATCACAATCCAGAGATTACAAAAACAGAAAGGATACCAGAGAATAAAGAACGAATTGGATCTCTTTTAGAATGGCTGGAGGAGAGATTGTTGTTGTTGGTCCGTGCGCGCAACGCCCCTTTTTGTCATATCTTTGTTTCTGCACACCCTGCGCATTTTGAGAGAGAACAGAGCCAATCTTTCGCACACATTAAAAGGTGTCAACCTGCTGTGCAGAGTGCGTAGAGCGGGAACGCGAGTTCGTGACCAGTTGAAAGAGGTGATGCCGAAGTACGTCGATAAAGATGTCCACTTTGAACTACTTGATTTCGATCCTCTTCCTGAGCGCGAAGGGTTCAGGGGTAGATATGTCAAGGAAATTGATTATGAAGGGGTGGTCGAGTATGAATAGGCAATGGAACTTCGGTTTCAAGCAGCTTTATCATGGAATCAGATGGTTGTTAGTTGGCCTAATGGTTGTAATGCAACTTGTATGATAAGAGCGATTAAGGTAGTGGAGCTCCTTTCTAACTAGAGAATACTACGGGGGGTCCTTTGGTCTATGAAATAGAGAGCGAATTGGAGGAATTGGCTGTAGGAGAGATCGCTGTTGTTGGTCTGTGCGCGCAACGCCCCTTTTTGCCATATCTTTGTTTCTGCCACCCTGCGCAGTTTGAGAGAGAACAGAGCATCCTGCGAGGGGTAGCATATATCGTTCTCTAGCTTACCAGCCTGACTCCAGATTGCACGACGCTGCGGCTAAAGGGGGATCCAAAGTGAGACAAGTTCCTGTATAAATAACCTGTTTCTAAACTAATCTGTAGACCAGCTACTAGTTACATGACCGCGGATGATTGACTTGCTAGACTAAGTATAGACCAGAGCTAAGCGCTGGTGACCCCTCCACAACTCTTACCCACCCCGAAATAGTCTTCCGTCTTCAAAAACTACGAGCCATACACAGAATACAAAAAGCCAAAATGGGGTGCCTGATCAAGTCGAGATTGATGCGACACGCTTTTCTGGTGCTTGGCTGCGGTTCGATAGATCGCATGACAACTGGTGTAGCCAATGCGCCGTTCGTGGTGTTCATCCAGAGTGCGGACGAAAAGCCTTGTGAAGGAACAGCAGAATTGGTTTGTGATGTCTCGACATTCTCCAAAAACTTTTGCATGCTCTCTCCTAGATTGATTGCAAACACTATTCCTCTTTGACAATGGTTTGTGGGGATCTCTTGGTGACAGAAGAAATATTAAGGATCTGGATCATTTACGCTGAATCCCAGAGTCTTGAACGGGCTGTCAGAGGGATTAAACTGTCGAAAGCCAGAGTCAAATTGATTACTAGAAATGTATAGCTCTTCAAGGCTTGACTGTATCAATGTGTAGTTGAAAGAGCGAAATCTGAATTCGACAGCATCTCTGACTTCTGTATTGACTTGATTAGGTAGGAAAAACAGCTTTCCAAAAGGACCAACTTCAACATAATAGGTTACCTTTGCTAAAGAACCTGTTTAAGTGAACGATGCCACAGCCGATGTTGCCGCATGCAAACTAACCCAGTCTTCGCTGTGACTCCGGGTCTCAAGCCCTGCATCGATGGTCTTAGTGTCTCTTCCGGTCATTAAAGGTGCCAGAGGGAAGGTTAATCCTTTACTAGGTACTGTTTAGGGCGCCACTATAGGAGCAGGGGCTGATAAAGTAGTGAACGTAGCAATGCTGGCAACGGACAAGACCTGCAAGTCTGGCGAAGAATTTAAAGTTACCGACGTAGTCAGAGCTTCTGCGCTGATGATAAGCCCTATTAAGACACCATCAGCAACAACAGCTGTGGACCTAGACCAAGGTGAGCATGAGTGTGACCACGGAGCCCTGAATATGACAGACCTGATTGAGCTGGCAATCACAAATCTATGCAATAACGTCAAGCATATACACAAGACTTTGAATTATATATTTTAGGCTTTAAGATAGTTAGGAGATTAGCAGAGTTTGAAATTTTGATTAATTAAAAATAGGTGTTCAGGTCCCTCTATAAAACTTTTATAATACTTTGGTCTATTGTCACAGGACTAAGACGATTATGTCTTAGGATTTATTATTTCATTTGTCAAAGTGCAAGCAAATAAATTTGTCTCCTATCCACCCGTCTTACCCTTGCCCTTCCTGTTCCCGCAGATTAAAGCTCCTCGCCTACGGTGCCCACCTAACCTAGTTAAAAAACCCCTCTGTATATTCTATCATCTCAAACATTCCCCCTCTATCTCCTTTTTTCCCCTCCTCTCCCCTCCTCCCCTTCCCTCCCCTCCTTTTCTCCCTTAACAATAGAAAGGAAGAAGAGGAGGGGACAGGAGAGAGAAAAGGGGGAAAGAGAGGAAGAATGGGTTAAAAAACAAGATAGAAAATAGAAAAGTTTATTATTTTTATAACATCTAAAAAGAGGTTGTCTCTACCTCGAAGACTTTTACCCTTACCTTCTTATCTATAAATAGAGCTTTACTTCCTATAAGTATCTTAATAATTATAATCAAATATTTATAATCATATTTATAAAAAAATATCATAATGCTAAAGAACAAAAGAGCGAAGCAAGGTAAGACGACCAAGCCAGAAGACCATAGTAAGCAGAAGGAATCGAAATAGGCAACAATTGCAGATGTTAGCAATAAAAGCAAAGCGCAACAGGCAAGAGTGTCAGATGCAGACAATGACTCTAGACCGGAAAACCTAATATCTGACGACAACTAGCCTCCAGGCTGGAGCGAAAAGCAAAAGAGAGATACAGACCCCGCACAATGGCCGTTCTCCGAAGACCAGTTATCAAAGCTCCTAATATTGATGTAGCAGCTTAGGAAAGTAAAAAGTCCCACGCCCAGCAAAATAGCTAAGTTGATTAGTGACACCGAAGTCTGAGATGTCTCACATCCAAAATGGAAACTCGAAGGTCGAAAAGGCATCAGATATCAGTTTTACTCAGACAGGATAAGGCATCAGATTAAGGAATCAAGAAAATGTAGTTTAATAGTAAATAATGCTGCCGAGCAGGAGTTAGTAAAGTTAGCTATAGCAGCTTTTTAAAGTAGGTCACTAGTAAAGAATATGCTTTATAGTATCACTAACATAACACAGACTATAATAACAAGGCTAATAAGAAGGCGAAGGCCTCTTTACAGGATCTTAGTAGGGCTAAGGAGGAGATTTTTAAGAAGAATAACACTAGACAATTTGTAATAAACGCGTAAGCTAATAGGCTACCTGACATATTAATAAATGACTATAAAGCTACGGATAAAAACTTAGAATAGCTATATAATACTGTTCTTATACTTAAAGGACATAGAAAATACTAGCAGCAGGTCTGGTTTCTAATTATAAAAGAAATTTAAGACGAGCTTAATCCAAATAATAGCCGCCTATTAAGTAAGGAAAGGCTTCTCTTTTAATAAGTGCCGCAGATTGCGACAGAAAATGTAAAGAAAAGCCTTTTTACAAACCTTAGGCAGCTACTAGTTATAAATATTATATATATCTGGAGGTAATATAAGAAAGGTGAGATAGATTAGCTTAGCGCTGAGATGTGCCTGAAAGCGTTATAGGCATGATACTAGTTTGCAGATAGATATTACAAGCTTCTACCCCAAAAAGGAGGAATGTACCCCAAAGTTATCGACATAGAAGAAGAGTATCGAGAACGAACAGGTCTTGATCCGAAGACAGGAAAAAGAATAGAGGGTACACAGACGAAGAAGAGCAGAGGAAAGAAGACGCAAAAGTCTACAGCAAAGCATGTTGCAGTGGATAAAGAAACACAATCCAAAAAGCGTCCATCAGTCAAGAACGGAAACCCGGTGATACCAGATGACAGTAATGTAGACAGTAATGTTGAGATATGGGACCCTGAAGGTGAGTATGTAATGTCAGGGGCATATAACGAGCCCGGGGGCAACCCAAAAAGTCATGTGAAGCAGATTCAGAAAGCACACCTGAAGAAAGAAGCAAGCATAAAGAAAAAAGCAAGTGCAAAGGAGGATCATACCTCACAAGCCCTTGTACCCATCAACCTATACTTGTCTCAGTCTCGTCTTGGAAAGAGCTTTCAAATCTGGGCCTCTAACACGAAGCAAGAACAGATATTCAGACCTGGTTATACTAGCTCAGGTGACAAGATAATCGCCTTAGAAAAGTAGAATGACAAGAGATCTCAGACTC